AACCGCAGAGCGCCGACTAACGAAACGAGTTGAAAGCCGTTTTCCCTGTTAGCCAAGCTAGCCAAGTCAAGCCATGCAGCGGCAGCAGCAGCAGCAGCAACTCTTGAAAGTGGTTTCTTGTCTAACTGCGTTAGTTTTGACTTAAATTGTGCGCCCGAGCAGGGACCAATTGACTGCACTACCCGAACCCGTACGCGGCGAACTACCGGGCTAATGGCTCTACTCCGGCCAATCGCTGAGAGAGTTCTCAGCTAAATGTCATAGCGGCGGATGCTCAGAGCATTTATCATTAATCAAAAGCCCAAGCAGATGTCAATATTGCCAATGCGGAAACTGCATTGCGCATAGCGGGCATCAGGCCCGCTACCGACACCGGTACCGGTACCGACGATGCCGAAGCCGATGCCGACACCGGGCATTGGACAACGGCAACAGTTGCCGGCCAGGTGGCCATTTCCGCTGGCCTTAGCTGGGTTCCTTATTTTGACACTGCCCTCGCAACGGCAATTATTACTGCTGTTGTCGTTGCTGTTGCACTGATTTATGAGTTTTTAATGAGCGGCAACTTTACACGAATTGTTAACAACACTCTCGACTGTCGACTGCAATGTAATGCCATAAAGTAGCTACTCTTAACCAGTCGTCGGTCATTGGTCGACACGTACCCGCACCCTGACATTTAAGCCGTGCGAAATGTTGTCTCCGCAATGAAGATGCGCAAATGATACGCCAATGGGCGTTGGAATGCGAATGGGCAATTTTTTACCACGACCCTTTTATACACATTTTCGGGCATAATAGCTAAGTCATCCAGTCGGCGAAAAAGTGAATATGGCGAGAGTTAAAAAGATTTCTGAGATGAAATTTGCTGTGTAATATATGGGGTGGTCAAATTAAAATAGTCGCTACCCAACTATCGTTGTCTGATCTCCCTAACAATATATAGCGATAATTCGTGACAAGTAAGCTCTTTGATGTTTCTAATGTTTTTTTCTGCTGTCCCAAGAAAGACCGTGGCATATAAACTCATAGAAAATTGGGTTTTCACATACAATAAGTTAAATAAGCCCTTTAAAACAGAGTAAGAGAAAGACTTCTAAAATTCATATAGCTCTGTCATAGATAAGTGCATGCAGTATTCGTTGTAAATAAGCAGAATTCTCTCCGCCTCTCTCTCACACAAACTCTCTATCTCCTTCAATCTCTCTCTGCCTCTCTTTCTTGGTTTTGTTGTCGTTTTGTGTGATTGATTATGCATTTTTATGTGAACTGGTTGCCACTTGCAACTTGTTGCAGTTGTTCATGGGCCATGCGGGCAGGCGAGACGATAATTCCGCTGAAGCAATGAGCCCGCAGCTGATGGAGACAAGCCGGCGGCGGTGGCAGCGGCTTCGTCAGGCAGGCGCAAACTGCTGTCTACGGCGCTGTCAGTGACCTTCAGTTGGCGGCAGTCAACCTGCAATTAGACAAACTGCACCAGCCAAGCCGCAGGATAAGTTTGCAGCCTGGAGGCGCAGGCCTGCCACATAAGATTTATGTGGCGAATGCTGCAGATCCTCTGCCCGACAGTTTTGACATTGAAAAAGCATAATTAATTGATCAGCCCACCAGCAGGTGGGCGTGGCCGGAATCTGCTAAGCCTAAGCAAGCTGATCGATGGCATCTGGCCAAGTGTAATGACTACACTCAAAAAATTAGGGCTATTGCAATTTGAATATCAGTCAATGTTAGTAAATAAATGCCAAGTCGTGACATGCGAATACGAAATGGTTAACAGCAACAACAACAAAACCCGACTACTGTTAAATGAGTTCAAACTAAAAGAGAACAACTCGCGTCAGCATCCGGTTAAGCAATTGATTTTTGGGTGTGTATGTTGACGTGTCTTAACCTCAGCAAAAACCTTAGAGACACACACATTCATACAAACACACACACACGCACATAGCTACTCAAAACTGTGAGCAAATGCACATGAAATGTTTGCCTTCAGAAACACATTTTTCAAGCTATCAGCATTTATTTTTAATAAAGATGCGATCAGATCAGCTGTGTGTGTGTGGGTATATATCGGGGCATGTATGTGTTGTTTTTTTCGGACGAACAGGCAAAAATGTGTCACTCGCTTCTTTGACTTTGATTTAGTGGCTAGACAGGTTAATACAAGATGAGATCATCGCTGGCGACGCTCTCGATGACGCCGACAGCAGCGAAGTAGAGACAGGGGCTACTTGAGGAGAAGGCGGGTTCCAAGCAACGGTTATTGATTTTTTAGCTCGGCTTTTGCTCAAGTTGCCGCCGGCCTTCGTTCAACATTTTGACATTGTACATATATTTTAATTTGGCCGCTATAAAAATATATTTCAAATAAACAATGAAATTGCCGTTAGATCAATCGAAACTGGAAATTAATGATAATTGAAATTAAGAGCAATAATATATATTTTTTAGAAAGAAAACGTGTTTTGAAAAAACATATTAGCTCAAATATAGTTGTGTTTTGGTAGCTTGTGACTACGAAATAATATCCATCCAATCACCTGTTGATAGAGAGCATAAAAGGTGTGGTAATGAAAATGTTTAATCAACATTCGAGGCGATCATCTGCTTTTAAATTAAAAATGCTTTTACTTGCGAATGCGAAGCTTTTGAGTATTATTGGCGAAATGCATTTTTCTGATTCGAGTTTTAGCTATGCAAAGCATCATTTCAAGACATCTTGAGTGCTTGTATGACCTTTAGATAAATTAGAAACAAGTTTTATAAATTAATTGAAATAAATATATACATTAAGCTAACTACTAGCAGGCACTTCAAATGTTATCCAATTGAGTTATTCCATGTTATTTGTAGGGCCTGGGCTTATAGCACTTGGCATTTGCCCAGCATTGTTAGATCTTCAATCAGCCTTAACGAACAGCAACAGCAGCAATAACACCAACAAAAACCAGAAGAGCATTCACATTTATCAGGCACATTTATCAGCTTGTCAGCCGGAAGGGAGCTACTAATCCCCAGCTGAGCCAACAGCCCGACCCTCATACCAATTGGTGCTCAACCCAAGCAACCAACCAAATTACGCTCATTTCGCGGGCAACATAAATTTATCAAGCATCACTAAAACTATATTCGCAACTACAATGTGAGTGCACATAAAATGCAAGCGAGAGATCGAGAAACTCTAAAGTACTCCGCACGGTTCCTGCTTTAATTAAGTGATCATGGACATGGACAACATACAAAAGCGCCCAAAGGCCACGGCATAAACGACCAAACAAGATTAACCAAAAAGGCGATGGCCTTCAACATGAGCAGAGACCAGAGCCAAAGCCCGGCCAGAATCTAGGCCTGGATCGTTTCAAATGTCGTTAGAAGAGAGCGAATCTATTGGGTTGAGATGAGTTTGCGCTGCACTGCAGTAGTTATACCCTGTAAAAGTTCTTTTAAGAAATGTTCTTGATTTGCTGAGTCAATCAATCTAGGTTCATTGTCGGCTAACAAATTAATAACTTTTCCCCATTCTTCCATACATCTTTAAGTTATGTAGTACCCAATGTAAACAATGTAATACGAGTCAGATTGAATATTCTAGCATATTCCTAATAAATACAAAATTGATTTTATAAATTGGTCTCTAAAGCACTGCGTACAGAGTATCGTCCCGTAGTTCAACTGACTCGTCAACGAAATCAAACTTGTTCAAGGTTTATTTCCTTTGCCTGGCAATCGTGCAAAGCGCATGTAATTTAGCTTAGAGTGTGTATTTTATTTAAGCGTTTATTAGCTGATAAACCGAAATAGATAAATCGTACGACCAGGCTGGGCCAAGACTAGGGCCAGGCCCAAACCTCAACCAAGGCAATGGAAAAGCCGCTGCTTGTAGCACGTTGCTTGGACTCCGTTGAAGTTTTTATTGTGTGCCTGGGGCGCAATTTATATATGTTTTTGCAGAATACACGCAGATAATGGCAAATATTTTAACATATGCACACGTTAACGTTCACGCCAAGTTAAGAAAGTTGTTTGTTAACGCCCAGATGAAAGGGCAAACTGGCTGCATAGCATCAAACTCCAGACCTCAAACCGTGCCCAGGTCCATCTGTATGTGCATAATAATGGATAGTTTCTGTTTTTTATGATTGCCGCGTGTAAATTCTATCTAACGTAATGTCTGCGTGCCAGTCTCGGTTCAACTTCCGGTACCAGCTGTTGATTATGTCATAATTATGTGACCACCTACCCGACTATCCGACGGCTGAGTGCCATATAAAGATGCTATCAATTTTCACACAAAATTATTACATTTTCCCCCCAACCGTCGTGACAATTTTGTATTGCATTACGACCATTCTACCAATTAACAGGTCTTGCCTTGCCCATTTTGTGGCTGCCCGTCCGATGCCGGCCAAAACCTTATGAAAATCAAGCGAAGCAACTGAAAACTGAAAGTGGAAAATGAATGCGTGAGAAAACAAACAGCAACAACAACAATGTCTTATGGCCAGTTCACATATATGTATATATAAATATATATATATTTTTCGCCAGAGGCGTTTTTTCTCCCTGGTTTCTATAATTTTTATGCTGGTCTGTGTTTGCAGTGCCGTTGTATAAATTTTTCAGAGAAAATGCTGAAAGATAAACGCAGACGTTGCTCATGTTTGCGCATAAATTTCAAGTGTCATTTACCCGTCTTCGCACTTGCCGCACATTTTTGTAAGTGTATTTTTATTTGTCTTTTGACGATTGTTTCGCTTTTTGGTTTTTGGCACCTGTCCCTGATGACCAGGCCAATTTTTGCGGGGCTCTTCAGCTGCGTGTTTGAAATTTTAAGTTAATTATTTGTGTTTGTGTTTCTTGTTTTGTTTTGCGCTCTTAAGCAGGAAATCGCATTACAATATTTAAGTATACCTTTCCAGCACATTATGTTTACTTAACTTGCTTTTAATTGTCTTTTTAATGATTTTTAATGTGTTTTATTCTTATTTATGTCATTTCAGCAAAAATGAAAATATTTTTGCCACTAGTCACGTGGATAGTGCTACTACTCTCGAGTACAGTAAGTATTACCCTAACAAAAACCATACAGTGTTCGTTTCCAGATATTCGTGTTGTCTTGAAATTAGCAGATTTATTAACCTTTTTTCTTAACATCTTTCTTAAATTTATATTACTAAAAATAACGTTTAATTTTTTTATACAAATATCGCGTTACTCGCGAATTAGCTTCACCTCTGAAGCCAAAGCATATTAATTCTTTAGGCTTACAAAGGTGTGGCTGCTCCGGGTTCAAAGGGGAGACCAGTTCTGGTCAAGCCGTAAATATTATTGGTCTTGGATCAAAGCTGAAGCATTGTCAGTTAACACATGAACAATAATTTATTTATGAGTTTGTCCAGAACTTTAAACACCTTTCAAACACAGATCAAACAATCCCCTTTGGATCATGACAAATTTACGAGCAGACAGCTTATTATGATTAAAGTCTTATACAATACACACTAATGAAAAATGATCTCAGCTCTCGCCGAGTAGTAAAGACCCAAATGCTTATAATGATGCAACCCAGCGCGTCGAAGGTTTCATGGCCTAACGGTACTCGCCCGGCCATGCAAATGAGCATTAACAAAAATTACTACCACAGTTTTTTTGGTTCTAAGGCTTAGCCAAAAAGAGATTTATTAAATTTTACAACATGCTGTGAAATTAAAGAAAAGAAGAAGAGTCACGAAAAAAGAAAGAACTTTTGAAGATTTGAGACTTGAGCTAAGCAAATAAAATGGCAGCCCGGAGAATAAACCAGCAAATAGCATTTGATAGTTGATTTAATAGCTGAAACGAGAAAACATGCTCGTGCGAGTAGACGGTGTGATGATAGGGCAGATGAAATGAAGAACAAGTGAAGAATACGCAAAATTTAAGAAAGTGCTTGACTGCGAGATGCTGTTTTAGGAATTTGACTCTTTAACAAATGAAAATGCCTTCAAAACAATATAGAAAATATAAAACAATTTATCAAGCTTAAGCACTTACTAGACTTTTAAGCTATTTTTAACGAGATTCGAGTATATCGAACGCTACTCACAATTTTAATCACAAGCGTAGTTACCCTTTCCAAAAAATACAAAAAAAAAAAATCACCAGATCAACGATCGTCGACTGAATGGAACAGAGAAATGGGTAAAGAAGAAGACCCAGGCCACAAATCGTTCGAAGAAAGCCAAAAACGTAATGAATAAAAATAGCCGCATTAACTGTAAAAAAGCTTTGATAGTCATCGATTTATGCAGTGGTCTAAAAAGAGAGAAAGAGGAAGAGAAAGAGAAAGAGAGTGAGAAAGAACCTGAACCGGTGCTTCGTAAATTGGCCAAAAGAATGCTCTAAGCCTTAAGCTAAGCCACAAGTTCATTGACATTCACCAGCGCACGCATTTGTTGGCTTTTCGCGACACTCGCTCAATGGATGAAACTTTTATGATATTTTTTCATTGATGTGCCTTGCTTTCTGTTTGTGCGTTGGGATTTAATGATATGTGTGCGAACGCGCAGAGCTTTGATTTAATCGATTAGGCTGGCGGGCAAAGACAAAACAAAAGACTTAGGCTGCAAACTTGCTGGTTAACTTAGTGATACACAAAATGCAAGTGCGCACAGCAAATGCCCATCGACAGTTAGCTATTATAACGGATGCACTTGAGCGTTGACGGTTGCTGTCATTGTCTCAGTTAACTTGGCTAACAACTTGCCAACAAAAATTGCATTGTGTGCGACGGCGCACCGCTCAATGTCATGGGAGCTCCGCTGCGGCAGCATCATCTTCACTGCAACACACTCACACCTTTAATTGTTGCATGTGATGATACGACTGTTGCTGCTGCGGTTGCTATTGCTGCACTTGAGTGCATGCGCTGCTCATTGTGCGGCCTGTCAATTGATAAAAGTCGCAGGCGGTAGGCAGCGGTTAGCGGGCGGCGGTCGTCTGCTAGCAAGTAGCTGCCGGCTGCTGATAGCTGGCATCTATTGTTTAGCAAGGCCGCTAGCGTTGCATGGCGTGAAGCGAGCACAAACCAATTGAAAAACCTCAACACACAGCGCACATACGACGACTAGAACTTCCACACACAACTGTGCGGTACAATGTTTTTTGATAAAAATCTACCTAAAACAATTCTCAGACTTAACTTGAACTTGACAGCAGCAGCGAGTGCTTCATGCTCACACCTTTAGTTTTTATTGCACTCTTTACTTGCCGGGATTGCTGCTCATTAGCCAGCTAGAAAGGTGCTAAAGCGGCTCACGTGTCTTGGTTTTAAAATGGAAGGAGCACAGACCAGCCTCGCAGTAATTGGTTTGATCTGCAATTTTCTGAGCATCAGTTAGACTGAGATTGCTTTCCAGTTGTGCCCTAAAACTTTTTACTAGCCCGATGTGCTCAACATATTTGCAGCCCGAAATTAAATAGGAAAAGTGTGCTGGTAACTCGAAGAGCTCTAACGAATAGATACTAAATAGAAGGTCTTATGACAATGGAAAATATATAGCACACTTTCGAGAAATATCCGATTAGTATTTCTAAACTAACTTAAATAAGAGTTTACTTATTTTTACGAAATGCATAAAAAGTGATATTTATCAAGAAATCCATATAAATGATAGCTACTAGAAAGTAATTTTTGTAAATAAAGGCAACCAGAACATTTTATCGAAATTGATTTATATGTTAAGCGATTATTAAGCGACGAGCTTACTTATGTTAATCATAAGTCAAGTTGATATTTGCAGCTTTAGTCGTGTGTCTCTGCAGATGGGTATTCACCTTTCACCTGTTTTCAAACGCAAATTTATGAAAAAATGGTATAGTTAATAAAATTATATGAAATAATATCAAAGGTGTCAAATACCTTTAATCAGATGCAATGATAAACGTAGTAGGAACTCAAACCCGACTCTGTCATAAAATGATTACATTGAAATGGAACGCCGAAACGTAGGAAGTAAAAATTGATCGCGCTGCGAGTACAAATCGTACAAATAAAATATGCGAAATATAAGAGCCATAATGTGTTACCCAAATGAAACTTGTTTTAATTCGTTTTGCAGGAGCGCAAAATGGTCTTAAGTGACAAACTCGTTTTCATAGCCATCTAATGTTGAGCGCTGGTAACAGTAACAAACCGTACCGTCAGTCAGTCAGTCACTCAAGCACCACACACACACACACACACACACACACACTTATAGAAAGGTATACAAGCATACTGAGAAAATATGGCAAACAACTTTTGTTTTTGTGTGTTTATAAAAGTAAAATCAGCCAAGTGTAACAATTAAGCGTTGGCAAAACAACACACAGCACAAGACGATATATCTACGTAGCTTTGAATGCAAACCTGTATGAACATTCTGCCCATATGGACCGAATCAAGCTGCCGCTGTTGGTTAGGAAATCTCGTTGAAGAAGCTCTGACGTTGATACGCCTGCTAACTTTACTGTATCTAATTTGAATTTAAATTAGTTTCGAGTCCCACTAAAAGCACAAAATACGAACGAAACTTGGTAAACACTCCGAAGGTTGCTGCTGCCTTTTCGAAATTGAGGTTAAGCTTTGGGGCTAGAACTGTCCGAAATTTGACAACATTATTTAAGAAACCCAGAAAATACGAAATCAGTTTCCCGATGGGGTTGCGCTTCGAAATAAACTGATGCTCAGAGTATACAATATCAGTTTACTGATCCGAGGCTGCGCAGTATCTATATTAGTATATAGATTTATCTTTCATGTCAATAGCGAACTGTTACTTTCCACGTATAAATTCATTTTGAACCGGTGTAGCTAGTACTGTTTACATAACCGACGATAGGCCCTGTCAAGGATCACAATTTTACTTAGAATTATATATATCAATTGTGAGCTGGGGTAAAACATGCACTTTATACACCAAAATACCAAATTGAGCAGCACAACTAAAATATTTCCACAAATTTGAGTCTAATCTATTTCGTTTTAGTGTATGAAACACTTTATTAATAAAATAAACCTTCTTGCTTGCCAGGTACATTCACAACACCAACAAACACAACCCTTTAAGACAAATCCAAGCAAGCATAGTCGATTTCGAGGCGAAGTATTCTTTCTGAATCTCGAAGATGGCTATTTTGGCTGCCAAGTTAATGAGTCTACAGACTATTTGCAACTATACGATCTATCGAGAATATGCGACGGTAATCAAGACTGTTTTCTTGGTTCCGATGAGCTGAGCAAAGAGCTCAAATGCACAAGTATGTATCAACAGACCCCGCCACACCACGACCCTATGGAATGGGCTTACTTAAAAATAAACTGCTTTTCTTCCCCAGATGACTGTGATAAGGATGGCACACAGTGCACAAACGGTGTTTGCCTGAATGGTGTTTGCCATTGCAATGACGGCTTTGGCGGCTGCAATTGCGTCGATCCGGGTAAGTTTAACTGCGCTCTTCGAACAATGTGGGCTTGTCTCATCTTACATAACCGTAAACCCACTCTCCTTCACAGATGAGAACGAATGCAAGCAGCGTCCATGCGATGTGTTTGCCCATTGCACAAACACATTGGGCAGCTTCACGTGTACCTGCTTTCCGGGCTATCGCGGCGATGGTTTCCATTGTGAAGGTAAGTGCCAGCCATGCTGTTAGCATAAGCTTAATGACCGACCAGATCCAACAACCACCGAGACCCGACAACAGTACAAATGATTGTTGTTGCCGTTTTGTACTTCCGTCAACGTCTGTTATATTATTTTTGCCTGGTTAGCTGCCACTGCCGCTGCCACTCTGCCTGCCAGACCATGAATTAGTCTAGGTTACCCATAGATCTTAATGCTAACGGTTTATTTCGCTGGAAATCTCTTCAAGTCAAGCCGTTTCAATCGTCTCAAGTGCCCAGCCTCTATTTGAAAATGTAACAAAAGACGCGCCGGCCATCAAAACAGCAACAACAATAACAGCATGAAAGCTTTTCCCTCAGCTTACAATGGCCCAGCAATGGAATCTCCTCTGTATACTTATCCAGCGGAGCAATAATAACGACCGTGTAGCGATTACACTAGTGTACCTTATAGCGTCTTTGTTATGAGTCTGTTATTGTCGGAGTTGTGAACATTGAAACTAAAGAGGCGTATGGAAACGAAGCCGTCAGAATCAGTATTAGATCATCCAAGTTTCAGTTTAAGGCTTTCTAATGGTCCAATAGAATTGCAACTCTATATCAATAATGCGATGAATCTTTCTGCCTTAACCTCTAAGTACCAAAGAGTATTGCTTAATAATGAAGATACCTTAGATGAGATTTACAATATATTTTATTATTCCTATAGGATAAACAAATACCCTTTTCTGATTTTACTATGACAAAAATGACAACTATTTTATTTGGCTTTTGCTGATTTCAAGCATTTACCATGCTTAAATGTTAATGTTATAGAACAAATATATTTAATATTCTTCTTATATCATTGATATTGGTTTACTTTTTCTGCTTCTATTGTAGTCCCCACCTACTCTTCTCCCGACTGATATAGTTTCAAATACAGGTCTCGGGTTAATGAGATTAATTCATCTACTTGTTCTCTTTAAATTGCTCACAGCGTGGTTCCGAAAACCCTTCGGCGCACCTGTTTGCTTGCCTTGCCTATTCGACAGTGAAAAACTGGCAGCCATAATTGGACTGGGCCTAATGTTGCGTAATGAAAACACATTATGGAACCACAAAGGAAAAAGAGCACGAAAAAAATCTAAAAACTACAATAATAACTTGAAAAGCAGAAGATTCTAAGCGAGGTACCACTTACCGCGAGACTCTTCCTATAGCGGCTGCTGCTGCTCCCGCTCAAGTTGATGATGATGATTGCAATGATGGTGGTGGCTGTGGTGGTGGCGGTGGCGGTGGCCGCAGTAGGCATGAAAACCACGAACATTTGTAGCAATGCTTTCGCGCCATGAAACAGACATAGACATAATCGTACCTACGAGCATACACGTCTGTTAGACGTGGAATCAGTGTCATGTAATCTGACCCCAAACATGGACACGCCAGAACTTTCAACACTCAAGAGCATGTGTCTAGCTGCGGCTACGGCTGCGGCTGCTGCTGATGCCTCTTCCCGCTTCCCGTTTCCCGTTTCGGACGATACAATGCGATAACGAGCGCAAATTTCACAAACGCTCTGGCATTACCCCACTAAGTATGAAGACGTTGCCGAGATTCTAGATTACATGTGACGACTTCTCGCAGCGACTGTCAGGCGACTGGTGGGGGGAGGGGCAGTAGGGTGGAGTCACAGTTTGCAACGACCGGCAGGCATGCATAAATTCTGGCCAGTGGCATGTGACGCCAGCATCGCATTTCAGTCATACGAGCATTATCTAATTCCTTTCCGTTCCCCAACGTTTCTTCTCTCACCTATTACACGTATTCATGATGCATTTCATTACGCCAGCGCGAAGTCTGAGTCTGAGTTCCACAGAACATCTCAAATTGTCTGTAATCATTTGAATCAACCTGTTTTAAATATGCTGAGAAAGTTTCGTCTACCCATGTGCGTGGAATAAGTACTTGAACCCCACTTGAATGCCACTAACACGCACTCTCGGCTTTCCCACCAACTGCAGCGAATCAAAGCCACTACGAGTATATCTAATTAAATCTTGATGAATTGACTTCAAAACGACGCTACATTAGTAGTTAATTACTTTAAATTATTCGCAAGTTGACTTAGAATTCCCACTGTGAAAAAATTTCCAGTGCGCACAGCTTTAGAACTATTATTGAACTAAACCCGATTATAGCTTAAACAAAAATTTAATCACATCATATTATGCGAAATGCCGTTTGACACCCTTGTAGTGGGAATTATTATTTCTACACATATCGAAAAAGGCCCCCCTTTTTAAATCAATAAAATCATGTCGTACTTTTTTTTTGTTTCTGTTTAAGTCTGTCAGTTTTTTTAGAAGTTAAATTCAATCGGATCGTCTTCATATAGCATATAAATTCCATTAGCAAATTTGAGTTCTTGTATGATTAGCTTTTTCATTTTCAAGGATTTTTTAGCTACCTTTGGATTGCATCCTCTTCTATTATTTACTATCATATAACTCCCATAGGGACAATCCGTCAATGGATTTAGTGTGTAAAAATAAAAAATTAAAAACAATTATTTTTGTTTATTGCACATATTGGGCAGTCCACAACTATCTATATTTTATGGAACTGGCAAACATATTTAATGTCTAGGAAAATCCCAACCGTCTGTATATATCCAGTTTGCATTGCTTTCTCAAGTTCACCCAATAAACTTTGCAAGAAATCATGGCCAGTCTGAAGTTAGCCAAGCCAGTTCTCCCCCCACATTTGAGTGCAGATGGGGACACATTTTGCGTGGCGGGAGATTACGCGCCTACCTGTTTGGCTGCCGGGTCTAACGGTATGAAGTGGGGCTGCCACCTGTTGCAGACCTGGTGGCACATTCGCATTATTTCATGTTCATAACTTAGATGCGTGCATTTGGCGATGGCTTCGTTAACGCAACGCCAAAGTCCAGTTATGCAATGAAGCCTTAAGTCTGAAGACGGGAAAGACAAAATTGCAACACACACAGACAAAAGTCACACACACACATTGGCACCCAGTTTGTTAGTTTGTGGCAAGTCAATAGCTGTTTCTAATGCATTTGTCTTGCAACGCGCCAACCAGAAAAATGGAGTGAGTGCCTCGAGTTGAGTGCTAAATTTATAACCATTTTTGCGGCAGTCAAGAGACTGCAACAGCAAGAGCAACAGCAACAACACGAAATAATCTTACAAGTTGTTGCAGCTGTTGTTGTTCTCTTGCTGTGTTTATTGTGTGTTGTTCTTGTTTTTATTTAAGTTTGTTTGCCACGTTCACCAGGCGGCTGCTCCCTTTCGTTTCGCTAACTGGGGCAGATCATTAAAACGGATAAAATAGATTGTGGCCCACGTAGCGCAGCTTTGGCGGCATTGGCAACGCATGAGGCGGTAGCATTGTCGGCGCTTAATGCTGTCCTCAAAAGCCGCAAACAGCACTGCCTTCAACGCCAGCTCCAGCTCCAGCTCCCAGCTCCCAGTTACAAGAGCTACAGTCAACTCGACGCACAGTTTCCGATCAACGTCAGCTGATAAGAGTCGCTAGTTTTTAAAGAACGGACGTGTTTAATCTGCAGTACAGACCTATATATCGTATATAGTGAATATATATAAATATGTATGTATATTGGCTTTTGGTACTTTGCACTTTTTGCATATCAAAAATGGCAGCAATTAATTGCCGTGTCGTAGCTGCCGCTGATAAGCCATGAAAATGTCTTAAGGCGTTGGCATTGACACGCCTCATTATAGATGTCGCCCCTCGCTCCTCATCTCCCTTCCATCACAGCATGTTGCCACATTTACGCAGCCAGTAGGCGGCGCTGCCAATTGAGCCACCCATGACTTCAACTTCGACGCCGGCTGACATCACTTGACTGAGCCGACTGTCGGCCCCGACCTTGATCTTTTTGCCTTACATACTTAACGCATAATTGCGCCACAAATTTAATAGCTAATTTTATTTTGCCCTCATGTTATGCACTATTTATACATGTTTAATACCCTGTACGCGCTATTTAGATGGCGTTTTCGACCTATATATTTATAGTGGACCAGTCAAGATATCTGCGCCCTTTTTTTCTAACAAATACATTAGCTCCAACAAATCCCATTTATTGCACAACTTAAAATGTTCTAAATCTTGATACTAATTATTTTAAAAATGTGGCTAGGCTTTTGTCATTTGTATGTGTTTATGACCAGGAACTAGGTAACTTCAAAACTTTGCTGAGGGTATCGCTAGTCGAGCACTCGCGACATGAGCATTTTAAATTGTTTCTTATCCGCTTCAGTTTTTGCTCAAGTTCAAATGTTAGTTAGTTATGCTTCACCATAAATAAGACACATAGACTTTTGAGTTTTGTGTGTTTCTGTCTGTTTCTATTTTTTTTTTAAGCAGCCCATCATCGTACAGCAGTCGAGCATGAAAGTCATGTCCGCTCGTAAATTGCTGCTTTTCTATATGCGAATACACATACTCGAATATGCGACTGGTATCTGTAAAAATAGTGCAAAAATTTGTGGCACGAATGTCATAACTCAAATAAAAAAACAACAACAAATTGCAAATGCTAATTAGTTGAACAATTACATAGATTTATTAGATGGACGCCAGCCAGACCAGACGACATATAACAGACCAGACCACGCTTTATCATCCATGTAGATTTTTGTTTAGCATTTCACAATACTCGAACAGCAACGGCTGCTAATTAGTGTTGATTAGTGCAGTTAATAAAAGTGCAGAATGTTTGCCAAGCCGACTAAACTTGATTGTTATATAATTCAACCAGAATGGGAATTATAGAAGATGCCGAATATTTGATACTCTAGGCGAGCCTGTCAGCTATGTGGTAAAAAAATCAAATTTTAAACTAGTATTTACAGAGAGGCTTGACATAGAGCCTTAACTCTCCTAGTTCGCATACCCTGAAATATTTACATTCTTAGTAAGAGCCTAAATTGGCTTGTTGCAAGTAAATTGTAGCATAAGTATCATATCTTAAAAGGTACAAGAGAACGTTACTCATTTCTATCAGCGTTAAAATAGCCTTAATAGGGTATTAAAACTGTCAGTTCTTAGTGAAACAATTTCTAACTTCTTCAAATGCCACTCAAAAAAAAGGTGGTTATAATCAAGCCTCAAACTCCAAAGTCAGCCGGAAATCAGAACCATGTATGGCTGAGAATACGAGAGAATTATGTCAGCATCGTTTTCAACATGCATTCAACTTAATTACATTTAGTCACGCATATTTGATTGGTTTTCAACCGGAGAGCTACAACATTTAGCCCAAGGCTGGCCCACGCCCACATCGAATGGAGTAGAACTTTGCCCCAAAAATCTCTATTATAATTAGTTGCTGAGGCGCAAATAAATTGAATTTTGCACCTGACGTCTAGCGTACTGTAAAATATGAAAGCTGGCAGCAGGAGCCACAGCCAAATGGCCAATGGCCTTTGGTCAATGGCCTAAGCCTGGGCGTAGGACTCGGACTGAGGCTGGACTGCGGTGCCTGGACAACCTTCTGTCTCAGCCTTCAGTAACCGCATTGCATAAAGTAATTAAACTGACATTGAAACTTAGAAGAACATAGAATGCTTCCTGCTTCTGGCTAAACTTCTGGCCAACGCTACCAACTGCCAACTGCCAACTGGCAGACAGGCGAACGAAGACGATGACATTGAGTAATCAGAGTTAGCAATTGCTGGCGTTGCAGCAGAAAATCATGGAATGCAGCCATATCAGTTGGATACGGAGAGAGAGATAGAGTTGATGGGGGGAATACCAGTTTTAGAGTGATGATCCTCTTAATTTATAAGCTAAAAACTAGTAATTATAACTGCGCAACATGCTCGACTGCTCATAATTACAAGGCACTCCACTCACACACATCTCACTCTCTGTACACGTCCTTGTCTTTGGCTTTTGCCAACTTTTGTACTTATGTCATATTAGCTATAAATGTACAACATCTCTTATCCATAAGCCCAATGATTAATGGCCCACAGTTAGCCAAAGAGAACTCCATTGGGTAAATACATTTGTATCTTTATGGGGCCCTTTGCCAGTTGCCGCTTCATTGGCTTCGGGGGTATTCAATTGAATTCTTAATGTTCTGTATGCTTTTTGAGCGGAAAAGCTCAATGTGGTACTTCCGCATGAGCTGACTATGAATTCGTTCAATTAATAAGCACCGTCCTCAAGCAGAATTAAGCAATTAAATTCAAAAACAAACCAAAATTCCCAAATACAAAATAAAAATAAAAAGCAAAGCAAAATTTTAATAATTGTTTAAAATCTTGGCGATCACTTACCCAAATAAGTTCCCAACTAGACAATAATGAAGCTTCACTATTCATCTGAAAGGGAAAAAGGAAAGTTGGATTAATGATTTATCTAATTATAAGAGTACATTATGAGTGTACTTAAGGCTCTAATCACAAGTGCCCTAATCTCGACTCACAACTAATAAACAGTAAACAGTATGTACTTAGATTTATAATGAAAACTATAATAAAAGATAACAATTAGCTCACGTAAAACTGTCTAAAAAGCATATGTAAAAATAGACGACAACCTTTCAAGTGTCATTCTAGCATTAAATACTTATTATCGATAAATTGGTGTCACTTAAATCATAATGTGCTTGAAGGCAAATTATGATATTTAATTAAGCAAAATAAAAAATAAACATAATCTGTGCTCGAATAAATTTAATTACGATTCGTTGTCAATGGTCTTGCCCTGTGCACACTGTATGCTGAAGATCTAATTGGTTTGGTAAATGTATGCAACTGGTGCATCCTGCGCGCATTGACATTGCTGCTTGGTTTGGCTTAGCTCTACATGAATATATACAGTCATGTAAATGACACTGAAATGTCATGCGTAACATGCAAATTTCAAATGCCAAAGCCACTTAGTGGTGGGTCGTTCAGATGGGCCAACAACGCAGCTACATGCGATGCGCAGTCGAGCGGCAAGTGCGTAGAACGCCGCCATGATAGCAAGTTTGTAGCTTAAGTCTTTCGTTTGGTAGGGCTTTTAAATTTTAATTGCGTCTCATTTGTGTCCAAGCACACTCGATTAATCATGCCTTTTCTATTATGATTGTTGTTGCAGACATTGACGAATGCCAAGATCCGGCGATAGCGTCGCGTTGCGTGGAGAATGCCGAATGCTGTAATCTGCCGGCGCATTTCCTGTGCAAGTGCAAGGACGGCTATACGGGAGACGGCGAGGTGCTGTGCACTGACATCGACGAGTGCAGCAATCCGCTGGCCTGTGGCGCCCATGCCCAGTGCATCAATACGCCCGGCAACCACACGTGCGCCTGCCCCGAAGGCTTTGTGGGCAATCCTTATGACGGTTGTCAGGATGTTGATGAATGCGCATATCCGAATGTGTGCGGACCAGGTGCCATATGTACGAATCTCGAGGGCAGTTATCGCTGCAACTGCCCGCCGGGATACGATGGCGATGGACGCGCCGAACAGGGCTGCGTCGATCTGGACGAATGCGCACGCACGCCATGCGGACGCAATGCGGATTGCCTAAATACGGATGGCAGCTTTCGCTGCCTTTGCCCCGATGGCTTCAGCGGTGACCCAATGCACGGGTGCGAAGGTGAGTACGATATATACGCTGAAAAATGTATTATCATATTTGACATATTGCCATCATATTTTGAAAATTTTTGCACTATTGTTTTGGCCGAATACGCACACATGCACTACACCATACACATACATACATGCCACTTGCAACATAAATGCACCGCAATTTGATTCATTAATATTATTAATGCCTAACACGAATAAACGCCAGCAGATGTCGATGAATGCGCCATTAACAATCCATGCGGTTTGGGTGCTCAATGCGTGAACTTGGGCGGTAGCTTTCAATGTCGTTGTCCACTGGGCTTTGTGCTTGAGCATGATCCGCACGCTGAGGCGCCAATGGTGGCCACACCCACACTACAACTGGGCTATGCCGATGGCGATACACTGATAACACCAGCCCCAACATCGGGCGCCGGCTTGGCCTGCCTGGACATCGATGAGTGCAATCAGCCGGATGGTGTGGCCAAATGTGGTACCAATGCCAAGTGCATTAATTTCCCAGGGTCATATCGCTGTCTCTGTCCAAGCGGATTTCAAGGACAGGGCTATTTACACTGCGAGAGTTAGTATTTGCCTGTTTGCATGTTTTGCCAAAAGTCAGAAAGTTCAATTCTCATGAACTGAGAATTTGGCTATCGGCTCAGAGATGAATGCGAGTCAAGATACGTTAGTGTTACATACGATCATAATTAGAATACAAAACAGCAATTTTCTATTATTAAATGAAATTAATTAAATTAAATGTCACTTGATATTGCAATTTCTTACTAATTCAAATTTTTACGTTTAGAATCCTAAATGTTGATTGTTTTGTATTTTGGCTCGCGCCCATCTCTACTTTATATTATAAAGAGCTTCAAAGCTTTGCTTAGGCTTGCAAAACGCAACTTCAATTATGCATGGCTTTTGTAAGCTTTAGCAGTTGCTCTCTACTCTTATATACTCTGTGCTTCCTTTCGCCATATGCTTTCAGCTGCTTTTTTACAAGTATTGAGAGCTTCCAAACCTCGCTTTTATTTCCGCTTTCCCCGACAATATCTTCTATTTCCCAATCCAAACATTTTTTCCCACACCCGCTCCCCCGACTTTCACGCTATAATTTCACATACTTCATAATATTGTATTGTTTGATTTGATTACTAATTTAATTAATTACAATATATTTAACCGCCTCCCTTCTTGACCCGAAAAAAAACGCTACAAAACACGCCAATAAACACGCGTTGCCTGCTCCCCTCAAAAACACGTACCCCTCACCCCTTGCACAACGTGACCGTGAACGTGTGCAGACATCAACGAATGCCAGGATAATCCGTGCGGAGAAAACGCGATATGTACGGACACCGTCGGCAGTTTCGTTTGTTCGTGCAAACCGGACTACACCGGTGATCCGTTCCGCGGCTGCGTGGATATCGATGAATGCGCCGCACTGGATAAGCCATGTGGACAGCATGCGATCTGTGAAAATACCGTACCGGGCTACAATTGCAAATGCCCGCAGGGTTATGATGGAAAGCCCGATCCAAAAGTGGCCTGCGAACAAGTCGATGTGAACATTTTATGTCGCAGCAACTTTGATTGCACAAACAATGCCGAGTGCATTGAGAACCAGTGTTTCTGCTTGGACGGATTCGAGCCCATTGGATCCAGCTGCGTAGACATTGATGAGTGTCGCACTCACGCAGAGGCCTGCGGCCCTCATGCCCAATGCCTGAACACGCCTGGTTCCTATCGATGCGACTGCGAAGCAGGCTACGTGGGCAGCCCTCCGCGAATGGCTTGCAAGCAGCCCTGCGAGGATGTGCACTGTGGTGCTCATGCTTACTGCAAGCCGGATCAGAACGAAGCGTACTGTGTTTGCGAGGATGGATGGACCTATAATCCGAGTGATGTGGCCGCTGGATGCGTGGATATTGATGAGTGCGATGTGTTGCACGGACCCTTTGGTAGCTGTGGCTATAATGCCAGCTGCACCAACACACCAGGTGGCTATAGTTGCGCTTGTCCACCCGGCTTCTCAGGTGATCCACACAGCAAGTGCCTAGATGTGGATGAGTGCCGAGCGGGTGGTAAATGCGGCGCTGGTGCTGATTGTGTTAATATGCCAGGAGGCGGTTACACTTGCCGCTGCCCCGAGGGCACAATTTCAGACCCGGATCCGTCAGTGCGCTGCGTCCCCATCGTTAGCTGCGCCACCAACGAGCAGTGCCCAGGAAATGCCATCTGCGATGAGACCAAACGCTGTCTGTGTCCGGAACCAAATATTGGCAATGATTGTCGACATCCCTGCGAGACGCGCGACTGCGGCGCCCATGCCCAGTGCATGCTGGCCAATGGACAAGCACAGTGCCTCTGCGCGCCAGGCTATACGGGTAATGCAGCATTACCAGGAGGATGCAGTGATATCGACGAGTGCCGCGCCAATCCCTGCGCTGCCAATGCAATTTGCAGCAACACAGCCGGCGGGTATTTGTGCCAATGCCCAGGTGGATCCACTGGTGATGCCTATGGCGAAGGCTGCGCCACAGCCAAGACTGTAGGCTGCTCCGATACCAGTCCGTGTGCCTTAGGCGAAAGCTGTGTTCAGGATACATTTACAGGCAGCAGTGTTTGTATTTGTCGCCAAGGATATGAGCGTAATCCCGAAAGTGGCCAGTGCCAGGATCTTGATGAGTGTGGAGCACAGCGTGCAAAGCCTGCGTGTGGCCTGAATGCACTCTGTAAAAATCTGCCAGGCAGTTACGAGTGTCGCTGTCCACAAGGATATACCGGTAATCCCTTCGTCATGTGCGAGATCTGCAGCAGTCCCGAGTGTCAATGCCAAGCACCGTATAAGCTGCTCGGTAACAGCTGCGTGTTGGCTGGTTGCTCTAGTGGACAGCCATGCCCCAGCGGTGCGGAATGCATTTCTATAGCGGGTGGTGTAAGCTACTGCGCTTGCCCCAAGGGCTACCAAACCCAGCCGGATGGAAGCTGCATAGATGTCAATGAGTGCGAGGAACGTGGTGCTCAGCTATGCGCCTATGGAGCTCAATGCGTCAACCAGCAGGGCGGCTACAGCTGTCACTGCCCCGAGGGCTACCAAGGAGATGCCTACAATGGACTCTGCGCGCCGGCACAGCGGAAATGTGCTGCTGATAAGGAGTGCGCCAGCAATGAAAAATGTATACAGCCAGGCGAATGTGTTTGCCCGCCGCCCTACTTTCTGGATCCACAGGATAACAACAAATGTAAGAGTCCCTGTGAGCGTTTCGCCTGTGGCATCAATGCCAAGTGCACGCCATCCGATCCACCGCAGTGCATGTGCGAAGCGGGATTTAAAGGTGACCCACTGCTCGGATGCACCGATGAAGATGAGTGCGCCCACTTGCCCTGCGCCTATGGTGCCTACTGTGTCAACAAAAAGGGCGGCTACCAATGCGTCTGCCCCAAGGGATTCACCGGTGATCCCTACAAGAGTGGTTGCATACTGGAGAACGGCGTACCAAAGAGTACCTGCCTTAACAACGAAGACTGCGCTAGCAATCTAGCCTGTCTGGATGGCAGCTGTCTCAGTCCCTGCGCCAGTCTGCTATGTGGCTCCAACGCCTATTGCGAGACGGAACAGCATGCAGGCTGGTGCCGCTGTCGTGTAGGTTTCGTCAAGAATGCCGATGGCGATTGTGTATCGCAGTGCCAGGATATAATCTGCGGTGATGGCGCGCTTTGCATACCCACCAGCGAGGGACCCACATGCAAGTGCCCACAGGGCTACTTAGGCAATCCCTTCCCGGGCGGAAGCTGCAGCACTGATCAGTGCACTGCCTCTAGACCCTGCGATGAGCGTCAGATCTGTATTAATGGACGCTGTAAGGAACGTTGCGAGGGCGTTGTCTGTGGCATTGGCGCCACCTGCGATAAGAACAACGGTAAATGTGTCTGTGAGCCTAACTTTGTGGGCAATCCTGATCTGCTATGCATGCCACCCATCGAACAAGCCAAATGCTCACCAAACTGCGGCGAAAATGCGCATTGCGAGTATGGACTAGGCCAGAGCCGTTGCGCCTGTAACCCAGGCACCTTTGGTAATCCCTACGAGGGATGCGGCGCCCAGAAAAAGAACGTCTGCCAACCAAACAGCTGCGGACCGAATGCCGAGTGCCGTGGTGCGGATAATCAGATTACATGCATATGTCCACAAGGATTTAACGGTAACCCCTATGTGGGCTGCCAGGATGTGGACGAGTGCGTCAACAAGCCGTGCGGTCTAAACGCTGCCTGCCTTAACACAGCGGGTAGCTTTGAGTGTCTCTGTCTATCCGGCCATGCCGGCAATCCATACAGCAGCTGCCAGCCTATTGAGAGCAAGTTCTGTCAGGATGCTAACCAGTGTCAGTGCAGCGAGCGCGTAGAATGCCCCGATGGCTACAGCTGTCAAGGTGGCCAGTGCAAGAATCTATGCTCCAACACAGCGTGTGGGCCGCGTGCAATTTGCGACGCAGGCAAATGTTTGTGCCCGCTGGGCTATGTGGGAGATCCGCTTGACCTGAGCCAAGGCTGCAGTATACGCGGCCAGTGCGGCAACGATGCGGACTGCCGCCACACGGAGATCTGCTTCCAGCTGGGTAAGGGCTTGCGCAAGTGCGTGGATGCCTGTTCCAAGATTCAATGCGGTCCCAATGCGCTGTGTGTGGCTGATGATCATCGTTCCTCCTGCATTTGCGCCGACGGATACTTTGGAAATCCGAGCAATCTACAAGTAGGCTGCCAGCCGGAACGCAAGGTTCCCGATCTTGAAAATAAATGCAAGACAGACAAGGATTGCAAACGTGGTTTTGGCTGTCAAACAGATGCACTAGGCAGTCGCGAGTGCATTAATTTGTGCTCCAACGTTGTCTGTGGTCCCAACGAACTTTGCAAGATCAATCCAGCCGGACACGCCATTTGCAACTGTGCGGATAGCTTCGTATGGAATCCAGTTGTCTCATCATGCGAGAAGCCTTCGCTACCCGACTGCACCAGTGATGAGAACTGCCCAGATGGCTCCGCTTGCCGCCCTGACGTACTAGGTGTGCTAAAGTGTGTTGCCATCTGCGATGCGTTCACTTGTCCGGCCAACTCAATTTGCGTTGCCCGCCATCATCAAGGACGATGTGATTGCCTAAGTGGATTTGTGGGAAATCCCAACGATCGCAATGGCTGCCAGTTGGAGCGCAAGCATCAGTGCCGTAGTAATGCTGAATGTCCCGAATCGGAAGCGTGCATTAAGGACGAATCCACGCAGTCGCTGAGCTGTCGTTCCGCTTGTGACAGCGTTAAATGTGGACCACGTGCCGTTTGTATCACGAACAATCATCAGGCACAGTGCCAGTGTCCACCAGGCCCCTACGCAGGTGATCCGTACGATCCCTTTAACGGCTGCCAGAGCGTGCCCTGCGTCTACAACCATGATTGTCCAACTAATCAAATGTGCAACCGCATGACGCACACCTGCTACGATGTGTGCGATGAGGAATCCTGCGGAGAAAATGCTATTTGCCTGGCCGAAGATCATCGCGCCGTCTGTCAGTGTCCGCCCGGCTACCGTGGAAACCCACTGCCTGAGGTAGCTTGCGTTAAGCAAAATGGCTGTGCGCCTGGCAGCTGCCATCCCACGGCAATATGTGAGGTCACGCCCGATGGCGCCAGCTGCAAGTGCCCACCCCTATTTGTGGGCGAGCCTGAGCCCAATTCCAGGGGCTGCCGTCCAGATGGACAGTGCCCCAATGGCGATGCTGACTGCCCGGTAAATACAATCTGCGCTGGAGGGCGCTGTCTAAATCCCTGCGATAATGCCTGTGGAGCCAATGCGGACTGCAAGGTGGTCAATCGGAAGGCGGTTTGCAGCTGTCCGCTGCGATTCCAGCCTATCTCCGACTCTGCAAAGAACGGCTGCGCACGTAGTGCGTCCAAGTGTCTCACAGACGTCGATTGTGGAGGAGAACTGTGCTACAATGGCCAGTGCCGCGTGGCATGCCGTAACACACAGGACTGCTCTGATGGTGAGAGCTGCTTGGGAAATGTTTGCGTTGTGGCCTGCCTGGATCATAGCCAGTGCGCCAAGGGCTTGGCCTGTATGGAGGGTCACTGCGCCATCGGCTGTCGCAGCAACAAGGAGTGCAAGCAGGAGCAGTCGTGCATTGGTAACAAGTGCATGGATCCTTGTCAATCAAGCACCAGCTGCGGACCCAATGCGCTCTGTAGCATTGCCCAGCATCGCAGTCAATGCACCTGCCCGGATGGCTTCGAGGGCAACCCAACACCCGAACAAGGTTGCGTGCGGGTGCCCTCTCCCTGTCTCGCCAGTAACCAGTGTCCGAGCGGTCATATGTGCATTGGCAATCAGTGTAATCTGCCCTGCACCAAGACCTCCGCCTGCGCCGTGGGAGAACGATGCTACCAGCAGGTCTGCAGAAAGGTCTGCTACACCAGCAACAATTGTCTGGCGGGCGAGATCTGCAACAGCGATCGCACCTGCCAGCCTGGCTGCGAATCGGATGCGGATTGTCCACCTACCGAGCTATGTTTAAGTGGAAAGTGCAAATGCGCCAATGGATTTATTGGCACGCCCTTCGGATGCTCGGATATTGATGAGTGCACGGAACAGCCATGCCATGCCACCGCGAAATGTGAAAATGTGCCTGGCTCTTATCGTTGCGTCTGTCCGGAGGGCACCGTTGGAGATGGTTACACACAACTGGGTTGCACAAAGCCGAGAGAGTGCAACAAGCCTGACGACTGCGCCAATAGCTTGTCCTGTATTCATGGCAAGTGCACGGATCCTTGTTTGCACACGGTATGTGGAGCCAATGCGCAATGCCAAGCGGAAGCCCATGAGTCAGTGTGCACCTGTCCTGCTGGCTATCTGGGAGATCCCAATGACACCGGTGTCGGTTGTTTTAAAGTAGAGTGTATTGATCATGTGGACTGCGCAAGTGATCGAGCCTGTGATGCAGAGACTAACCGCTGTATTAAGCCATGTGACCTAATCAGCTGCGGTAAGGGCAGCTGTCAGGTGTCAGATCACAAAGCCGTATGTGAATGTAACGAAGGCTACCAGCTTATCAATGAAGCTTGTGAGGATATCAACGAGTGCTTACACCAGCCTTGTCATAGCACAGCTTTCTGCGACAATCTGCCCGGCAGCTTCAACTGTAAGTGCCCCGAGGGACTAATTGGTGATCCTCTGCAGGCGGGCTGTCGCGATCCAAGCGAATGCCTCAGCGATGCTGACTGCCCGACCACGGCCAGCTGCCAGAACTCCCGATGCCGTAGTCCTTGTGAGCGCCAAAACGCTTGTGGGCTAAATGCAAATTGCTTAGCCCAGTCTCACAATGCCATTTGCAGCTGTCCTGCCAACTCGCGTGGTGATCCGCAAGTAGAATGCGTGCACATCGAGTGCGCCGACAATGGCGACTGTGGCGCTGATAAGGCCTGCCTAGATGCCAAGTGTATTGATCCCTGCTCGCTCCCGAATGCCTGTGGTGCGCTGGCTCGATGTTCGGTGCAGAATCATATTGGTGTCTGTGCGTGCGAGTCGGGCAGCACTGGAGATGCTAAACAAGGCTGTGTGCCGCTTCAATACTGCCAACAGGACACTCAGTGTCCACAGGGCAGCATCTGTGCGCACGGAATATGCAGTCCTTTATGCAGCAGTAATCGCGATTGTATTTCGGAGCAGCTATGTCTGCAGGGCGTCTGCAAGAGCACCTGCAAGACGAACACCACCTGTCCACAGTTCCAGTTCTGCCAAAACAACATTTGCGTCAAAGAGATGGAGTGCAGTGTTAATAGCGACTGCGGCGAGGATGAAACTTGCCTTGTCGATGCCTACGGACGTGCTCGATGTGAATCTGTCTGCCTTGGACGCTCTGCTTGTGGACGCAACGCGGAATGCATTGCGCGCTCCCATGAGCCCGACTGCATATGCAAGGAGGGTTTCTTTGGGGATGCCCGTTCTGGCTGCCGCAAAATCGAGTGCAGCACTGATGCTGACTGTTCCAACGATAAAAGCTGCGACAATCATATGTGCAAGATCGCCTGCTTGATTGGTCAGCCGTGCGGAGAGAATGCACTTTGCACTACCGAGAATCATCATCAGGTGTGCCACTGTCAGCCCGGATTCAGTGGCGATCCGCGCATCCGTTGTGATATCATTGACTTTTGTAAGGACGCGCCGTGCGGACCCGGCGCCCGTTGTCGCAATTCGCGTGGTTCCTACAAATGCACCTGTCCACCTGGTCTCGTCGGCGATCCCTACAACGAGGGTTGCCGCAGCTCCGTCGAGTGCGAGACGCACGACGATTGTCCCCCGCATGCCGCATGTACCAAGACTAACGGAGTACCCAAATGCCAGGATGTGTGCGCTCAGCTGCAGTGTGGCCCCAATGCGGAATGTGTTCCGAAAGGTCATGTGGCGCACTGTGCATGTCGCAATGGCTACGACGGCCAACCCGCTGACCGGCTGGCCGGTTGCAAGCCATTGCCAATGCCCTGCCAAATCACTAGCGATTGTCCCACCAACACATACTGCTCAGAAAGCGTATGTAAACGTAAGTACTAACACCAAACACCAACCCGAGCACAAACCCGAGTGGCTAAAACCGACTACTAGACATTTACCAGCTACCAACTACCCACAAACTTAATTAACTAATTACACACTTACAAACTAGCACAAATATTTGTTGTGGGTTGTGTTTATAGTCAAAAGATATGCATACAAGGCCAGCTTAGCGAAGAATCTCTTCTTCCTGAGCAGGCGTTGAGCATAATAAGCCATTGGCTTAAGACTCAATACTGCAGCAACTGCAAGAGCTACTCTCGCAGCTCTGGTCTAACTTTGGACTGGCTTTGATCACAGTGCTACCCGTAGCATAGACTAACTGTAAACTAAACAACAATATATACACACGACAACAACACCACACGTACAAGGCAAGACCGTAACGCCAACCAAAAGCTAGGCAGCTAAATCCAATTATATCTTTGCTAATTCTATCGAATCTACCAACAGCTGCCTGTTTGCTTGACACCGAGTGTGCTCCATCGGAAGTGTGTCAGGGCGGTCAATGCTTTGACCCCTGTCAGCAACCGCAGGCATGTGGCCAGAATGCCGAATGCCTGATGCTGAGCCATGTGAAACAGTGCCATTGCCCGGAGGGCTTTACTGGCGACGCAGCCAAGGAATGCGTGCGTGTGCCGGTGGCCTGCGATGGTGACTGTGCGCCTGGTTACACCTGCCGCGACTCAATGTGCCTGCCCATCTGTCACAATGATCTGGAGTGCGCCTCCAATGAAAAGTGCCTGCGTGGCAACTGCATGTGTAAGTAGTTTCTAACCGACGAAGTATTCTCCTTTAATTTTCATCTTTCTCTAGTAACCTGCCGTGTCGACAACGACTGCTTCCTGGGCCATGTGTGCCTGCATAACAAGTGCGTCTATGGCTGTCACGTGGATGACGATTGCAGCGCTTCCGAATCCTGTCGCAACGATAAGTGCGTCAATCCCTGCGTTGAGAATCCTTGCGGACCCAACGCCGTATGCTCGGTGTCAAATCATCGCGCCAGCTGCAGTTGTCTGGACAATATGGTGCCCAACCCCACACCCCAGGTGGGTTGTGTGCGAACGCCCCCTCTGGAGTGCCATGAGAACCGCGACTGCAACAATGGGCTGGCCTGTTTTGAGTCCGTTTGTCGTCCACTGTGTGCCGACGATGCCGGCTGCCTGACCAATGAGCGTTGCCAACAGGGTGTCTGCAAGCCGCTCTGCCGCCATGATAACGAGTGTGCCAATGGAGAGCTGTGTCTGGGACTTAACTGCGTCACGGGCTGCCGCTCCGACCAAGGCTGCCCCAATCATTTGGCCTGCATTGGCCAGCAATGCGTAGATCCCTGCTCGGAGCCCACTGCATGCGGCACTAATGCACTTTGCCAGGCCATCGACCATCGAAAGCAATGTAGCTGCCCCGAGGGACTCAGTGGCAATGCCAACGTGGCATGCAAGGCGCCACGCACTGCCTGTGGTCGCAACGAGGACTGCGATGCAAATCAGCTCTGCTATGCAGGCAGTTGCCAGGGAAAATGCCGTAACGATCAGAACTGCCTCTCGGATGAACGCTGTATGCGCGGCACATGTCGCACCGTGTGCAACACGGATAGCGCCTGTGCTCAAGGTCAGATCTGTGAGAATCGCGTATGCCAAACGGGATGCCGCAACGATCTCAGCTGCGCTAGCGAAGAGGCTTGCGTTAATAAGAAGTGCCAAAATCCCTGCCAAGCACCTGGCCAGTGCGGGCAATGCGCTGAATGCCTTGTCATCAATCACGGTGTCCAGTGCCAGTGTCCAGCTTCATTCATTGGCGATGGCCTAACCGGCTGTCAGCTACCGCCCGAGCGTTGTCATCCAGGTTGTGAATGTGACGAAAGCGGCGCCTATTGCGCCGCAAAATGCAGCCGCACTGAGGACTGCGACTGTGGACAGCAGTGCGCACGCGGCAAGTGCCGCAACAAGTGCGGCGCCAAGCGTCAGTGTCCGCTGGGACAGCTGTGCGAGCGCGGTGCCTGCATTGCCGGCTGCAAGTCGAATGGAGACTGTGCTGCTGACCAGAGCTGCCTTAATGGCAAATGCGTTGATCCCTGTGCCGATGACAGGGCCTGTGGTCGCAATGCGCTGTGCACAGTGTCCGAGCATCGTATGCTATGCTACTGCCCTGATGGCTATGAGGGCGAACCAAGCAAGGAGTGTGTACAGTTCGAGTGTCGACAGGATAACGACTGCGAGTCGAGTAAGCGCTGCGATCAGGGCAAGTGTCGGAATCCATGCCTCGAGTTTGGAGCCTGTGGCACAAATGCGCAATGTCGTGTGGTCAATCGTAAAGCCCAATGCTCATGCCCACCAGACTTCTTTGGCAATCCCGCCAGCGAATGTCAGCCACTAGATGGCGGCTGCTCGAACAATCCTTGCGGCGTGAATTCCAAGTGCATTGAGCTACCCGGAGGCTACGAATGTGCCTGCATGGATGGCTGCATGGGCGATGCCCACAAGGGTTGTCTATGCGAAGGTACATTGGTTAATGCTTGTCATGAACAACCCTGCGGTCTAAATGCCGCCTGTCGTGTTCTAAGCAACGATCAGGCCGAATGTTACTGCCCCGAGGACTTCCCCAACGGCGATGCCTATGTGCACTGTAAGTGACTTAATATTTAAAACGGGTTGGTTATAAAAACATACATCCCATGCTTCCAGGCCATTTGACCCCACCAAAAGAGGACTGCCGCACGCGAGGCTGTGATATTGGTGACTGTGTGCGCCAAGGCTATGATTATGTCTGCCAGCAGGGTAAGTGGCCCAAGTCTACATTATTTATAATACCTTTAGTAGCTAGAATACAGCTAATTCTAATAATGTTAGCCAGCGTTTCCGACAAAGTTATCGTTGGTTAATATACTATATTTCATTGGAGTAATCAGTTAGCGTTATTATCGTTTATTGTTGCCGTTATTATTGACATACATATAACTGGAGTTCAGTCAGTAACAAAAACCGATATTGTTGTTATAATATGTATTTGGTTTGATTATCTAGCTATGAGTTGTTTATAAAAACTTTAAAACCAGCTAATTTCACTAATTTAACAGCTTTTACAGCTGCCACAAAAAACTTAATTCAAAGTTCCAGTGTAGTGTGTGTTTTAATAATGATAAATTAAATTAATGAAATTATTAATTAAAAATTTAACAACCTATACACATGTTCCAAGTTTTCAAGTGTAAAAGATTTTTTTAATCAAATCCCCGCGCACAATAGACACACACACACACACACATATATACCCACTAGTACAAGAAACACAAACAAAACACAGCTACACAACTCAAATGCAATTATTTAAAACAGTTTCTTTAAAATAAAAACTAAATAGTTATAATTTCAACACACTTGCTTAAAAGTGAGTGATAGTTTTTAAGGAAGGTTTCCATATGATAATCATATATAAGTATTTTATGACATTCTACCCACCACTGCTAAGATCAACGCATATGGGAGATCGTGGAATGTTGCTGTCGCTATCGCGGTTACCCAATCTGTGCTTAGAATTCATTTATGAAACCCCATTTTTCGCAAAATAACTGCAGCAAAACTTTATATTAATAATATAAGCAAATTTTGATTAACTATACGGAAAACATTAAAAACGACATTTAGTGCATTTTTCAACTTTCGTTTCGTTAAACTTTGGCAGCCCAATTTCATAAAGCTTTAAGGCTTGCGATTATCATTTAGCATTCATTTAGCATATACTCAACGCCTTAGACACATAATTTCGTATAATTGGCTTTTAATAACCCATATTTTGGAGTGTTGCATGTGGCAACACACCCAGCTCCGCGGCATACATCACCTTAGGTTTATGAAATCGTTTAACGCACAGATCAGTAGACAAGTTGGTTCATCTTTAATAAATATCGTATAGTGTTAATATCGAATGCCGCGATAGCGATATGTAGCCCTTAATCACAGCCGAAACCGGGCACTAAAAGTGCAGAAAGAACAACAAACAACAACACTAAATGCAACGCTTATTATAAAGAAATAATTAAAAAAAAAAAAACAATAAATCCTAGACACATCCTTGCTACCCACGGTAAACAAAATATTATCATCGATATCCTTGCTCCCGTTAATCCCATCCTGTGACTCCTATGCTCTATCCGACCGACCCCAAAATGTACCCTATAAAATAAACCAACATTGTTATCCATTATTTTGCCCCCTGCGCCATTCTGTCGTTTCCTTCGCTAAAACAACAAACAAATACAAAAAATTTTACAAATCTATTATTACATTTCTCGAATGAACAAAGTCTCAGATTGGGAACTGTGGACGGGACAATTCTCACACATGGTTCACATATGCTTAAAGTCAATTTTTGTTATTGTCAGTTCAAGTGTACTATAGTACTGAATATAAGTCTCATAAAATCGTATGTATAGATAAATTACAACTACTACTTTTCAATTCATTTCTCAAAGCAAGTCTTACAATATTTGCATTAACCGAAGATAAGGCCGTTCATTTTTGTACAAAACTCCTAAATTACTTGTAAATTTTAAGATCCATGCTCTGATTGCTTCTACCGCCTACATAGCACACTTTAGCTCGTCTATTGGTTGAAAATCGCTTCCGAACAGATGCAAATCTTTAAAAAACAACAACAAAAACTGTAACTAAATTTAACTAACACTGCAAATATATTTTGGTAAATTTGACTAGTCTTTAAGTTGTATATACAGAAATTTGTATATGTGATTAATCACAAATGTACATACATGCGTATACAAATGTGCCGTGTCTTTGCGGCCGTCCAACTAACCCAAAAGAATAAATATAAAACAACCTGTAAATATTTAAATACCAAATTTATCAATTGTGAATTTGAATAACATATCATAAAAAATAAATCCAGTAAATCTACCTAACTACTTTAACGTACTTTTCCAAATTGTACTTATCGATTTTCTACTACTTTCCGCTAATATCGCTTTAGTCAAACGTTGTACCTTCTAGACCTTGCAGTTTGATATATATCATTCGTATGCCTGCGTTCAGTTTTTCTACCTATCTCGCTAATTTCGTCTTATTCTATATCTCTCTTCCTACCTTTATCATGCCTTATTCACTCACCCAATCAATCACCAATAACGTGTCTCTCGTGAGGGCAGAGCGCATGTGTTGGATGTCGTGTAATTTTTACCATAACTCAAGAAATATATGAAAATCTTCGCTTTAGACCAAAGAGATCATTGCTAAAAAAAAGAAAAAAAAACAATAAACATGTCCATATATAAAAATGCAAATAATTGGGCAAATCAAGCGCAAATCTCTCTATCTCTACACCAGTATAAACACACTCGTTATATAATAATTGGTTATTCATCAAGGATTGTAACTATTGCTCACTCGATCTTATTATTATCTATAAGGCTGCTCGCTCGCTCGTTTGCCCGCTGCTCGAAGACTTACCAAATTCATACCAACCAACAAAAGCAATTAATCACCATACCAATCAAATAAAGCAACCTATTATACAATTATATATACATATTTGATAATTTAAGCTTCAAGCTTTTATAGAAGCTTATTAGAAGCAACCTGAAATAATGTGAGATGTTCCCTTCACAGTTCTGCAATTTGATGTTGACATTGACAACAAATCTTAAACAGTGTCTACTAAAACTTTTGCTCCCTACTTTTAAGATCAATAACTGCACCCAACTGAATATAATTTATCTAAAATTTTTTTTCTGATTTCTTTTACAATTTCTTTAGTCTTTTTCTGATAACAATTCGTTAAAGACCCCCAATATATATTTAATTACTTTAACAAATCCTGTGCACAATACCCAAATCCAAACTCAAAACCACAGCAATCCCACTGACATATTTCTGAACACACACCCCCAAACCCCCACCACAAACATAGTACTCAAAACAAAACCAAATCAAACCGAACCAAACAAAAAAAAATCAATCGAAACAACCAACACTGGATTATACTATTAATATATTGATTTGTTTAAGTTTTTCTATTTTTGTTTTTAGAAAATATTAGCATTAAGTTTCTTATCTGACCCCACGTTTGCATACCATTTTGTCTGTTTACACTACGTACCCCTCCCCCACACTTCAACCGAAACACACTCGCTTGTCTGTCTAATTCCAACAACTAAATCTAAATGATTTCGATTTTGCACTCTTACTTAAATGAACTTCAATGTTTCGTAATTTAAACAATGCAAAAAAAAAAAAAAAACAGCAAACAACAAGTACATTTTTTAGGATACCTCTATCGTATATGCCACCGAATAGTTGAGTGATCCCAACGATTAACATAGTATAAACAACCAACAACCTGTCTATCTCTCTCTCTCTCTCTCGTTCTTCGCTGCCGCTGTAACGTTACGTTTTAGACACCGATCAATGCTACTCAGATACGGATTGTCCCAGTGAGAAATCATGCCTGCAAGGACACTGCACCGATCCTTGTACAATGCGTGGCGCGTGTGGCATAAATGCGCTATGTCAGACAGTGCTGCATCGTCCGCGGTGCTCCTGTCCCAGCTGTCACATAGGTCGACCCGAGGTCGAGTGCAAGCCGGATCCGAAATGTGTGCCAGAAGACACAGACCCCAAGACAAAGGAGCAAATACCATGCGCCAGTGATGCCGAGTGTCCAGAAACCTTACAGTGCGGTCAATTCGGCCAATGCACAGATCCTTGCAACAATCCCCTATTTATTTGTGAGAGTAATAAGAAGTGTGAGACACGTCGCCACCAGCCCGTTTGCATATGCAAATCAGGCTTTATTGTCAATGAGTATGGTGAATTGACCTGTGCACCGGATAAGCGCGAATGCTATCGCGATGATGACTGTGCCTCGAATATGGCCTGCACGGATGGCAAGTGTCGAAACCCGTGTATAGTGCCACTGGGCCGTGCCCCTATTTGTGCCGAAAATAAATCATGTGAGGTACAAGATCATAAGCCTGTATGTATTTGCATGCGCGATTGCCAGCCATCGATATCAATATGTTTGCGTGATGCTGGCTGTCCAGCGGGCTTGGCCTGTCGTAATTATCAGTGCGTCGATCCGTGCAAGTTTGCCACGTGCGCATCCAACTCGCCATGCATTGTCGAGGATCATAAGCCGATATGTAAATTCTGCCCAACTGGATTTATAGCCGATGCCAAATACGGATGTCAAAAAGGTAAAGCACAAACGTACTCTCTCTCACAACTCTGTCAAGTGAAAGTACCTTATGTCTCTGTCTCGTTTATCGTTTATCTCTGTTTCCTGCCTCTCACACGCTCTCACCTTTTGCTAGATCTGTCTTATTGTCTGTCCCCTCAACAACAAGCACACACACAAACTATTACTTGGCGAAATATATTGACCGAAGCCAATACTCCAAATTTCGTGCCTTGTCAATTTATTTCCCGATATATTGTGTAAATGTATATAAAAGTGAGGAATTAACAATCTGTTCTCGTATTAAGCTTTCGCCTGACTATATTAGGTTTAAATCAATATCTGAATATGAATTTCGAAAGCTAAACCACGAACCCTATTATCAAATTAGGAATGCTCTTAATGCCCATATAGCTTCAAACCAAAGCGCAATAACAAAATAAGAAAAACTGTTATCAAAATTATTATGATCATTTGTGATCATACCCCCCAATAAGGGGACGAATCAATAATAACAGATAGAAATACAAATAAACTCTTCTGAACATTCACACACGCTCATGCTCACAATGATATTAATCAAATCAATTAATCAAAATGCCTCTTGAAAACTATAAATATCTTAACCCATGACTCTAAATAAACGGTAAATAGATGTAATACTAATGGTATAAAACAAAAATATATATTCAATATGTAGCTAACTAATAGTAAAAAAGAAACGTTTCTAATTTGAATACACCTAACCGTAAAATAATTTGTACTAAAATAATGTACTGAAAGTTTTTTCCACAGCTTCGACTGTACACGAAATATTTAGTTAAAATCTTCAAACATTTAGTAATCCCCAGGTACCCCTGTATATATAGTGCACATTCCTCCTTTGTTGTAGCTATACACTTACCTATTTATATCGAATTAATATGTAAATATTTTAACGCATTGTATTTTTAAAATTTTATATTTTTATTTGAAATATGTACAAAAATACTCAAATCCCAAAATATTGAAAAAAATCAAAAACAAGCAGCTAAGCCAGGTGGCAACTGTTCCACAAATGAAGATTGCAGTGATGCACATCAATGCGGATCGTCTGGTCAATGTATCGATCCCTGTAACATAGCTTGCGTGGGTGCAGTTAAGTGCACAACAAAAGCTCACAAAATTGCGACATGCATTTGCTCTACAAATTCAACAAAAAATATGACTTTAAACTGTTCACATCACAGTACCGAATCGGAATCAAACGAGACGATAACAGACCCAACAACCATTAAGTATACAGTGATGATTTTGGCAAACCAAACAGAAATGCGTACTCGTTATACCGACATAGAAGCTGACAGTGAGACTACTAGCTCATTCGATAGCACAACAGAGTCGTTCAAAACCACGAAACAGTTAGGCATTGTGAATTCGTTGAGTCAAAAAGACATTGTGCAACAGGGTAAAACAGAACAACACAGTACCTCAGAAGCACATACTGAATCAACCACTTTAGACGGTTCCACCAAAACTACACCATTAGTTGAAGGAGAACATAGAACTACAGAAAGACTGACTTTCATTTCAACTGAAAGAACTCTTTCCCCCGTTACTCAAACATCGTCTGCTCCTCAGACAATGGAAACCACATTTCCATCGAGGGAACAGTTTACTTCTTTTCCCACCACAACCCAAAGAACCTCGCCTGGATCGCCTGTTCCTAGTGTCGACGAAGAATCCACAGTTACAACAGAACTAATAACCCAAGAAACTACAGAAACAACTCCAACTAAAAACACAACTTTAGAGACTTCTATTTTACTGACAGAGCTTAGGAGCACTACCACTCCATTAACAATAACTCAGCATGGTGTTATGCCTGAACTGACTACCATTCCAACTCAGAAATATCCGTCAGTTGATTTTCAAACGTCCTCTTCAAATGACATACCGACAACTACCCGAACATCTTTCACTAGCACTTCTCTACCAACTGTCTCTGAGGCATCCACAGTTCTTATAACTCAAACAGAACCGACTAGTCATGAAACTTCGAAAACAACTCAAACTAAAAGAATACCTTCAGAGGCTACCTCGTCAGTGACTGCATCCAGGGAAACTACCACTTCATCAACAATTGCTCAGCATGGAACTATGCCTGGACTGACCACCATTTCGACAGAGAGATATCCGTCAGTTGTTTCTCAAACTAATCAAACAACCATCACTAGTACTACTGTACCAACTGTCTCTAAAGAATCCACAGTTCTAATAACTCACACAGAACCGGCAAGTCTTGAAACTTCATATACTACTGAAACGGGTGTTATACCTTCAGAGGCTACCACCATAGTGACTGCCTCCGGGGAAACTACCACCTCATCAACAATAGCTCAGCATGAAACTATGCATGGACTGACCACTATTTCTACTGAGAGATACCCATCAGCTGTTTCCCAAACTACCGGGACAACCGTCACTAGTACTACTGTACCCACTGTCACAGAAAAATCCACAGTTCTTATAACTCAAACAGAACCGACTAATCTTGAAACTTCGAACACAACTCAAACGGATAGAATACTTTCAGAAGCCACAACCTTAGTGACTGCATCCGGGGAAACCACCACATCATCAACAATAGCTCAGCATAGACCTATGCCTGGACTGACTACCATTCCGACTGAGAGATATCTGCCAGATGTTACTCAAACTACCCAAACAACCATCACTAGTACTACGGTAACAACTGTCTCTGAAGAATCCACAGTACTAGTAACTCAAACAGAACCGACTAGCCTTGAAACTTCAAATACTACTCAAACAGGTAGAATACCTTCAGAAGCTACCACCTTAGTGACTGCATCCGGGGAAACCACCACTTCATCAACAATAGCTCAGCATGGAACTATGCCTGGACAGACTACCATTTCGACAGAGAGATATCCGTCAGTTGTTTCTCAAACTACCCAAACAACTTTCGCTAGTACTACTGTACCAACAGTCACAGAAGAATCCACAGTACTAGTAACGCAAACAGAACCGACAAGCCTTGAAACTTTAAAAACTACTCAAACGGATGGAATACCTTCAGAGGCTACCACCTTAGCGACTGCATCCGGGGAAACCACCACATCATCAACAATAGCTCAGCATGGAACTATGCCTGGACTGACTACCATTCCGACTGAGAGATATCCGTCAGTTGTTTCTCAAACTACCCAAACAACTTTCGCTAGTACTTCTGTACCAACAGTCACAGAAGAATCCACAGTACTAGTAACTCAAACAGAACCGACTAGCCTTGAAACTTCAAATACTACTCAAACAGGTAGAGTACCTTCAGAGGCTACCACCTTCGTGACTGCATCCGGGGAAACCACCACTTCATCAACAATAGCTCAGCATGGAACTATGCCTGGACAGACTACCATTTCGACAGAGAGATATCCGTCAGTTGTTTCTCAAACTACCCAAACAACTTTCGCTAGTACTTCTGTACCAACAGTCACAGTAGAATTCACAGTACAAGTAACGCAAGCAGAACCGACTAGTATTGAAACTTCAAGAACTACTCAAACAGGTAGAGTACCTTCAGAGACTACCACCTTAGTGACTGCATCCGGGGAAACCACCACTTCAACAACAATCGATCAGCATGGAACTATGCCTGGACAGACTACCATTTCGACAGAGAGATATCCGTCAGTTGTTTCTCAAACTACCCAAACAACTTTCCCTAGTACTTCTGTACCAACAGTCACAGAAGAATCAACAGTACTAGTAACGCAAACTGAACCGTCTAGTATTGAAACTTCAAAAACTACTCAAACAGGTAGAGTACCTTCAGAGGCTACCACCTTAGTGACTGCATCCGGGGAAACCACCACATCATCAACAATAGCTCAGCATGGAACTATGCCTGGACTGACTGCTATTCCGACAGAGAGATATCCGCCAGATGATTTTCAAACGTCCTCTTCAAATGACACAACAAGTACCCATGCAGCATTCACAAGCACTGCTGTACCAGCTGTCACAGAAGAATCCACAGTACTAGTAACGCAAACAGAACCGACAAGCCTTGAAACTTCAAATACTACTCAAACAGGTAGAGTACCTTCAGAGGCTACCACCTTCGTGACTGCATCCGGGGAAACCACCACTTCATCAACAAAAGCTCAGCATGGAACTATGCCTGGACTGCCTACTATTCCGACTGAGAGATATCCGTCAGTTGTTTCTCAAACTACCCAAACAACTTTCGCTAGTACTTCTGTACCAACAGTCACAGTAGAATCCACAGTACTAGTAACGCAAACAGAACCGACTAGTATTGAAACTTCAAGAACTACTCAAACAGGTAGAGTACCTTCAGAGACTACCACCTTAGTGACTGCATCCGGGGAAACCACCACTTCAACAACAATCGATCAGCATGGAACTATGCCTGGACAGACAACCATTTCGACAGAGAGATATCCGTCAGTTGTTTCTCAAACTACCCAAACCACTTTCCCTAGTACTTCTGTACCAACAGTCACAGAAGAATCAACAGTACTAGTAACGCAAACAGAACCGTCTAGTATTGAAACTTTAAAAACTACTCAAACGGATGGAATACCTTCAGAGGCTACCACCTTAGCGACTGCATCCGGGGAAACCACCACATCATCAACAATAGCTCAGCATGGAACTATGCCTGGACTGACTACCATTCCGACTGAGAGATATCCGTCAGTTGTTTCTCAAACTACCCAAACAACTTTCGCTAGTACTTCTGTACCAACAGTCACAGAAGAATCCACAGTACTAGTAACTCAAACAGAACCGACTAGCCTTGAAACTTCAAATACTACTCAAACAGGTAGAGTACCTTCAGAGGCTACCACCTTCGTGACTGCATCCGAGGAAACCACCACTTCATCAACAATAGCTCAGCATGGAACTATACCTGGACTGACTGCTATTCCGACAGAGAGATATCCGTCAGTTGATTCTCAAACGTCCTCATCAAATGACATAACGACAACTACCCAAACAGCTTTCACTAGCACTTCTTTACCAGCTATCTCTGAACCATCGACAGTTCTAATAAATCAAACAGAACCGACTAGTCTTGAAGCTTCAAATACTACTCAAACGGATAGAATACTTTCAGAGGCCACCGACGTAGTGACTGCATCTGGGGAAACCACCACATCATCAACAATAGCTCAGCATGGAACTATGCCTGGACTGACTACCATTCCGACAGAGAGATATCCGTCAGTTGATTTCCAAACTACCCAAACAACTTTCGCTAGTACTTCTGTACCAACAGTCACAGAAGAATCCACAGTACTAGTAACTCAAACAGAACCGACTAGCCTTGAAACTTCAAAAACTACTCAAACAGACAAAATACCTTCAGAAGCTACCACCTTAGCGACTGCATCCGGGGAAACCACCACATCATCAACAATAGCTCAGCATGGAACTATGCCTGGACTGACTACCATTCCGACTGAGAGATATCCGTCAGTTGTTTCTCAAACTACCCAAACAATTTTCGCTAAAACTTCTGTACCAACAGTCACAGAAGAATCCACAGTACTAGTAACGCAAACAGAACCGACTAGTATTGAAACTTCAAGAACTACTCAAACAGGTAGAGTACCTTCAGAGACTACCACCTTAGTGACTGCATCCGGGGAAACCACCACTTCAACAACAATCGATCAGCATGGAACTATGCCTGGACAGACTACCATTTCGACAGAGAGATATCGGTCAGTTGTTTCTCAAACTACTCAAACAACTTTCCCTAGTACTTCTGTACCAACAGTCACAGAAGAATTCACAGTTCTAATAACTCAAACAGAACCGACTAATTTTGAAACTACGAAATCTACTCAAACTGAAAGAATACCTTCAGAGGTTTCCACTTTAGGGACTACATCCATGGAAACTACAACTTCATCAGCAATAACTCAGATTGATACTATTCCTGTACTGACTACCATTCCGACTAAGAGATATCCGTCAGTTGTTTCTCAAACTACTCAAACAACTTTCCCTACTACTTCTGTTCCAACAGTTACAGAAGAATTCACAGTTCTAATAACTCAAACAGAACCGACTAACTTTGAAACTACGAAATCTACTCAAACTGAAAGAATACCTTCAGAGGTTTCCACTTTGGGGACTACATCCATGGAAACTACTACTTCATCAGCAATAGGTCAGATTGATACTATTCCTGTACTGACTACCATTCCGACTGAGAGATATCCGTCAGTTGTTTCTCAAACTAACGAAACTGTCATTAGCACTACTGTACCCAGTGTCACAGAAGAATTCACAGTTCTAATAACTCAAACAGAACCGACTAGTCTTTTAACGTCGAAAACTACTCAAACAGACAAAATACCTTCAGAAGCTACCACCTTAGTGACTGCATCCGGGGAAACCACCACATCATCAACAATAGCTCAGCATGGAACTATGCCTGGACTGCCTACCATTCCGACTGAGAGATATCCGTCAGTTGTTTCTCAAACTACCCAAACAACTTTCGCTAGTACTTCTGTACCAACAGTCACAGAAGAATCCACAGTACTAGTAACTCAAACAGAACCGACTAGCCTTGAAACTTCAAATACTACTCAAACAGGTAGAGTACCTTCAGAGGCTACCACCTTCGTGACTGCATCCGAGGAAACCACCACTTCATCAACAATAGCTCAGCATGGAACTATACCTGGACTGACTGCTATTCCGACAGAGAGATATCCGTCAGTTGATTCTCAAACGTCCTCATCAAATGACATAACGACAACTACCCAAACAGCTTTCACTAGCACTTCTTTACCAGCTATCTCTGAACCATCGACAGTTCTAATAAATCAAACAGAACCGACTAGTCTTGAAGCTTCAAATACTACTCAAACGGATAGAATACTTTCAGAGGCCACCGACGTAGTGACTGCATCTGGGGAAACCACCACATCATCAACAATAGCTCAGCATGGAACTATGCCTGGACTGACTACCATTCCGACTGAGAGATATCCGTCAGTTGTTTCTCAAACTACCCAAGCAACTTTCGCTAGTACTTCTGTACCAACAGTCACAGAAGAATCCACAGTACTAGTAACGCAAACAGAACCGACTAGCCTTGAAACTTCAAATACTACTCAAACAGGTGGAATACCTTCAGAAGCTACCACTTTAGTGACTGCATCCGGGGAAACCACCACTTCATCAACAATAGCTCAGCATGGAACTATGCCTGGACTGACTACCATTCCGACTGAGAGATATCCGTCAGTTGTTTCTCAAACTACTCAAACAATTTTCCCTAGTACTTCTGTACCAACAGTCACAGAAGAATTCACAGTACTAGTAACTCAAACAGAACCGACTAGCCTTGAAACTTCAAATACTACTCAAACAGGTAGAGTACCTTCAGAGGCTACCACCTTCGTGACTGCATCCGGGGAAACCACCACTTCATCAACAATAGCTCAGCATGGAACTATGCCTGGACTGCCTACCATTCCGACTGAGAGATATCCGTCAGTTGTTTCTCAAACTACCCAAACAACTTTCGCTAGTACTTCTGTACCAACAGTCACAGAAGAATCCACAGTACTAGTAACTCAAACAGAACCGACTAGCCTTGAAACTTCAAATACTACTCAAACAGGTAGAGTACCTTCAGAGGCTACCACCTTCGTGACTGCATCCGAGGAAACCACCACTTCATCAACAATAGCTCAGCATGGAACTATACCTGGACTGACTGCTATTCCGACAGAGAGATATCCGTCAGTTGATTCTCAAACGTCCTCATCAAATGACATAACGACAACTACCCAAACAGCTTTCACTAGCACTTCTTTACCAGCTATCTCTGAACCATCGACAGTTCTAATAAATCAAACAGAACCGACTAGTCTTGAAGCTTCAAATACTACTCAAACGGATAGAATACTTTCAGAGGCCACCGACGTAGTGACTGCATCTGGGGAAACCACCACATCATCAACAATAGCTCAGCATGGAACTATGCCTGGACTGACTACCATTCCGACTGAGAGATATCCGTCAGTTGTTTCTCAAACTACCCAAACAACTTTCGCTAGTACTTCTGTACCAACAGTCACAGAAGAATCCACAGTGCTAGTAACGCAAACAGAACCGACTAGCCTTGAAACTTCAAATACTACTCAAACAGGTGGAATACCTTCAGAAGCTACCACTTTAGTGACTGCATCCGGGGAAACCACCACTTCATCAACAATAGCTCAGCATGGAACTATGCCTGGACTGACTACCATTCCGACTGAGAGATATCCGTCAGTTGTTTCTCAAACTACTCAAACAATTTTCCCTAGTACTTCTGTACCAACAGTCACAGAAGAATTCACAGTACTAGTAACTCAAACAGAACCGACTAGCCTTGAAACTTCAAATACTACTCAAACAAGTAGAGTACCTTCAGAGGCTACCACCTTCGTGACTGCATCCGGGGAAACCACCACTTCATCAACAATAGCTCAGCATGGAACTATGCCTGGACTGACTACCATTCCGACTGAGAGATATCCGTCAGTTGTTTCTCAAACTACCCAAACAACTTTCGCTAGTACTTCTGTACCAACAGTCACAGAAGAATCCACAGTACTAATAACTCAAACAGAACCGACTAGCCTTGAAACTTCAAATACTACTCAAACAGGTAGAGTACCTTCAGAGGCTACCACCTTCGTGACTGCATCCGGGGAAACCACCACTTCATCAACAATAGCTCAGCATGGAACTATGCCTGGACTGACTACCATTCCGACTGAGAGATATCCGTCAGTTGTGTCTCAAACTACCCAAACAACTTTCGCGAGTACTTCTGTACCAACAGTCACAGAAGAATCCACAGTACAAGTAACGCAAACAGAACCGACTAGTATTGAAACTTCAAAAACTACTCAAACAGGTAGAGTACCTTCAGAGGCTACCACCTTCGTGACTGCATCCGGGGAAACCACCACTTCATCAACAATAGCTCAGCATGGAACTATACCTGGACTGACTGCTATTCCGACAGAGAGATATCCGTCAGTTGATTCTCAAACGTCCTCATCAAATGACATAACGTCAACTACCCAAACAGCTTTCACTAGCACTTCTTTACCAGCTATCTCTGAAGCATCGACAGTTCTAATAACTCAAACAGAACCGACTAGTCTTGAAGCTTCAAATACCACTCAAACTATACCTGGACTGACTGCTATTCCGACAGAGAGATATCCGTCAGTTGATTCTCAAACGTCCTCATCAAATGACATAACGACAACTACCCAAACAGCTTTCACTAGCACTTCTTTACCAGCTATCTCTGAACCATCGACAGTTCTAATAAATCAAACAGAACCGACTAGTCTTGAAGCTTCAAATACTACTCAAACGGATAGAATACTTTCAGAGGCCACCGACGTAGTGACTGCATCTGGGGAAACCACCACATCATCAACAATAGCTCAGCATGGAACTATGCCTGGACTGACTACCATTCCGACTGAGAGATATCCGTCAGTTGTTTCTCAAACTACTCAAACAACTTTCCCTAGTACTTCTGTACCAACAGTCACAGAAGAATTCACAGCTCTAATAACTCAAACAGAACCGACTAATTTTGAAACTACGAAATCTACTCAAACTGAAAGAATACCTTCAGAGGTTTCCACTTTAGGGACTACATCCATGGAAACTACTACTTCATCAGCAATAACTCAGATTGATACTATTCCTGTACTGACTACCATTCCGACTGAGAGATATCCGTCAGTTGTTTCTCAAACTAACGAAACTGTCATTAGTACTACTGTACCCAGTGTCACAAAAGAATCCACAGTTTTAATAGCTCAAACAGAACCGACTAGTCTTGAAACTTCAAAAACTACTCAAACGGATGGAATACCTTCAGAGGCTACCACCTTAACGACTGCTTCTGGGGAAACCACCACGTCATCAACAATAGCTCAGCATGAACCTATGCCTGGACTGACTACCATTCCGACAGAGAGATATCCGTCAGTTGATTTCCAAACTACCCAAACAACTTTCGCTAGTACTTCTGTACCAACAGTCACAGAAGAATCCACAGTACTAGTAACTCAAACAGAACCGACTAGCCTTGAAACTTCAAAAACTACTCAAACAGACAAAATACCTTCAGAAGCTACCACCTTAGCGACTGCATCCGGGGAAACCACCACATCATCAACAATAGCTCAGCATGGAACTATGCCTGGACTGACTACCATTCCGACTGAGAGATATCCGTCAGTTGTTTCTCAAACTACCCAAACAATTTTCGCTAGTACTTCTGTACCAACAGTCACAGAAGAATCCACAGTACTAGTAACGCAAACAGAACCGACTAGTATTGAAACTTCAAGAACTACTCAAACAGGTAGAGTACCTTCAGAGACTACCACCTTAGTGACTGCATCCGGGGAAACCACCACTTCAACAACAATCGATCAGCATGGAACTATGCCTGGACAGACTACCATTTCGACAGAGAGATATCCGTCAGTTGATTTCCAAACTACCCAAACAACTTTCGCTAGTACTTCTGTACCAACAGTCACAGAAGAATCCACAGTACTAGTAACGCAAACAGAACCGACTAGTATTGAAACTTCAAGAACTACTCAAACAGGTAGAGTACCTTCAGAGACTACCACCTTAGTGACTGCATCCGGGGAAACCACCACTTCAACAACAATCGATCAGCATGGAACTATGCCTGGACAGACTACCATTTCGACAGAGAGATATCCGTCACTTGATTTCCAAACTACCCAAACAACTTTCGCTAGTACTTCTGTACCAACAGTCACAGAAGAATCCACAGTACTAGTAACTCAAACAGAACCGACTAGCCTTGAAACTTCAAATACTACTCAAACAGGTAGAGTACCTTCAGAGGCTACCACCTTCGTGACTGCATCCGGGGAAACCACCACGTCATCAACAATAGCTCAGCATGGACCTATGCCTGGACTGACCACCATTCCGACAGAGAGATATCCGTCAGTTGATTTCCAAACAACTTTCGCTAGTTCTTCTGTACCAACAGTCACAGAAGAATCCACAGTACTAGTAATTCAAACAGAACCGACTAGCCTTGAAACTTCAAAAACTACTCAAACAGACAAAATACCTTCAGAAGCTACCACCTTAGCGACTGCATCCGGGGAAACCACCACATCATCAACAATAGCTCAGCATGGAACTATGCCTGGACTGACTACCATTCCGACTGAGAGATATCCGTCAGTTGTTTCTCAAACTGCCCAAACAATTTTCGCTAGTACTTCTGTACCAACAGTCACAGAAGAATCCACAGTACTAGTAACGCAAACAGAACCGACTAGTATTGAAACTTCAAGAACTACTCAAACAGGTAGAGTACCTTCAGAGACTACCACCTTAGTGACTGCATCCGGGGAAACCACCACTTCAACAACAATCGATCAGCATGGAACTATGCCTGGACAGACTACCATTTCGACAGAGAGATATCCGTCAGTTGATTTCCAAACTACCCAAACAACTTTCGCTAGTACTTCTGTACCAACAGTCACAGAAGAATCCACAGTACTAGTAACGCAAACAGAACCGACTAGTATTGAAACTTCAAGAACTACTCAAACAGGTAGAGTACCTTCAGAGACTACCACCTTAGTGACTGCATCCGGGGAAACCACCACTTCAACAACAATCGATCAGCATGGAACTATGCCTGGACAGACTACCATTTCGACAGAGAGATATCCGTCAGTTGATTTCCAAACTACCCAAACAACTTTCGCTAGTACTTCTGTACCAACAGTCACAGAAGAATCCACAGTACTAGTAACTCAAACAGAACCGACTAGCCTTGAAACTTCAAATACTACTCAAACAGGTAGAGTACCTTCAGAGGCTACCACCTTCGTGACTGCATCCGGGGAAACCACCACGTCATCAACAATAGCTCAGCATGGACCTATGCCTGGACTGACCACCATTCCGACAGAGAGATATCCGTCAGTTGATTTCCAAACAACTTTCGCTAGTTCTTCTGTACCAACAGTCACAGAAGAATCCACAGTACTAGTAATTCAAACAGAACCGACTAGCCTTGAAACTTCAAAAACTACTCAAACAGACAAAATACCTTCAGAAGCTACCACCTTAGCGACTGCATCCGGGGAAACCACCACATCATCAACAATAGCTCAGCATGGAACTATGCCTGGACTGACTACCATTCCGACTGAGAGATATCCGTCAGTTGTTTCTCAAAGTAACGAAACCGTCACTAGTACTACGGTACCCACTGTCACAGAAAAATCCACAGTTCTAATAACTCAAACAGAACCGACTACTCTCGAGACTTCAAATACTACTCAAACGGATAGAATACCTTCAGAAGCTACCACCTTAGTTACTGCATCCAAGGAAACTACTGAAGAACCGTCGATTAGCACGATGCCTTTCTTTTATTCATCAATGGGTTATCCGCGCAGCACAACTACTCAAAGCGTTACAGTAACAACTATGTTAGGCTTAGGTTTTCAAGAAACGACACCCATAACGGAAGGTACGCGTATTTATTTTGGTGTGCCAAATACCACAGACATGACTCGAACAGAAGAACACACAACACAACTGTTTTCAACTTGTATCATAACTGACGATTGTTCGGACGATGAGATATGTTTGAAAGCATTCTGCATTAGACCCTGCGAGTATTACAAAAACCTTTGTAATGCTCAGAATTATTCTGTTTGTCGTACATTGAACCACACCGCTATGTGCTATTGTGATACCGACGCAGATGTAAATAAACCCGGTTGCTCTATTAATGCAGGTAACTAAAGCTGTGTTTGTAAATGTTAAGACTTTATATCGATCCACATGTTCCTTAAAAGTGAATGAGTTGCAAAGAACCCCAGGGTTGCGGTAAAGAATCTTATTGGCATCCGAGGCTCCAACTACTTTAATCGCCAATGCATCTGGCAATACGTAGCAGCCAACTTCAATTTGATGTCATATTGTCTTCTTCTTCTTGTTTTTATGGACTTCTTATCATATCTCCTCCCACTTATGCCATAAATGACCAGCCGAACTTGTTGGCTGGCACGTGCATGTTTTATTCTTTTCGTTCTGTCCCTAGCAATTCAATCCCAGTGTTTTCTGTGTGCCAATATGAATGGCATCAAAACGCTTCAAACTCTACTGCATTTGTACTTCTTCCCCCGGCTCTTATCACTGGCTCCTCTGCTGTTATTCGTATATGTATGTATATGCCTGCACTCACCACAATCACCCATCACGAAAACACCACTCGGACTAGCTCTTGAACACTATGTATGTGTTCGCTAATGGAGCAATAAATGTATTCACCAAAGTTTGAATGCCGATTAAGTAGAGATCACTCTTTCTAGTTCTTGTTCTCGTTCATGTTAGTTGCCTGCTTTACGTTTGCCTGCCTGCCTGCTGCAATTACGTGTATCATCAAGCCCTACATCATATTACATCATGTGGAATGTCCTTTGATTCCTTACGGAAAGCGATCGATGTGCATGTTATATGTCAGCGTTGCGATCACATCATATTTGTGTTATATAAGAAAATTTGTGTTGATTTTTGTTGTATTTAGTACATATGTTTGTTTGTATATATTAATACACTTTATAGACAATTTCACATAATCGCGTGCAGTAAGTTACTTATCTTAATATAAAATGATTAATAAATTGTATGGCATGCCAGGTGACAGTACTAATCGGTGTTGTATATGCTAATGCTTTTCTAAGAATGCACTAACCCCAAATATTTAAATATTTTTGCTTGCTTGCCTGCATGTGTATATGTTGTTTTGCAACAGCAACAACAGCTGAACAAAAACATAACAACATTTTATAGTATCTACTTATAAGCTTTATAGTATTAGATGTGCTAGAAGGTGCCTCAAGTGGCAGCATTAGAACACATATTTGAATTATAATAATTTACTAACAGTATTGAAACAAGACAAGAAAAACTACCTATCAAACAGGTTTCTTAAAAAATATAAACACTGAATTAAACATTTTAAAACGAATGTCCTAACCGAAAGCCATTCCTTATACCTCAATTAATGCAAACAATTTACTTTACCATGGAACATGAAATCGCACAAACAGAAATCGGTTGCGCCTCCAGCGACGAATGCCCAACACAACAAGCATGCGTGAATGCTCTTTGCGTGGATCCCTGCGCCTATGAGAATCCATGCGGTCGCAGTGATGATTGTCGCGTTGTTGCTCATCAACCAGTTTGTGCCAACGGTGGGTTTTGTCACAAATTTTGGTGCCATTCAATAAAAACAATGTTTTTATATATTTATATTTTTCGACTTTTAGACTGCGAGTGTCAGCGCAAATCCGATTGTCGGAATGGTTTCGAATGTGATGGTTGTCACTGTCGTGACAGTAAGTACAATGGTATTTAGTCAAAATTATTGGATTGTGTTATTAAATTTAAATATTACAGCAACAGGTCGCACTCCTGGCTGTGAGCACTGCCCACCAGGCGCAAAGTGTGATCCCACAACTGGTGCTTGTATTAAAGGTATGTACGATTTTTCGTTTTTTTTTTTTCAAAATTAAGTGGTGAATTCAGCATTAATCATACTAGGCGACTCCTAAACACTAACAAGTGTAAATATTATATTGTGTATATATTTGTATTATAAAATAACTACCCTTTACCCATGTAAATATGTCTCTCTCCCTAGCTAATGTAACAATAACAACTAGTACTACCAAGAAAACCACAGTGAAACCGAAAACAACAGCACAAACAACAACAACAGCTAACCCAAATACAGGTGATGATATGTTGCCAACCTTAAGCAAGGGTACCACCACTAGCACCACCATCATCACTACTAGCACTGAAACGAGCACAGTCATAGGCGCTACTAACAAAACCAGCACAAGTAAAACCACCATTGAGACTACAACCATCAAGTCGGGGCACACGAAAGGCTATCGGGATGGTGAAAACAATATAACAGATACGCCAACACCAAGACCCGTGATTACAACAACCACACTGACTAGCAAAGATGGTGGCAGGCGCACTACAACCCCAAAAATGAAGACGACTCGACTTGATACCTCAAATGAGATACCAGAGACGACAACTATGACCAGCACAACGCCTTGGCCCACGGAACTACCAACTAGAGCAGGCACAACAACGGAAATCAACGATCTAAACATGGTGTATACAACAACATCTACACCACCACCGAACACCACAGATATTACAGTTATTAACCCATGTACAGTAGATACTAACTGTGCTCCTAACGAGCACTGTAAACTGGGGCGTTGCAAACCCAAAGGTATATACATTCGTCTATACAATTGGCTATGCTATCACTTTCGGTACCCAAAATGTTGTAATATTCTAATTTTATTTCTATTTCTTTTGTATCCTTTTGTAAATATATATACAAATTTCAATAATTTCAATACACATGTATAAGTACCAAAGTGACTAGTGTGCATCTCACATAACCGTAATTTTACAATATTTTAGTTTCCAAAACATGAAAAGAAACCTGACAAAGCTGTAGGATTTATTATTTTTCAAAATTTAATTTACCTGTTCAACTCACTTCACCAATCTTATGATTGCTTTATAAGATAAAATACATATTTTGTTGCAGCTCAACAAAGTTATATTTACGAAAGCCATACATCCTTTTGATGACTCTTGTATAGTTAGGTCAAAGTGCCATTGCACATATAACAAAATATATTAGTATTATATCAGACACATAAATTAGAATAGCATTTCACGACTCAGCTCTTTATAATAGTTAATTATTATAAGAGCTTACTTCTTATGTGAATACTTTACGACAAACCGTCTGCAAAAAAATTAAATTTGAATAATTGCTTTACATTCTGCACATAATATAACGAATACATGATTTTCATACCCTGTACATATGAGAACCCTCCAAAAATAAGTCTAACCTATTTACATTTCAATCATAAGTTAATAAGTCAACATTATTAATAAAAATGTTAACCAAATCAATAATTTCTAACAAGTAGAGCCACCTGGCACGCCTAAAACACCCGAGCCATGCCAATCAAACAATGATTGCATTGAAAGCGAGGCCTGTTACATGGGTTTGTGTCACGATCCCTGCGAATTTGCAAAAATTTGTGCTTCGAGTGCCAAGTGTACAGCAAAGAGTCACCGACCAATTTGCAGCTGTCCGCAGGGTCATGAAGGCAACCCGATGGTCAAGTGTGTACCAACTCAAACTTCAAGTAAGCAACTAATTAATTAACCAACAATTTCATCAATTACATTAAACTTAATACAACTAAGAACAGTTAGAGCGGCCTTTTGAGACTGATAAATTCAATTACTCATCTTGTCTCGTATCTTTCACAGTGGAATGTACGGACAACTCAGATTGCGGAATTACGGAAGCCTGCATCAATGAGCGTTGCCAGCACCCTTGCGACGTGCATGATCCATGTGCCCAGAACGCGGTTTGTATCAATGCCAATCATGCAGCTGATTGCAGTTGCCTGGACGGCTATCAGGGCAACGGTTTTGTCGGTTGCCAGCCAGGTTAGTAGCTATAACCAAAACTTGTTGCACTTTTGCTTTCCTAAAGTTATTCAATGCTAATATGACACAAAATGTTTAATTTCCCAAAATGTCTCTCTCTTTCATACACTGTACAAATTCCCCGTACACCTGTCAACACATGTATAAAATTTGTACCGCCCTGACTCACGTACAAAAAAACACGAATTGAATTATAAATACACGAAAAAAACCGCACCGTAACCTTAACTAAAACCATAGCACGCACCCACGTCTGTCAATACAACGAGGATTGTCCACCCAACAAGCTATGCGATCGCCTTAATCGACGCTGTATTAATCCTTGCCAAGAGGATTCGTGCGGCGAAAACGCCGAGTGTGTTCCGGTTAACCATGGCATCGATTGTCGCTGCTTACCCGGATACCTAGGCAATGCGTATGTTCTATGCCAGCAATCCCAGGGTTGTCGCTCCAATTCCGAGTGTGATGTCAGCCAGGCATGCATTAATGGCAAGTGTATATCGCCTTGTCAGTGTGGTGCTTATGCCCTGTGTGATGTCATCAATCATCGAGGCATTTGCAAGTGCCCACCTGGATATAATGGTAATCCAGAGGTGGGTTGCAGTCCACCGCAGAATCCATGCGATCCCAACCCATGCGGTCTGAATGCGCAGTGTGAGTTGGACAACGGAAATCCCATATGCTTCTGCCCCAAAGGACTTACGGGTAACCCGTTCAAGAATTGCAGTAAGTATCTTTTGAGTTTCTTTAATTAAAAACAAATGTAAACCATCGCTAAATCGCAGTTCCTGAGGGCGATGAATGCACACCCAATCCTTGTGGTCCCAACTCTGGTTGTCGTCGCGTCAACGGTGCTCCAGTTTGCTTCTGTTTGCCAGAATATGAAGGTCAACCTCCACTCATAGCTTGTGAGTTACCCTCAAATCCATGCGAGCCCTCTCCGTGCGGGCCCAACACGCAGTGTGCAGTACTGAGCAACGGATTCTCCAAATGCACCTGCCTCCCAGGCTATGTGGAAAGTCCAAACACCATACGCGGCTGCGTGGAGCCAATCAATCCCTGTGAGCCTAATCCGTGTGGTACAGGTGCCATCTGCGACTCATCCCGCCAGCCTGTCTGCTACTGTCCGGACAACAAGATTGGAAATCCGTTCAGAATTTGCGAGAAGCCAGCGGTCTCTGTTGAACTGTGTCAGCCCGGTCCATGTGGTCGCAATGCTGACTGCTATGTGGCCGGAAATCGCGAGGAATGCTTTTGCCGTTCGGGCTACGTTGGAGATGCTTACCAGGGCTGTATGGAACCAAGTCGCACTGTGTGTGATCCTAATCCCTGCGGACCCAATGCCAACTGCGTTGTAGCTGGTAATGGTCAAACAGCTTGTGTGTGCCCTGAAGGTTTGTCTGGCGATCCAACATCCGACGCCGGCTGCCATGGCTACGAATGTCAAGTGGATGCCGACTGTCCCCATAACAAGGCCTGTATGGGCTTCCATTGCTACGATCCCTGCCCTGGTGCCTGCGGTCAAGGGGCCAATTGCCGCGTGGAACAGCATCATCCAGTTTGTTCTTGCAATGCTGGCTTAACCGGCAATCCTGGTGTGCGCTGCTTTGCCTTGGATTTGCCAAAGGCCAGCCCCTGTGTGCCTAGTCCATGCGGTTTGAACAGCGAGTGCAAATTGCTAAATAACCGCGCTGTCTGCTCATGCTTACCTGGATATCTCGGCGATCCTCAGACCGGCTGTCAGCCGGAATGCGATATTAACTCGGACTGCGGGGAGTTACAATCCTGCATAAATCATAAGTGCGTGGATCCGTGTGCTGGTACCATCTGCGGTATTAATGCTATTTGCAATGTGCGTCAGCATACACCTGTTTGCCATTGCCTCGATGGCTTCGCTGGAGATGCCTTCCTGCAGTGTGTGCCTGTTGGTATTTTGAAGAACATCTCACGTGATCCTTGTGCACCCTCGCCTTGTGGACCAAATGACGTGTGCTCCGTATTTGGCGATGGTGTCGCACTATGTGATCCTTGCTTTGGACCCAATGCTCAGCAGAATCCCCGCTGTAGACCAGAATGTATTGCGAACTCCGACTGTCCGTTTGATCGTGCATGCTTGGGTCAACGATGTTTGGATCCCTGCCCCGGCTCCTGTGGACGCAACGCTATTTGCAACGTGTACGAGCATAACCCAGTATGTGCTTGCCCTAACGGACTCTATGGCAATCCCTACGAACAATGTGCGCCACCCTCGCCAATTGTACCAACACCTTCGGCTAGTTGTGCTAAGCTGCAGTGTGGTCCCAATGCCGACTGCAAACGCCAAAGTGGTGGTTTGGCATGCGTCTGTCGCAAGGGTTACTTTGGAAATCCCTACTTTGGCTGTCGACCCGAGTGCGTGCTCAACAGTGACTGTTCTGCGGACAAATCTTGTATGAACTCCAAGTGTGTGGACGCTTGTGTCGGAGTCTGTGGCGTCAATGCCGTGTGTCGGGTCGTCAACCATGCACCAGTTTGTGTGTGCGCCGAGGGTTATAGTGGTGATGCCTTCGTGGCATGCAATCCATATTACTTGCCACCGGTGCTACCGCCTACCGATCGTCGTAATCCGTGCGAGCCCTCGCCTTGTGGCCCGAACTCGCGTTGCTTGGCTTCAGCTGACGGTTATGCCGCTTGCTCCTGTCTACCCAATTTCAAGGGTGCTCCACCAGTTTGCCAGCCAGAGTGCGTGGTCAGCTCAGAATGTGCACCTAACCAGGCGTGCATCAATCAACGCTGCGCCGATCCTTGCCCAGGCACTTGCGGCATTGGTGCGAGGTGTGAAGTTCTGAATCATAATCCGATTTGCTCATGTGAGGCACTCTTTGAGGGTGATCCATTCGTGTCTTGCTCGCGCGTGCCTGAACCGCCACCAGATGGCAAATCACCAGCAAATCCTTGCGTACCATCGCCGTGCGGTCCCAACTCCATATGCCAGATTAAACAGAACCGACCAGTGTGCTCGTGCGTTGCCAATTATATAGGCAGTCCCCCATACTGCCGACCCGAGTGCACGCTAAGCAGTGAATGCCCCACCGATAAGGCATGCATACAGGAAAAATGTCAAAATCCATGCGCCAACACTTGTGGACACAATGCCCGCTGCACGGTAGTTGCGCACTCAGCTCATTGCAGCTGCGACGCAGGATACGAAGGCGACGCCTTCGTGGGCTGCTCAAAGGTCATAGAACAGAGTGAGTTAAAAATTTAATTTTTAATGGTTATACGTAATTATCTTTATTAATCAACCACAGAACCACACGATCATATCAATCCCTGTTATCCAAATCCGTGCGCAGAGAATGCAGTGTGCACACCGCATAATGACGCCGCTCGGTGCAGCTGCATTGAGCCCTACTTTGGGGATCCATACAACACCGGCTGTCGGCCAGAATGTATTTATAACTCCGAATGTCCATCGTCTTTGGCCTGCATTAAGCAGCACTGTCGAAATCCTTGCACAGGCGCATGCGGTCCCAATGCCGAGTGCGGCGTGATCAACCATTTGCCCACTTGCAGTTGCACGCATGGCTTCGAGGGCGATCCCTTCGTAGGCTGCAAACGCACTCCCATTGGACCCGTCAGCGTGTGTGAGCCCAACCCTTGTGGACCAAATAGTATATGCCGCACAGTTGAGGGTCATCCAACATGTAGTTGTCAAGTTGGTTACTTTGGCGCACCACCCACATGCCGCCCGGAGTGTGTAGTTAGCTCTGAGTGTGCTCAGCATTTGGCATGTATTAATCAAAAGTGCGCCGATCCATGCAGTGGCACATGCGGCTTCAATGCCAAATGTCAAGTTAACAATCACAATCCCATCTGTACTTGCCCAAATGAATATGTAGGAGATCCATTCGAACAATGTGTTCCTAAACGTAAGTAATGGAAACCAAACCACTTTCAAGTCAACTTTTTCTCAACTTATGATTCTTATTACAGCGCCTGAATCACGACCCGCTGTCAATCCCTGCCTACCAAATCCTTGTGGGCCAAATGCCATGTGCCGTGATGTAAACAATCGTGCAGAGTGCTCTTGCTTAGAGGGCATGTTCGGTGCACCACCCAACTGCCGACCCGAATGCGTTATTAATCAGGACTGCCCCTCGAATCGCGCCTGCATACGCCAGCGCTGCGAAGATCCTTGCATTGGCACTTGCGGCTTCAATGCGTTGTGTAATACCCAGCATCATCAGCCCAAGTGCAGTTGTCTTGACGGTTACGAAGGCGATCCGTACACGGGTTGCAATATGCATCAAAGTGAGTACATCTTATTTTACTATTTGCAATCCATTCGAAGCGGTTGGTTGCATTACTGTGATGTAACCCAACCGCCCATTTGCCTGGTTAATGTTAAATGTTTTTTTCAGTGGTATTATAGACTAAGGGCTTATGGGTCTCATTTCATGCATGTTCTTTGTATTGTGTACATATCCTTTCATCACTCTTTCATCTACCTTTACCTTGTACCCACAAAGATTTGAACATGAAACTTAGAAACACTACTAGGCTTTTTCTATGCTTTAAAGAGTTTCAGAGATTTGAATGTGCTTATGGCAAAGAATCAAAAATGTATCATGTATGCAGATACCAGTTATTTTAAAAGTCTTAATTTGGATAAAGTTGATTTTAAATGAATATTAAAAACAAAGTGCAATATATTTTTAATATATTGCATTTTATTTAATGTAGAATAATAAATTTGTAGACCTGGGTACAGGGTATTATCTACACCTCAACACTCTCGCCTAGATAATTTCTAGCTATTTGTTATGTATGTCAATGTCTAGCTTGTAAGTCTATTCTGTATATTTATCTATATCTTTAATTTGTTATATGCATCATCAACCTGCTTGCTATTTCTATGCCATGTCCATGTTTATACCAGTTGTGGTGCCCGATGTACCCTCTGATCCATGCTATCCATCGCCATGTGGTGCAAATGCCATTTGTCGCGAACGCAACGGTGCTGGCTCATGCAGCTGCATTCAAAATTATTTTGGTGATCCATACATTAATTGCCAACCCGAGTGTGTGCAAAACAGCGACTGCCCCGGTAGCAAGGCTTGTATCAATATGAAGTGTCGTGATCCCTGTGCGAATGCGTGCGGTTTTAATGCGGTTTGTCGCGTTACTCATCATCAACCCGTTTGCAGTTGTGAGCCAGGTTTTACAGGAAATCCATTACGCGCCTGCGTGGAGCGACCCACAAGTATGCACTCCTAACAGAGCGATATAGAGTCTCTGATTAAACTATGATCTCACATTGCTGATTGTAGATATGTACCTGCCATTGCCCAAAGATCCATGCAGACCGTCCCCCTGCGGCCTCTTTAGCACCTGTCATGTTGTTGGGAGTCGTCCAGTCTGCGCTTGCCTGCCAGATTATATGGGCAACCCACCCAACTGCAAGCCGGAGTGTTTGACAAGTGCAGAGTGTACCTCAGATAGGGCCTGCATTAATCAGAGATGCCGCGATCCCTGCCCCGGCACCTGTGGCTACAATGCGCGCTGCCGGACATCGAATCATTCGCCCATCTGCAGCTGCTATGATGGTTATACTGGTGATCCATTCCATCAGTGTGTGCCCGAGCAAAGTATGTCTTCCATAGGCCCCTTGTTAGACAGCATCACTTAATATATTTCAACCTTGCCATGCTTGTAGAGCCAGCACCCATTCCCGATCCCATACAACCGGTAAATCCCTGCGTGCCTTCGCCCTGTGGCCCTAACTCACAGTGCCAAGTCGCAAGTAGCGGTGCCGTCTGCGCCTGTCTCAACAACTACATCGGACGTCCTCCTGCATGCCGGCCCGAATGCAGCATTAATTCTGAGTGCCCGGCTCGTATGGCCTGCATGAATGCACGCTGCGCCGATCCATGCATTGGTTCCTGTGGCAATAACGCGATCTGCCATGTCAGCTTCCATGCGCCCGTGTGTATGTGCCAGCAAGGCTACACAGGAGATCCATTTTCCGGCTGCTACAAAATCTTAGAAAGTACGTCCCGTTCTTTAAACACACTTTCCCCGAACCTTTTATGTCAATGCACTCATTCATGTTGTCTGTTAACTACACAGCACCCGTAGAAACCACACAACCCTGTCGACCCAGCCCTTGTGGTCTGAACGCTCTTTGTGAGGAGCGTACTCAAGCTGCAGCCTGCAAATGTTTGCCCGAATACTTTGGCGATCCGTACGTCGAGTGCCGACCCGAGTGTGTGATCAACTCGGATTGCCCCAAAACGCGCGCCTGTGTCAACCAGAAGTGCGTTGACCCATGTCCGGGTATGTGCGGCCATAGTGCGCTATGTGCCGTATTTAACCACGCGCCCAACTGCGAATGTCTGCCAGGCTATACAGGAAATCCCATAGTGGGCTGTCATTTAGTACCCGAATCGCCACGATGTAAGACTGACCTCATACGTTAGAAGCACGTTTAGAACAATCCTAATTAATAGCGCACTCTTTAATGTGTCTAGATCCCGATCCTATTGTACCCGAAAATCCATGTCAACCCTCACCATGCGGTTTATATAGCAACTGCCGCGCACTCAACGGTCATGCAGTTTGCTCATGCATTCCAAATTATGTGGGCGCACCACCTAACTGCCGGCCCGAATGCATGAGCAGTTCGGAATGCAGCCAGGACAAGTCCTGCATTAACGAGCGCTGCAAAGATCCTTGCCCTGGCACATGCGGGAACGATGCGCTATGTCGCGTCGTAAATCACAATCCCATTTGCTCCTGCATCCCTGGCTACAGTGGTGATCCTTTCGTACGCTGCCTACTCGAAGAAAGTAAGAAAACATCGTTGCATCCTTTCATAAAATACAAGCTTGCCTCGGCTCGCTTGCCTCATTTCATCTCATGCGAAGAATCATATCTGCCAACCATACTATATATATATCTATAAATCTTTCTTTCCTTTATGTACAATTTGATATGGCTTTTTGTGGTGCATGCTGTTATCATATATGGTGTATTGGTAAATGTAGAACGCCCCATCATAAGCAATCCCATCGATCCGTGTGTGCCTTCGCCATGCGGACCCAACTCGCAGTGTAGGGTGTCGGCGGCTAATGAGCAGCCCGTCTGCTCATGCTTGCAACATTATGTGGGTAGGGCCCCAAATTGTCGGCCCGAGTGTACCTCGAACTCCGAGTGTGCTGGGAACTTAGCCTGCATCAATCTACGCTGCCAGGACCCCTGCGTGGGCACCTGCGGCATTCAAACAACCTGCCTTGTAAATAATCATAGACCAATTTGCCGTTGCCTCGATGGCTACATCGGCGATCCATTCTCTGAGTGTAGTCCACAAAGTAAGAGTTTAACGCGCTGTGAAGAGCCAATTCCTTATGTTAAATCTATGCATTTTCCCAGTTATCATACCGCCCGAAATTGCTGAACCCTGTAATCCCAGTCCTTGTGGAGTCAATGCTCTTTGTAAAGAACGGAACGGCGTCGGCTCCTGCACCTGCCTGCCTGAATATAGTGGCGACCCATACACAGAGTGTCGTCCGGAGTGTGTGCTTAACAGCGACTGTTCCAAAAATCGTGCCTGCCTTAATAACAAGTGCCGAGATCCCTGTCCAGGCGTATGCGGCATTGCCGCCGAGTGTCACGTCATCAATCACTCGCCCAGCTGTAGTTGTCCATCCGGTTATACGGGCAATCCGTCACAGTACTGCCGTGAAATACCCAAATGTAGAGTATTCCTAAAAAAATCGGATAAAATCGGTCTAGTAATATTTCACCCCAATTTTGTAGTGGCGCCACCTGTGCAACCGTGTCAACCATCACCATGCGGTCCCTATAGCCAGTGCCGCGAGGTGAATGGTCATGCAGTCTGCTCGTGCATTGCTAATTATATTGGTGCACCGCCTGCCTGTCGTCCCGAGTGCTCGGTTAGCTCCGAATGCTCGCAAGACAAGGCGTGCATTAATCTGCGCTGTGTAGACCCATGTCCAGGCACTTGCGGTAATGAAGCCGTATGTAAGGTGACCAACCACAATCCTATTTGCTCCTGCCCAGCTGGCTATAGTGGCGATCCGTTTGTGCGTTGCGCACCTTGGCAGCAAGAGCCCGAAGCTCCCAAATCCAATGAGAATCCTTGCGTACCAAGTCCCTGCGGTCCAAACTCGCAATGTCGCGTGGTTGGCGAAACGGGCGTCTGTTCATGCTTGCCCAACTATATTGGACGTGCACCAAATTGTCGCCCGGAATGCACACAAAACTCGGAATGCCCCAGTAATCTGGCTTGTATCAACGAGCGTTGCAAGGATCCATGTCCCGGCTCATGCGGCTTTAACGCTTTTTGCAACGTGGTGAACCACTCGCCAGTTTGCACCTGCGAAAGCGGCTACTCGGGCGATCCATTTGCTGGCTGCAACCCGCAACGTAAGCCTTTAGCTCCGTCGAGTTCTCCCAGAGAGAAGATCTAATTTCTTGTCTGCTATGTATGACCCTTAGCTATCGCCACGCCTGAAGAACGTTTAACACCCTGCGTACCTACACCTTGCGGTCCGAATGCGGAGTGTCGAGAGCGCAATGGGGCTGGCTCCTGTACGTGCCTACCAGAATATTTTGGTGATCCGTACAGTGGCTGCCGTCCGGAGTGCGTAGTGAACAGCGACTGCGCACGTGAAAGATCTTGCATCAATCAGAAATGCGTTGACCCTTGTCCGGGTGTTTGTGGCTTAAACGCGGAGTGTCGCGTGTCTAATCACTTGCCCAGCTGCCTCTGCTTAGCTGGTTATACTGGAAACCCATCGAGTGCATGCCGCGAAATACCACAACTACCTGAACCACGTAGGTTTACAAACCAACTAAGGATCTTGCGCACAACTTACATCTTACTCTTTACCATTCCTAGCTGTTATCAATGAAAATCCTTGCGTGCCTTCACCCTGCGGTCCGTACAGTCAATGTCGCGAAATAAACAACCATGCCGTCTGCTCCTGTCAGCCCGGTTTCATTGGCTCTGCGCCCAACTGTAGACCCGAATGCATTGTTAGCTCGGATTGCGCACAAGATCTTAACTGTCAGAATCAGAAGTGCGTCGATCCATGCCCCGGCACTTGCGGCATTGAAGCGCGTTGCCAGGTTATTAACCACTATCCTGCATGTTCCTGTGCCCCAGGCTATACTGGAGATCCCTTCAATCGATGCACTCGCGTTCTATGTAAGCATGAGTAGCACAAGCTGATGCTTAAGCCAGTTGGACAGTGAGGGATAGGGTTGAAGTTAAATTTGTGTATAATCCTGTCCAGCTGGCGGAGGCTATCTGTTTATTTCCTGCATGTATATAAATCCTTCACCTTAATGTTCTTTATTTTTTCTAATTTATGTTTTTATTTTATGTACACTCTACCAATTTTACTCTACACTATCTGAATTTCCCAACTATACTATGTATGTGTGTAAATGTGTTTGTGCTTCCACCTACTTCAACTATCTGGCTTGGCTTGGCTATGTAGTGGAACCAACACCCAAAGAATCTGGTAATCCCTGTGTGCCCTCACCCTGCGGACCAAACTCCAAATGCGTCGATGTGCACGGTTCACCTGCATGCTCCTGCCTACCCGACTATCTCGGACGGCCACCCAACTGCCGACCCGAGTGCATGTCTAGTCCCGATTGTCCAGCCAACTTGGCCTGTGTTAATCAGCGCTGTGCTAACCCATGTATCGGTGCATGCGGGATACACTCACAGTGTACTGTTATCAAGCATAACCCGAACTGTCAATGCGAGCCTGGTTATACCGGAGATCCCTTCTCAGGCTGTGCTATTATACAACAAAGTATAAATCATTCTAGTCCTTATGCAACCCATATCTCTAATATACATTTACATTATTTTGTCCACATTTACTTACTACAGTCACGCCAACGGAAGCTCCTCGTAATCCATGTAATCCAAGCCCATGTGGTGCCAATGCTATCTGTCGTGAACGCAACGGTGCGGGCTCCTGTGCATGCTTGCCTGAGTACTTTGGTGATCCGTACAGTGGTTGTCGACCGGAATGTGTACAAAATGCCGATTGCGATCGATCACGTGCCTGCATCAACAACAAATGCCAGGATCCCTGCCCCGGTGCCTGTGGCATCAATGCTGAATGTCGCGTATTAAACCATGCACCCAATTGCATGTGCTTCGATGGTTACACAGGCGATCCACATCGTTCGTGCGCACTTACTGAAGTCGTAACCCGCCGTCCGGAGAATCCTTGTCAGCCGTCACCATGTGGACCCAATAGTCAGTGTCATGAAACTAACAGCCATGCGGTATGCAGTTGCCTGGAAGGTTACATTGGAGCACCACCCAGTTGTAAGCCTGAGTGTGTAGTCAGCTCTGAGTGCGCACAAAATCGTGCCTGTATCAATCAGAAATGCGCCGATCCCTGTCGCGGCGCTTGCGGAGATAATGCCAAATGCCAAGTGGTTAACCACAACCCCATCTGCAGCTGCGTGCCAGGCATGACCGGTGACCCAATCTCGGGATGTGTGACTGATGTGGGTAAAAGTACCGAGAATCCATGTGTACCCTCACCTTGTGGTCCGAACTCAATTTGCCGTGAGATTGGACAGCAGGCAGCCTGCTCCTGCCAGGCGAACTATATTGGACGTCCGCCCAGCTGTCGACCAGAGTGCACTAACAACGATGAATGTCAAAATCATCTGTCCTGTCAACAGGAACGTTGCATTGATCCTTGTCCCGGCTCATGTGGCAGCAACGCCGTATGTCAGGTTGTCCAACACAATGCGGTTTGCTCCTGCGCCGATGGCTACGAGGGTGATCCTCTTTTTGGTTGTCAGCTCATTGCTCCAGTACTGCCTACTCAACCACCCACATCACCCTGCGAGCCCTCGCCCTGTGGTCCACACGCAGAGTGCCGAGAGCGCAATGGTGCCGGCGCCTGCTATTGTCACGATGGTTTTGAGGGCAATCCCTACGATGCTCAACGAGGATGCCGTCGCGAATGCGAAGCCAACGATGACTGTAGTCTAGCACAGGCATGCGTGCGCTTTAAATGCATTGATCCGTGCGCTAACATGTGCGGAGAGTATGCCATATGTACCGTAGATAACCATGTGCCCACCTGCAATTGCCCGGCGGGCTATAGCGGTGATCCGTTCTTTAGCTGTCGACCAGTACCGGTTACACCTCCGCCACCAGTAAATCCCTGCGTACCATCGCCATGCGGCCCGAACAGCAATTGCCGCAGTATCAACAACCAAGCGGTGTGCTCTTGCCAATCAGGCTTTATCAGCCAACCACCAAACTGCCGACCCGAGTGCGTTGTCAGCGCAGAATGCGCCTCAGAGCGTGCCTGTGTAAACAATAAGTGCGTAGATCCCTGCCTCCACACGTGCGGAATACGTGCCATCTGCAGCACGAAGAACCACAGCCCTATTTGCTCATGTCCACGCGGTATGACTGGTGATCCATTCGTGCAATGTTCCAAAATACGTAAGTATTCAACGGATTCGATGAAAATTCTTAAAACTAACAGTTGATTCTTTGCAGCGATTACGCACGATGTGACCACACCTGAACCGCCTGCACCTTCCTGTGTGCCCTCACCTTGCGGCCCTAACTCTAAGTGCCAAGTTGTTGGCGGTAGTCCGGCCTGCTCTTGCCTACCAGACTTTATTGGCGCTCCGCCGCGTTGTAGACCTGAGTGTGTGCTGAACTCGGAATGTGGATCCACTGAGGCGTGTATCAATCAGAAGTGTCGCGACCCTTGCCCAGGCTCCTGCGGATTTGAGGCCAAATGTCATGTACTTAATCATCTACCAATTTGCAACTGCATCGACGGCTTCACTGGTGATCCGTTTGTACGCTGCAGTAAACTGCCAGAAGTAAAGGTTGTACCGCGACCCGATGATCCATGCAGTCCCAACCCCTGTGGACCGAATGCCGACTGCTTTAGCGGTGAGTGTCGCTGTCAGAACAATTATCAGGGTAATCCCTACGAGGGTTGTCGCCCTGAATGCACACTGTCTGCGGATTGTTCCCGGGATAAGGCTTGCATGCGCAACAAATGCGTGGATCCCTGCCCAGGAACCTGTGGCAATAATGCTGTCTGCGAGGTTATGAATCACATACCCGTATGCTCATGCCAACAAGGCTATGAGGGTGATCCGTTCACCAACTGCCGTCCAAAAACTATTGAAGCTACGCCAGAGGTCAAGGCCTGCTCGCCCTCACCCTGTGGTGCTAATAGTCAGTGTCGCGATGTTAATGGACATGCGGTCTGCTCATGCCTGGAAGGCTTCATTGGAGCACCACCTCAATGCCGACCTGAATGCGTCGTGTCTAGCGAGTGCTCAGCAGTGCAAGCGTGTGTCAACCGGAAGTGCGTAGATCCCTGCGCTGGAGCATGTGGCATTGAAGCACGCTGTGAGGTTATCAATCACAGTCCTATATGTGGCTGTCCGCCAGGCACTACTGGTGATCCATTTAAGGGGTGCACTGAAATACCCACACAAAAGGACGTAGATCAAGAGCAACCTCCAAGCGATCCATGCGTGCCATCCCCCTGCGGACCCAACTCAATATGTAAAGCCGATGATAAGGGACCTGTATGCCAATGTCTTCCCGAGTATTTTGGATCACCCCCCAACTGCCGTGTAGAATGCATCATCAATCCAGATTGCCCCTCCACACAGGCCTGCATAAACAACAAGTGTCGCGATCCCTGTCCAGGCTCCTGTGGCACTAATTCCGAGTGCCGCGTTATCGGCCACTCCGTTTCCTGCTCATGCCCGCCTGGCTATGCCGGCAATGCTTTTGTACAGTGCGTGTTGCAGCGTGAGGAGCAGCCGAAGCCTTGTGAGCCTTCACCATGTGGTGCCAATGCCGAATGCATCGAGCGCAATGGCGCCGCAGCCTGCAAGTGTATTGACGAGTATCAGGGCAATCCCTATGATGGCTGTCGACCAGAGTGCGTGCTTAGCTCAGACTGTCCCACGGACAAGGCTTGCATAAGGAATAAATGCCAAGATCCCTGCCCCGGCATTTGCGGATCAAACGCTCAATGCTACGCGCTCAACCATGTGCCAAATTGCGTTTGCAACGATGGATACACTGGCGATCCGTTCTCCAATTGTCGACGCGTCGAAGCAACAATACCAGCACCAGTCGGTGACCCGTGCAAACCTTCGCCTTGCGGCCCTAATAGCAAGTGCCGTTTATCCAATGGCTTGGCCGTATGCTCCTGCTTGGAGACATTTATTGGCGCACCGCCCAATTGTAAACCGGAGTGTACAGTAAATGCCGAGTGTCCACAGAATAAGGCGTGTCATAAATTCCGCTGCGCCAATCCGTGCGCCGGCACTTGCGGCATCAATGCCAAGTGTGAGGTGATCAACCATAATCCCATCTGCAGCTGTCCACAAGACATGACTGGTGATCCGTTCGCTCGCTGCTATCCAGCACCTGAACTTGCCGAGCCCAAGGACACCCCCAAGGAAAAGAATCCATGCCAACCTTCACCCTGCGGCCTCTATTCGGAGTGCCGTGTGCGCGGCGACCAGGCATCCTGCTCATGTCTGCCAAACTACATTGGAGCACCTCCCAACTGCCGGCCAGAGTGCATTGTGAATACAGATTGCGCCTCAGATCGTGCCTGCATTGCAGAAAAGTGCCGCAATCCCTGTGAAGGCTCCTGCGGCATCAACTCTGAGTGCCGTATACAAAATCATCTGGCTATATGCACGTGCCGCGATGGCTTTACTGGTGACCCGTTTGTGCAATGTGTTGAGGTTGTTGAAAAAACCACACAGCCACAAATACCATCACAGGATCCCTGTGACCCTTGCGGTGCCAACGCCGAATGCCGCAACGGCATTTGCAGCTGCCTGCCTGAATACCAGGGTGATCCATATAGCGGCTGTCGTCCAGAATGCACACTCAGTACCGATTGCTCACCAAACAAAGCTTGCCTGAACAAAAAATGTGTCGATCCATGCCCCGGCACCTGTGGCCAGAACTCACAATGTGATGTCTCAAATCACATACCTATATGTAGCTGTTTGCAAGGGTACACGGGTGATCCATTTGTCCACTGTCGCCAAGAGACTCCTGTGGCCAAGGATCCATGCCAACCAAATCCGTGCGGACCCAATAGTTTATGCCATGTCTCTGCCCAGGGTGCTGTTTGTGCCTGCCAGCCGGGCATGTTGGGCTCACCACCGGCGTGCAAGCCCGAATGCATTGTTAGCTCAGAGTGTTCGCTACAAACAGCTTGCATACAGAAGAAGTGCGTTGATCCCTGTCCAGGGGCTTGCGGCCAGTTTGCGCGCTGCCAAGTGATTAATCATAATCCGTCTTGCTCTTGCAATACGGGCTATACGGGTGATCCATTCACGCGCTGCTACCAGGAAGAACGCAAACCCACGCCAGTGAGTCCGAGCAATCCTTGCGTACCACCACCATGTGGACCGAATTCGGAGTGCAAGGAGCTGAATGGAAATCCAGCTTGCTCGTGCGCAGCTACATTTATTGGCACTCCGCCAAACTGCCGACCGGAGTGCACCATCAATCCAGAATGTTCACCAACTAAGGCATGCATACGGCAGAAGTGTGCCGACCCTTGTGTGGGCGCCTGCGGATTTAATGCCCGCTGCAACGTGGCCAATCATCAACCCATTTGCACATGCGATGTAGGCTACACTGGAGATCCTTTCACGGGCTGCCAACCGGAACAAGGTAGGAAACCGTTTTTATTTACTACACACACAATATAGTTGTTAGGTCAAGGCGTAAACTTGCTTGGTTTTGGTTGTTTTAATGGACGTTCATCGCCCACCTGCTTAATAGTCACAGCTTTACTGAAGATTTACTGCAATTACACGTATTCGCAACTGTTTACGCCTTAATAGAGAAATCTGAATGTGAAACTGACACCCACCCAGTGCTTATTAAAATAAATCATATCTTATACAAATATTGTTATTATAATCTCCCCTGATCTCAAGTGATACATGTTCCTCCCATATGACCCATCAGTTTCACATTCGTTAAATGCGCAATAGAATTATTAGCAAAGGTGTTGTTGATGTGTTTAGTGATGCACATAGAGTTGTTTCAATTACAGTGATTGTTTGGTTTAAGTTTTTTTCTAAATAAAACAAAGTAAAATTATAGAGCCTGTAATATAAATATAATTTGTCCGTCATTCTTGATTTTTTACCGCCTATATGATTAAAGAAATTTAGGAAGTAAGAGGCATATAAAGAATATCAAATATCATAACCAATTAAATTAATTAATGGGTAATATATATAGGTTCGACTGATTTTTATTTCTCTTAAAATTTGTAATTTATCAAAAAAAAATATATATATATTTTGAATATCTTTTATAAGTCGACGTACGATATGTTAGAATTTGTAACATGCTCATGCATCGATCAAACTCGATTTTTATATGTTTTAGCACTACTTGCGTGTAATTCACAACCAATGTGCACCGAATCACTTTACACACTCACCCCTGTTCTAATGCGCTTAGTTATTGAGATATTTACACAAACAATTTACACGAATTTACATTACAATTTTTGGCTATCGCACACACACGCACAATGCATTGCAAAAGAAGTGTTTTCAAAATCCTCAAAGTATTCAACCTATTTATCAACACTTGAGCAAAATGCAATTTTAAATCTACACAGTTCTGTACGAGTTGTCTGAACTGTTGTTGGCTTTGGACGTGTTTGTGTGTGGCAGTAGTCAACATATTTAATTAATTTAAGATAATATTTTGATATTTTATTATATTTGCTTTTAAACGCCCTTAACGCCTGAACACAATATGCAAACTTGCCTCGCCTTTTTGTTGCCTTATATATATATATACATCTGCCTCAGTTGACCGCCTTGAGCAGACCTAACCCTTGACTTTGTTATTTTAATGCTTTGGAAAGTAATATTTTGATCCAGTTGTTCGAATCAATGTTGAACCCATGAAATGCTTATACTTATTTGTTTTGCTTGGCCCAAAATCGTACAAATCCACAACCTTAACTTTTGAATTTTGTACCCTAACCCCAATTGGAATCTCTAAAAATACCCAAAAATTTTCCCAAATTGAGTACTGCGTTGCTATCGACCAAAGTGTTTTGCCTTTTTTACCTTAATTGTAACAACGGTTCGCCAAAGGACTATACACAATTACAAGAACAACATGAAACTAATCAGCGCATAATGATTATTAGCAATTAGTTATTATTTGAATAAGAACTTAGATCTATAACTCTGTAGTGCCAAATATTTAATTTAATTAACAAATGCAATAAATCGATTGATATAAGATGACACGAAACACTTGTTTTAATTACGTCTTGCCACGTATGAAAACAAAATATGCATTTTACGTTATGCAACACTGCACAAAACCACTGCGCACAGCACCACAATACGCAACGCACAGCGTTTAACAGCACTAAAAACTAAACCTAACGCGCCGAAAGCACTTTAAGTGAGAAATTTAAAAATATTAATTGAAGAAAACCAACACCTAATCCGTGCTCTAATCCCACCGCCAAAAACCAAAACCCCGATTGGACTAATAAATTGCAAAATGCTTAAGCTAAAGGCACTGCCAGGTGTGTTCGTTCGTACTAAAATTGAAATACTATGGAGCAACTATTAAAGTTTTTGCCAACCTTTCTTCTCTTCCAACCTCTCTATCTGTAACAATCGTTCCCGAGAACAGAACGGATAGTCAATGAACAGGTCACACCCTGCGAACCAAATCCTTGTGGATCGAACGCCGTCTGTCGTGAGCGCAATGGTATTGGCTCTTGTCAGTGCCTTCCCGATTACTTTGGCGATCCCTATCAGTCCTGTCGACCTGAATGCGTACGTAATTCCGACTGTCCATCGAATAAGGCGTGTCAACAACAGAAGTGTCGCGATCCCTGCCCTGGCACTTGTGGCACAAATGCCGACTGCCGGGTAACGAACCACCTTCCTACGTGCACATGTCGCAGCGGTTACACTGGTGATCCGTATCGTTACTGCCATGTGGAACCAGTTCAACGTAAGCCCCACCTAACTCAGCACCTGAACAATAAGTACAAGATACCCTTTACAGCTATACGTCTGGCCGAACCCACTCAACCCTGTCGTCCCTCACCATGTGGTCCCAACTCCCAGTGCCGCGAGCTAAATGGCCAAGCGGTTTGCTCCTGTCTTGAGCTCTACATCGGTTTGCCACCGAACTGTCGACCCGAGTGTGTGTTGAGCACTGAGTGCCCCACCGAAAAAGCATGCGTTAGTCAACGCTGTCAAGATCCTTGTCCGGGCACATGCGGCATCAATTCCGAATGCCGCGTTCATAATCACAGTCCTCTTTGTCAGTGTCGTCGCGGTTTCACGGGCGATCCTTTTACACGTTGTTATACCCTGCCACGTAAGCAAACTAGTCCTTTTTTAAATAGATTATGTCATAGCCATATTGATTTTCCCAACTCAGCACCCACCCCGGCCATTGACCGCGTTGAACGTGATCCTTGTGTGCCGACGCCCTGTGGCCTTAATAGCCAGTGCCGCAATGTACAAGGCGTTCCATCCTGCACATGTCTACTAGAATACATTGGCACACCGCCAAACTGTCGACCAGAATGTACTATTAGTGCAGAGTGCGCCTCGAACATGGCATGTATACGCGAAAAGTGTATTGATCCCTGCCCTGGGTCTTGCGGCTTTGGAGCGGAATGCAGTGTCATCAGCCATACACCGATATGTACTTGTCCTTTAGGTTATACAGGTGATCCGTTTAGCAGTTGTCGTCTGGCACCACCAGAGCCCGTGATAAGTGAGTTTTCCATTCAAATACCAAAGGTCAAGTATCTCTAACTCGTTATAATCTCTAGACGAATATGTTGACCGTTGTCAACCTTCGCCGTGTGGTCCAAACGCCCAGTGCAACGATGGTATCTGTAATTGTTTGCCCGAGTTCCATGGTGATCCGTATACCGGTTGCCGTCCGGAATGTGTGCTTAACTCTGATTGTCCGCGCGATAAGGCCTGTCTACGCAACAAATGCTCTAATCCATGCCCGGGCACTTGCGGCGAGAATGCCATTTGCGATGTCATTAATCACATACCCATGTGCAGGTGCCCCGATGGTACAGCTGGCAGCGCCTTTATACGTTGCACGCCCGTTCCGAGTACGTCGATGTGAAGAACTATTTCTGCCTTCCTTACTAATATTCGACATTCGTCTACAGAAAATGTTATCACTACCAATCCTTGCCAGCCGTCGCCTTGTGGTCCAAACTCTCAGTGCCGCGAAGTCAACCAGCAAGCTGTGTGCTCCTGTTTGCCAAGCTACATTGGTGCCCCACCCACCTGTAGGCCCGAATGTACCTCTAATGCCGAATGTGCGCCTACCCAAGCGTGTCTCAATCAGCTTTGTGGAGACCCATGTCCTGGTACTTGCGGGGTGGGCGCCAACTGTGCTGTTGTCAATCACAGTCCCTTCTGCACCTGTCCTACCCGCTTCACCGGCAATCCCTTCATACGTTGTCAACCCCAAAGTAAGGGAATTTTCTAAGAAATCTTTGAAAAATACTTCTATAATAAGCCATTCTTAGTTGAACCTGTACGTGACAATCAGCCAACTGATCCATGCCGGCCATCACCCTGTGGCCCCTATGCTCAATGTCGTGCCATTGGCGATGCACCCGCTTGTTCCTGTCTCGAAACCTATATAGGACGTCCACCGAACTGCCGACCAGAGTGCGTCACCAGCTCAGACTGCAGCAGTCAACTGGCCTGCATCAACCAGAAGTGTGCAGATCCTTGTCCAGGGCGCTGTGGCTTGAATGCTGACTGTCGCGTTGTCAGCCATGTGGTGCAATGCATCTGCCAGCAAGGTTTCATTGGCGATCCCTTCGTCCAGTGCAGTCCCGAAATTGAACGCGACATCGAAGTGCGTACACCCTGCAGCCCCAGTCCCTGTGGAGCAAATGCCATTTGTCGCGAGCGTGACGGAGCTGGATCTTGCCAATGTCTGCCGGAATACTTTGGCAATCCCTACGATGGTTGTCGACCCGAGTGTATGCTAGACTCTGATTGCGCATCGAATCGTGCCTGCCTGCAGCAAAAGTGTCAGGATCCTTGCCCCGGTACCTGTGGTCAAAACGCCGCCTGTCAGGTTATTAACCATCTGCCATCCTGCAATTGTCTACCCGGGTACATAGGGGATCCCTATCAACTTTGTACACGTCCTGTCGAACGTAAGCAATCACCCACATTTCCAATTGGCACTCTTAACCGTTGCACATATATATTCGCTGTAGCTATACGTAACGAATACACGAATCCGTGTGAGCCCACGCCGTGCGGTCCTAACTCACAGTGTCGCGTTACAAATGGGCAGGCCGTCTGCTCGTGTCTGCCCCAGTTCATTGGCGCCCCACCTGCCTGTCGACCCGAGTGCACAATCTCATCGGAATGTACTGTTGATAAGGCCTGTCTGAATCAGAAATGTGTCAATCCCTGCGTGGCCAATACCTGCGGCAGCAATGCGATGTGCCGTGTACGCAACCACAGTCCTATCTGCACTTGTGTCAGTGGCTTCACAGGCGATGCCTTTACAAAATGCTTCCCAATGCCACGTAAGCCAAGTTATCTAATACTCGATAGCTGAACTCTACCCAAATCTATTCGTGTCCTGCAGCGCCGCCAATTGAAGTACAACATGAACCGTTGCGCGATCCTTGCGTGCCTACACCCTGCGGCCCGCACTCTGAGTGTCGCAACATTAATGGAGTTCCAGCATGTTCCTGCCTAGCAATGTTTATTGGTCAGGCACCAAATTGTCGTCCAGAATGTATTATTAATTCGGAATGTCCTAGCCAACAGGCATGCATTAATCAGAAATGCCGCGATCCCTGCCCAGGTGCATGTGGCTTAAATGCCATTTGTAGCGTAATTAACCATACGCCGCTCTGTGCCTGCAGCGAGGGTTACATTGGTAATCCATTCACTATCTGCAATCTCAAGCCACCAGAACGTAGGTGTTTAGTTTGTACCCCAATATATTCCAATATGACACTTTTCACCGTTTTGCAGCAACTTTGCCACCTAAAAGGGACGATCCGTGCAACCCATCACCGTGTGGTGCTAATGCCCAATGCAACGGTGGTAAATGCACATGCATAGCTGAATACCAAGGTGATCCAAATGTCGGCTGTCGCCCGGAATGTGTTCTCAATACAGACTGTCCACATAATCGTGCTTGCATACGAAATAAGTGCATTGATCCCTGCCCTGGTACTTGCGGAATAAATGCGATTTGCGAGGTGAACAATCATGTGCCTATTTGTCGCTGTCCAGATCAAATGTCAGGCAATGCATTCTTTGAGTGCCGCCCTGTGCCAGCACCAGCGCCACAGAATCCCTGCCAACCTTCACCATGTGGACCCAACAGCCAGTGCCGTGTGGTGCAACAGACCGCTGTCTGCTCTTGCCTGGTCGACTATGTCGGCAGTCCGCCACAATGTCGACCAGAATGTGTTACCAACTCGGATTGCGCGGCCAATCAAGCTTGCCAAAATATGAAGTGTCGTGATCCCTGTCCCGGCACCTGCGGCTTTAATGCTCTATGCAATATGGTAAATCACAGCCCCTTCTGCAGTTGCCCCACGGGTATGTCGGGCAATCCTTTTGTGCGATGTGAACAGATTAGTAAGCCACTTCTAAATGTAAGCAACTTGCCAGAGATACAACAACAACTCTTTACAGTAGTTCCGCAACGTGATGTTACGCCACAAAATCCGTGTCAACCGTCGCCCTGTGGCCCCAACTCTGAATGCCGTGTCTCAGGTGATTCGCCATCTTGCTCTTGCCTGCCCGAATTTTCGGGTGCTCCACCAAATTGCCGACCAGAATGCATATCCAACTCGGAGTGCGCCACCAACCAAGCTTGCGTCAATCAGAAATGCGTAGACCCTTGTCCAGGACTTTGTGGTCTTAACGCGAATTGTCGTGTTTTCAGCCATACGGCCATGTGCCTTTGTGATAGAGGGTTCACAGGTGATCCATTTGCCCAGTGCAATGCCATTATTGAAGCAACAGTCGAGCAGATACAGCCCTGCAATCCGAGTCCTTGCGGCGTCAATGCAAAGTGTGAGGAACGTGGTGGTGCTGGCTCTTGTCAGTGTCTACCTGAACACTTTGGCAATCCCTACGAGGGCTGCCGACCAGAGTGTGTGCTCAACTCAGACTGTCCATCAAATAGAGTTTGTCAGCAACAAAAGTGCCGTGATCCCTGCCCAGGCACATGTGGCCAGAATGCCGAGTGCCAAGTTATTAACCACTTGGCCACCTGTAATTGTCTAAACGGGTATACTGGCGATCCCTATAGTTTCTGCCGTATTGTAGAAAACGAACCACGTAAGACTGTCCTGATGACGAAAACTATGGAGCGAAATGCTTACACAACATTTCTTACAGCCGAACCTGTCTATGTGAATCCCTGTCAACCATCACCCTGCGGTCCCAATTCGCGTTGCCGCGAAGTCAACACGCAAGCGGTCTGCTCCTGTCTAACGGAATTTGTTGGCAGCCCACCCGCCTGTCGTCCTGAATGCACTAGTAGCTCCGAATGCGCAGCTGATAAGGCTTGTGTTAATCGCAAATGCGTTGACCCGTGCCCTAATGTCTGTGGCCAACAGGCTGAGTGCCGTGTTCGAAACCACAGTCCCATCTGCACATGCCTAAATGGATTTACAGGCGACGCCTTTACTCGTTGCTATAAAATGCCGCGTAAGCCAATGAATACAAATGAAGTCGCAATGGAATCTGACTGACTATTGAATGATATTTTTAGCTCCATCTGTTGTGGCAATTGAACGTGAGCCTCTTGATCCTTGTGTCCCCTCGCCTTGTGGTGCTAACTCCCAATGTCGTGACATATATGGAACACCATCGTGTTCCTGCCTGCCCAATTATCTGGGCACGCCACCTAGCTGCCGACCCGAGTGTTCCATCAATGCTGAATGTCCGAGTCATCAGGCATGCATCAATCAAAAGTGTCGCGATCCTTGCCCCGGCTCCTGCGGGCTTAACACACAGTGCAATGTAATCAACCACACTCCAATTTGTAGTTGTTTAGTGGGTTATACCGGTGATCCATTTATTGTTTGCAATCCAGAGCCGCCTCAGAAAAGTAAGAACTATTTTTAGATTGAACTCAATAGCAAAAACTAATCCTCAGTTTACATAATAGTTGAAGTCCCACCTGCACCTCAAGACCCATGCAATCCCTCACCATGTGGTGCTAATGCCCAGTGTCATAACGGTCAATGCACCTGCATATCTGAATACCACGGAGATCCTTTTGTCAGCTGTCGTCCGGAATGTGTTCTCCACGCGGATTGTGCCCGCAATCTCGCTTGTGTGCGTCATAAGTGTGTTGATCCTTGTCCCGGCACTTGTGCGTCTACTGCCATTTGCGAAGTGCTCAACCACATACCCAACTGCCGCTGTCCCGATGGCATGGAAGGCAATGCTTTTGTAGCGTGCAACCCCGTGAAACGTAAGCCATCAGCTATATGCGGTTGTACCTGTTTCCAGTTCGACTATACAGTGTTTAACCTTTTGTAGAACTCGACGTCGTGCAGAACCCATGTCAGCCATCACCTTGTGGACCAAATTCTCAGTGTCGAGTGATAAATCAACAAGCCATCTGCTCTTGCATTACGCCTTTCATCGGCAGTCCACCATTCTGTCGACCCGAATGCACATCGAATTCAGAATGCCCCTTAAATTTGGCGTGTCTCAATCAAAAGTGCAGTGATCCATGTCCTGGTGTTTGCGGCCGCAATGCCCAATGCCATGTGACGAACCACAGTCCATTCTGTCGTTGCGTGGATCACTATACTGGCAATCCGTTTGTTAGCTGTCAACCGATTATCGAACCCCCAGCGCCGCCACCGCGACAAGCCTGCCAACCTTCACCCTGTGGACCTTACGCCGAATGCCGCGAGATAAACGAGACACCCTCATGTACCTGCTTGCCCGACTACAGCGGCACACCGCCAAACTGCCGTCCAGAGTGTGTTACTAGTTCGGAGTGTCCAACACATCAGGCTTGCATAAAGCAGAAGTGTCGGGATCCATGTCCTGGCCTGTGTGGGCAAGCGGCTGTGTGCCGCGTGCTATCACATACTCCGAGCTGTTTTTGTCCTGACAACCTGGAGGGTGATCCCTTCGTACAGTGTGTGGAGAAGAGAATTCAGCAGTTGGATCAGTTGGACCCGTGCAATCCTAGTCCTTGTGGAATAAATGCTCGTTGCACATCACGACAAGATGCTGGCTCATGTCAGTGTCTTGAAGGATTTTTCGGCAATCCTTACGAAGGATGCCGACCTGAATGTGTGCTCGACTCCGATTGTCCGTCGAACCTTGCCTGCCAACAACAGAAGTGTCAAGATCCCTGCCCCGGTACTTGTGGCCCCAGTGCAGTGTGCAATGTGCTCAATCATGTGCCCAGCTGCAGTTGTTTAACTGGCTACAGTGGTGACCCATATCGCCTGTGCCAACAGGATCGTCAACGTAAGGATACTCAAACCCTAGCAATTGAAACAATTTAGACATCGATGTCTATTACTTTCCTTCATAGCTATCAAGCAGTATGTGAATCCCTGCCAGCCCTCACCCTGCGGCCCCAACTCCCAGTGCCGGGAGAGCAATGAGCAGGCTGTTTGCTCTTGCCTGCCCGAGTATGTGGGTGCACCGCCAGCCTGCCGACCCGAATGCACCATATCATCGGAGTGCGCGGTGGACAAGGCGTGTGTAGGCAAGAAGTGTGTAGATCCCTGTCCAGGTACTTGTGGCGAGAATGCCCTATGCCGTGTGGTCAACCATAGTCCTATTTGTTCGTGTCGCAATGGTTATACTGGCGATGCCTTCTATCGCTGTTTACCTATACCTCGTAAGTGCTCCGCTTGTCTTCCAATATATAATTTTAAACATTTCGATCTGGGTAAAGCCGCGCCGCCCACAGCAGTTGTGCAACAGCAACCGATTGATCCTTGTGTACCTTCACCTTGCGGTCCGTACTCCGAGTGTCGTCCACATGGCGAGGCCCCATCGTGCTCTTGTTTGAATGGTTATCTAGGCGTGCCACCCAACTGCCGCCCCGAGTGTCGTATTAACTCAGACTGTCCCAGCAGTCAGGCCTGCATAAATGAAAAATGTCAGGATCCCTGCCCTGGTTCCTGCGGCTTTGGTGCCATTTGCAGTGTCATCAATCACACACCAAGCTGCACATGCCCAGCAGGTTATACCGGCGATCCATTCAGCCATTGTCAGCCGGAACCACCACCAAAACGTAAGCTTGGTACTAAAAACAATGCCAACAGTACCATAATCTCTTGCTCTATAGCTGTGGAAGCCGACGATCCTTGCAATCCCTCACCGTGTGGTCCCAATGCCATATGTAATGCTGGGACGTGTACCTGTCTGCCTGAGTATCAAGGTGATCCCTACAGCGGTTGTCGTCCTGAATGCCTGACTAGCTTGGACTGTCCGCGAGATCGCGCTTGCGCTCGGCACAAGTGTTTCGATCCCTGCCCAGGCACATGTGCACCCAACGCCTTATGTACCGTGATTAATCACATACCGATGTGTACATGCCCCGAAGGCTATGCAGGCAACGCATTCCTTCAGTGTCAGCCTATAACACGTAAATATGACACAATTCTAAAGTGACCAATTGGAGTGACCAATTTGAATCTTTCACTTGACAGCAGCTGCCGTCGTACAGCCCTGCCAGCCTTCGCCATGCGGACCGAATTCGCAATGTCGAGAGGCCAATAAACAGGCCGTCTGTTCCTGTGTGCCTGGATATGTAGGCACACCACCATTATGTCGGCCTGAGTGCACTAGCAACTCGGAGTGTTCTGCTCAGCTTGCCTGTGTGAATCAAAAGTGTGTCGATCCATGCCCCGGCGCCTGTGGTCGCAGTGCGACATGCAGTGTAGTCAATCACAATCCGTTCTGCACCTGCTTGCCACACTATACAGGTAATCCATTTTTGGGCTGCCAGGTAATTATCGAGCCACCACAGCGTGACACTGTGCCCGAAGATCCTTGTCGTCCATCACCTTGTGGAGCCAACGCTGAGTGCCGCGCCATTGGGGAGACACCATCCTGTTCGTGTCTTGCAGAGTTTGTGGGGTCGCCACCTTACTGCAAACCGGAATGTGTCGTGAATTCCGAGTGTCCTAGTAATCGGGCGTGTATTAATCAAAAGTGTCGCGATCCTTGTCCGGGCCTTTGTGGCGCCAACGCTATTTGTCGCGTTGTCTCACATACAGCTATGTGTGTTTGTGACGCTGGACTGACGGGCGATCCCTTTACACAGTGCCAGCCAATTGAAAAGGATGTGGAGATTATTAATCCTTGCCAACCATCGCCATGCGGTGCCAATGCCGAGTGCATACAGCGCAATGGTGCCGGAGCATGTCAATGCCTGCCCGATTACTTCGGTAACCCCTATGAGGGTTGCCGCCCGGAATGTATTCTTAATTCGGACTGCCCATCGAATCTTGCCTGTCAGCAGCAAAAGTGTCGCGATCCCTGTCCAGGTAGCTGTGGACAGAATGCCGAATGCAATGTCGTCAATCATACGCCGATGTGTTCCTGCGTCGCGGGATATGTTGGAGATCCATATCGCTACTGTAACCAGCCTGCAGCACGTAAGCTAGTTTCAATCTATTAAGTAGAGTTGTCTATCTAACTTGGCGTAGCTGTTGTAGTTACTAATTCGAAGCGTATTATCTATTTGCCTAACCCTAACTCTAGCACTTGTTCACGAGTATGTTAATCCATGTCTGCCCTCGCCTTGTGGCTCGAATGCCCAATGTCGAGAGGTGCAGGGTCAAGCGGTTTGCTCCTGTCTTCCCGAATTTAAGGGAGCGCCACCCAATTGTCGACCCGAGTGTACCTCGAACGCTGAGTGCCCAGCCAACAGGGCATGTATCAATCGCAAGTGCGTCGATCCATGCCCGGGTGTCTGCGGCCATCAAGCGACTTGTCAGGTGCACAATCACAGTCCCGTTTGCATATGTCCTGCAGGCCTGATGGGCGATCCTTTCGTACGCTGCCTACCTCGACCAACACGTAAGAAAACTGTCTGCAAACATCTATAAACAGTCTATGTAACACGAATTTGTCGAAATATTAGCTCCACCACCGCCGCTTCGAGATGTGGCGCCCTATAGGGATCCCTGCGAACCCTCACCTTGTGGCCTGTACGCTACATGTCGTAGTTACCATGAACAGGCGATTTGTTCCTGCCAGACCAATTATTTAGGCACACCGCCGCATTGTCGACCTGAGTGTACCATCAATGCTGATTGCGCCAGTCACCTGGCTTGCATTGGCGAACGGTGTCTTGATCCCTGCCCTGGAGCCTGCGGTCAGTACACTGAGTGTCGTGTGATCAATCATACGCCTAGCTGTGTTTGCCTGCACGGCTACGTTGGGGATGCCTTTGTGGCTTGCCAGCCTGCACCACGTAAGCAATTGGGTTAAAGCTTTCGACCTCCAGTACATCAACACATCTACAATTTATACAGCGCCACGAGCCTATGAAGAACCCAGAGATCCTTGCAATCCCAGTCCCTGTGGCAGCAATGCAGTCTGCTCGGGAGAAGGCCAGTGCATGTGCATTGCCGAATATCAGGGCGACCCTTACATCGCTTGTCGTCCAGAATGCGTCCTCAACTCTGAATGCCCTCGCAATCACGCTTGTGTACAGCAAAAATGTGTTGATCCCTGCCCGGGCACATGTGGCGTCGGGGCCACTTGCGAGGTTTTCAATCACATTGCCATGTGCCACTGTCCTGTGGGCATGACTGGCAATGCATTTATTCAATGCAGTGCCCTACAAAGTATGTTTATAATTCCACCCTTGAGACAAATAACTAATCTACTGAAACCGCTCTTCAGTGACCGTCTATCAGAATCCCTGCCAACCATCACCGTGTGGTGCAAACGCTGAATGCCGAGAAAGGCAAGGTCAGGCCATCTGCAGCTGTCTACAAAATTATTATGGCGTACCACCATCTTGTCGACCCGAGTGCACCACCAATTATGACTGTGCCCCCAGTCGTGCTTGCCAGAATCAACATTGCGTTGATCCCTGTCCAGGCGCTTGTGGGGCTTACGCCGAATGCAGGGTGGTCAGTCACAGTCCCTTCTGTAGCTGTCAGCCTGGCTATACGGGTAATCCGTTTGTGCAGTGCCACATAATTAGTAAGTTCTCAAAATTCCACACAATTCAACTTAATTGATGCAACTGTCAAAACTACAGTCGAACCACTGCGGGATATTGTGACCCGGGATCCATGCCAACCGTCCCCTTGCGGTCCTAATAGTGAGTGCCAACGTAATGGGGATATACCATCCTGTTCGTGTCTTGAGAGCTTCTTTGGAACTCCACCAAACTGCCGACCCGAGTGCTTGTCTAACTCTGATTGTGCTTCATCCCGGGTTTGCAGAAATAATCGTTGCACGGATCCTTGTCCAGGCCTTTGCGGCGTCGGTGCTGTATGCCATGTGCTTAGTCACAGCGCTATGTGCTACTGTCAACAAGGTTATAGCGGTAATCCTTTCGTTCTCTGCTTACCAATTCAACATGAGCCACCTGAGATGATACAGCCTTGCAATCCCAATCCCTGCGGCACTTTTGCCGAGTGTCATCAACGAAATGGCATTGGCTCTTGCCAATGTCTACCCGAGTACTATGGCAATCCCTATGAAGGCTGCCGCCCCGAATGTGTGCTTGATTCAGACTGTCCATCTAATAGAGCCTGTGTTAATCAAAAGTGCCGTGATCCTTGCCCTGGCAGCTGTGGCCACAATGCCGAGTGTTATGTGAGAAATCACTTGCCAACTTGCAATTGCCTTAGCAACTATGTGGGTGACCCCTATCGCTACTGCACTCTTGAAGAGAAACGTAAGCATCTCTTGGCTTTGATTTCCACCCTTATTGGACACATTTAATTTTTCCAGCCATTCGCGAGTATGTTAATCCCTGCCATCCCTCACCCTGCGGTCCCAATAGTCAGTGCAAAGAGGTTAATGAACAGGCTGTTTGCTCATGTTTGCCCGACTACGTAGGCACTCCTCCTGGTTGTCGTCCTGAGTGTACACTGTCATCAGAATGTAACTTCGACATGGCCTGCGTACAGCACAAATGTTCTGATCCTTGTCCTGGCGCTTGCGGCAGCAATGCGCTATGTCATGCCACAAATCATGCTCCGATGTGCGCCTGCCAGTCAGGATATACCGGAGATCCGTTCACGCGATGCTATCCCGTACCTCGTAAGTCAATTGGTCTATGCTCTGTGCCACATCTACTGACCCAATTATACGGTAAATTTAGCACCACCCACCCAGCTGCTACATGAACCTGTGCGTGATCCCTGTCAGCCGTCCCCATGTGGAGCTAATGCTCAATGTCGTCAGTTAAATGGTCAGGCCATATGTAGCTGCCTGTCTGGCTATTTTGGGGTACCGCCGAGTTGCCGACCCGAATGCTCACAGAGTGCCGAATGTCTACCCAGTCTGGCATGCATAAACCAGCGCTGCGTTGATCCGTGCTCTGGTTCCTGTGCCTACAATGCGATCTGCACTGTGCGCAACCACGTGCCCAGCTGTCAATGTCCCGTCAGTTATGTAGGGCATCCATTTACATCCTGCCATCCTGAACCACGTAAGAAAAACAACACAAATGTTTGGGTCCACTTTCATCAATTTTGATATCTTAACTATAGCCAAGCCCATTGTGACCGACGATCCCTGCAATCCCTCACCATGTGGATTCAATGCCCAGTGTAAAAATGGTGTTTGCACGTGTATAGCCGAATACCAAGGTGACCCCTATGTGGGTTGCCGTCCAGAATGCGTACTTAACGCCGACTGCCCTCGTGATCGTGCGTGTGTCCGCAATAAGTGCATCAATCCCTGTCCAGGAACCTGTGCTCCTAACGCCATATGTGATGTACTTAATCATATTGCCATGTGCCGTTGTCCAACAGCCATGACAGGCAATGCGTTCATCCAGTGTGAAACACCGCCAAAACAATTCCTGCCACCGAAAAATCCTTGTGCACCTTCACCATGTGGACCTAACAGTCGTTGTCGTGAGCTCAATGGTAACGCCGTTTGTTCCTGCATTGAAGATTATGTGGGGAGCCCACCTAGCTGTCGTCCAGAATGTACACGCAACTCGGATTGCTTGCCTAGTCTAGCATGCCAGCAGCAAAAATGCATCGATCCCTGCCCAGGCACTTGTGGATACAATGCACTCTGCCATGTAGTCAACCATGCACCCATATGTAGTTGTCCACCACTGCACATTGGCAATCCTTTCCTTGGCTGTTTGCCAACACCACCACAGAGAGATGTCATTCCTGTAAAGCACGCTTGTCAGCCCTCGCCATGTGGACCCTACGCCGAATGTCGGGCTGTGAGTGACCAAGCTCAATGCAGCTGTCTAACCACTTACATTGGAGCACCGCCTAACTGTCGACCGGAATGCGTCACTAACTCGGAATGCACATTCGATAAAGCGTGTGTTAATCAAAAATGTGTGGACCCCTGCGCGGGTGCTTGTGCAGTCAATGCCGTTTGTCATGTGCTTAGCCATGTGGCCATGTGCTATTGTGCTCCTGGTTATACAGGCGATCCTTTCACCAACTGCCACCAAACTCCTATTACTCAAAAAGAGGAAAGCACACAGCCCTGTTATCCAAATCCCTGTGGTGCCAATGCGCAATGCCGTCAGGAGGGCAATGCAGGCACCTGTCAATGCCTACCCGACTACCATGGCAATCCATATGAAGCTTGTCGACCTGAGTGCGTCTCCAATAGCGACTGTCCGTTAGACAAATCATGTCAACAGTTGAAATGTCGCGATCCTTGCCCGGGTGTGTGCGGTCTAAATGCTGCTTGTCAGGTTCTTAACCACCTACCCACATGCCATTGCCTAAAGTCTTTCGTTGGTGATCCCTATCGATACTGTCAGCTCCCCGAGAAACGTAAGTGTAAAGCTAACAGAAATCCCATACAAAATCATATACAAGACCTATTGTCCTTTAGCCATTGTGAAAGAGTATGCAAATCCCTGTCAGCCCTCACCCTGTGGTCCAAACTCCCAGTGCCTCGAGAAGAACGACCAAGCTGTCTGCTCATGTTTGCCGGATTATGTGGGCACACCGCCCAACTGCCGACCTGAATGTGTGACCAGTGGCGAGTGTGTTTCAGATAAGGCCTGCATTAATCAAAAGTGTCGGGATCCATGTCCTGGCGTCTGTGGTACCAATGCCGACTGTCGTGTCTACCACCATGCGCCTATTTGCAGCTGCCGTCCAAACTTCCAAGGGGATGCTTTCACGCGCTGCTACCCTGCACCACGTAAGAGCTACCATGTGGTCGATATAAGCTCCAAATCATATTTTCTTACCCTGCTTACAGCCCCATCCATTGTCCAGTTGAATACATATACGAATCCTTGTGTTCCTTCGCCATGTGGTCAATATGCTGAGTGTCACGATACTCAAGGCACTGCTGTTTGCAGTTGCTTGCCAAACTATTTTGGCAGCCCACCTAACTGTCGACCCGAGTGTAGTATCAATGCTGACTGCCCCGCTCATCTGACCTGTCAAAACCAGCGCTGCCGTGATCCTTGTCCAGGCGCCTGTGGCTTCAATGCTCAGTGCCTGGTCATAAATCATATCCCCGTTTGTCAGTGTGTACCGGGATTGACTGGCAATCCGTTCGTTTCGTGTCAAGCCCCACCAACAGTACCCCGACCACCTGTGATAAATGACGATCCATGCCTCCATGTAAGGTGTGGTCCCAATAGTGTTTGCAGCCAGGGACAGTGCAGCTGTCTACCCGAATTCCATGGAAACCCATCGGTTGGCTGTCGTCCGGAATGCATATTGAGCACGGAGTGTGCCCAGAATCTCGCCTGCGTGCGCCAAAAATGCATTGATCCCTGCCCGGGCACATGCGGCTCGAACGCAATATGTGAGGTTCACAATCATGTGGCCTTGTGCCACTGCCCAGCTGAAATGACGGGCAATGCTTTTGTACAATGCTTGCCATTGCCTCCGCCGCCTCCACGTGTTGTTTCCGATCCCTGTCAACAATCACCTTGCGGACCCAATGCACAGTGTCGAAATATTAATGGACAAGCTGTCTGCTCCTGCCTGCCACAATTTGTGGGTGTGCCACCATCATGTCGTCCGGAATGTATTAGCAATGAAGAGTGTCCACTACACTTGGCTTGTCTGCAGCAGCGTTGCAACGATCCTTGTCCGGGTGCCTGCGGTCAAAACGCTGAATGCCGAGTTCTTAATCACAGCCCGAACTGTCGTTGCATCAGCTCCTACACTGGGAATCCGTTCATAGTATGCCATCCACAGCCGCCGCCGCCTCTAACACACGATGTGGTTGATCCCTGCAAGCCCTCGCCTTGTGGACCGAATTCCGAATGCCGCAACGTTGGAAACAATGCTCAATGCAGCTGCCTTGTTGGTTTCATGGGAATACCGCCCAACTGTCGGCCTGAATGCGTTAGCAACGCTGACTGCCCTACAAATCTGGCATGCTTTAACCAAAAATGCCGTGATCCTTGTCCGGGCGTATGTGGCAACAATGCCGAATGCTACGTCATCAATCATACGCCCATGTGCGTCTGCTTCAAAGGCTATACTGGCAATCCCTTCATTAATTGCGATGTACAGCGTGATATTATTGAATCACCTACGCCCTGTGTACCAAGTCCTTGTGGCTCAAATGCGATCTGTAGCGAGTTGAATGGCGCTGGCGCCTGTGAATGCTTGCCTGAATTCTTTGGCAATCCCTACGACGGCTGCCGACCAGAATGTATTTTGAATTCGGATTGCCCAAGCAATTTGGCCTGTGTCAATCAGCATTGCCGCGATCCATGCGCGGGTATCTGCGGTCCCAATGCCATATGCCATGTGCGCCATCATCTGCCGCATTGCAATTGCCTTAATGGCTATGAGGGTAATCCCTATAGCTACTGCAATGTCATCCCCGAACGTAAGCAACTCAAATATGGCATATCTTTCACTCATCGTATTTACCCGACGTTTTTACTAATAGCCCTGCATGAACCTGCTCCGCTGCATCCCTGCCAGCCCTCACCCTGCGGATCTAACTCCCAATGCCATGAAGCAAATCAGCAGGCGGTTTGCAGTTGCCTGCCAGACTTTATAGGTACTCCACCAGCTTGTCGACCCGAATGTACCATCTCCAGCGAGTGCACCCTTGACAAAGCCTGCAAAAATCACCACTGTGTTGATCCCTGTCCAGGAGTCTGTGGCCCCAATGCCGCGTGTCATCCGATTAACCATAGTCCCCACTGCAGCTGCTTGCCAGGTTTTACGGGTGATGCCTTCAGTGGTTGTCGAACAATAAGTAAGATCCTGATGCCAGAATGAGTTTGGCTCACAAATATATAAACACAACAATATTTTTAGCACACGCCATTAACTACGACAATCCAAAGGATACAATCCATGATCCTTGTGTGCCGTCACCCTGCGGCACTTTTGGACAGTGTCATGCTCAAAGCGGTCAAGCCGTGTGTCGCTGTCTGTCCGGTTACTATGGTGCTCCGCCCAACTGTCAACCAGAGTGTATAATAAACTCCGATTGCGCTTCTCACTTGGCCTGCATAGGTGAAAAGTGTCGCGATCCCTGTCCTGGCTCCTGTGGTATTTCAGCACGATGTAACGCCATCAATCATACGCCCATTTGCAGCTGTCCCGTAGGCTATGAAGGCAATCCTTTCGTTAGCTGCGCACCAATACCACCATCAAATGACCCACCGCCACGTGATGCCTGCAACCCCTCGCCATGCGGCTCAAATGCTATTTGCAACAATGGGCAATGCTCTTGTATTGCTGAATTCCATGGCAATCCCTACATTGGCTGCCGACCCGAATGTGTGCTTAACACGGATTGCGCACGTGACAAGGCTTGCCAGCGCAGTAAATGTGTAGATCCCTGTCCGGGCGCCTGTGGCGTAGGCGCTATTTGCCAGGTGCGCAACCATGTGCCCATGTGCCACTGTCCCCCGGGCACATCCGGCAATGCATTTGTACAGTGTGCTTTAGTACAACGTAGGTTTTGTTGTAGTACCTCAAAATTGTTAAAACTTAATTGTGTACCCAATAATTTAGCTGATCCCATCGTGCCCGTCAACCCATGCCGCCCAACACCCTGTGGAAGCAATGCTCAATGCCTTGTGGCAAATGAGCAGGCAGTGTGTTCCTGCCTGGCCGGCTTCTTTGGCACACCACCGCTTTGTCGACCAGAATGCAGCATCAACTCGGACTGTGCGCCTCATTTGGCCTGCCAGAATCAGCACTGCCGCGATCCCTGCCCTGGTGCCTGTGGCCAACACTCGCTCTGTCAGGTTATACGTCACACGCCACATTGCAGCTGCCCGCCCGGCTACACGGGAAATGCATATGCGTTGTGCCAACGTCTACCACCGCCCCAAATTTTGCAAAGTGATCCAGTCAATCCCTGCCAGCCTTCACCGTGCGGTGCAAATGCACAGTGCACTTCCACACCAGATGGCAGCCAAGCGCAGTGCAAGTGCCTGGAGCACTATATTGGAACCCCGCCAAATTGCCGGCCTGAATGTATTACTTCATCGGAATGCTCCAACCAATTGGCCTGTATTGGACAAAAGTGTCGCGATCCCTGTCCTGGTGTATGCGGCCAGGCCGCCATCTGCCAGGTGATCAGTCATGTGCCATCCTGCGTTTGCATAGCTGATTATATTGGAGATCCATTTACCAAGTGTTATCCGCGCCCGACACTCGAGCGGGATCAAATTAATCCATGTGTACCTAGTCCCTGCGGCAGCAATGCCGTCTGCAGGCAACAGGGTAGAGTTGGTTCCTGCCAGTGCTTGCCCAACTACTATGGCAATCCTTATGAAGGCTGCCGACCCGAATGTGTCCTTAACTCCGACTGCTCGAGCCATTTGGCGTGCCTTAATCAACATTGCCGTGATCCCTGTCCTGGCAGCTGTGCACCTAACGCCCAATGCCAAGTCGTCAACCATGTTCCTATATGCAGCTGCTATCCCGGCCACATTGGTGATCCCTATCGCCATTGCCGGCTGCACCAGTCAGAACGTAAGCATTCTTCCCAGTTGTCAGAAATTTGCACTAACTCAACCAACAATATATTATTTGCACCCATTTGCACATCTCCCACAGCCATTAAAGTGGTTTACGTCAACCCCTGTGAACCCTCGCCCTGCGGTCCTAATGCTCAGTGTACGGAATCTCATAATCAAGCAATTTGCAGTTGCTTGCCCGATTACTTTGGTACACCACCCGCCTGTCGACCCGAATGTACTACAAATTCTGAGTGTCCTACAAATAAGGCATGTGTCAATCAGAAATGTCAAGATCCCTGTCCTGGTAGATGTGGATACAATGCCATCTGCCAAACACTACATCACCGAGTTTATTGCTCTTGCATCCCCGGCCACACTGGCGATGCATTGGTGCGTTGTCGACCCATACCTCAGCCCGTTGTGGCACGCGAACCATATCGTAATCCGTGCGTTCCCACACCCTGCGGACAATACGCGCAATGCCGTGTGGTCAATGACCAAGCGATCTGCAGCTGTCTGTCTGAGTATTATGGCACGCCACCACACTGTCAACCCGAATGTATACTCAACTCCGATTGCCCCGCTCATCGTTCGTGCATTAATGAAAAGTGCCGAGATCCGTGTCCGGGCGCTTGTGGGCTATACGCTCAATGCAGTGTTTTAAATCACGTGCCCAGCTGTACATGTCCCAGCGGGTATATTGGCGATCCATTCTATCGCTGTTATCCAGCACCGCCTGTTCCCGCTCCAATTGCCGAAGATCCCTGCCAGCCATCGCCCTGTGGTGCTAATGCCCAGTGTGCGGACGGCATTTGCAGCTGTTTGCCACTATACACGGGTGATCCGTACGTGGGTTGTCGGCCCGAATGTGTGTTAAGCACAGAGTGCGCCTTAGACAGATCATGCGTGCGCAATCGCTGCATTGATCCCTGTCCTGGCACATGTGGATATAGCGCCATATGTGAAGTGCACAACCATGTGGCCATGTGTCATTGCCCCGGCGGTCTGCAGGGCAATCCATTCGTTTTGTGCCAAACACCGCCATTGCAGACATTGCCAGCACCGCCAGTGCAACCCTGCCAGCCATCGCCTTGTGGTGCGAACGCGCTTTGTCGCTCAGTTGGAGATCAAGCGATTTGCAGTTGTTTGCCAGGCTATTATGGCAGTCCACCAACCTGTCGCCCCGAGTGCACCACCAACCAAGAATGTCCTCTGAGCCTGGCATGCATGAATCAAAACTGTCGCGATCCGTGTCCGGGAGTCTGCGGCCATCAGGCTGAGTGTCATGTGATAAACCACCGACCTCAATGTGTTTGCCCCACAAGCTACACAGGCAGTCCATACACACAATGCCAGCCTATTAGACCAGCTCCGGTTGTAGTCCAACGTGAACCACTTGATCCTTGCATCCCCTCGCCTTGCGGCCCTCACTCCGAGTGCAGCAGTGATCAAAGTGTAGCAACTTGTCGTTGCCAACCAGAGCATGTAGGCGTGCCTCCTTATTGCCGTCCCGAATGCATTTCCAACAGCGACTGTCCCAGCGATCGTGCATGTATTAATCGGAAGTGTCAGGATCCTTGCCCTGGTCTGTGCGGCTTCAATGCCATATGCCGCACCAGCAACCACCAGCCAATTTGTGTGTGTGCACCAGGTTTACTTGGTAATCCGTTTACTGCCTGTCAATTACCGCCCCCACCCACGCCGACTCCTACAACGACTGTTATAAAAACACCGCAATATGAGCAGACTGCGGTTAATCCTTGTGAGCCCAATCCTTGCGGCGCCAATGCGCTCTGCAGTCAGCATCACGGCATTGGCTCTTGTATCTGTTTGCCTGATTATTATGGCAATCCTTATGAAGCCTGCCGTCCAGAATGTGTACTCAACAGCGATTGTCCCTCGCACAGAGCTTGTGTGCAACAGAAATGCCGTGATCCTTGCCCTGGCACATGTGGTTTAAATGCAGAGTGTACTGTAGTCGACCACCTGCCCCAATGCAGCTGCTTCAGCGGCTACACTGGCAACCCATTGAAACACTGCGCCCCTTTGCCGGCGATACAGCAATGTAAGCGAAACATGCCAAACAATTCCTATATCATGTGTCAAAATTTCATAATTTGTTCTAACCTTTTAGCTCCTGTTAATCAAATAAATTCTTGCGAGCCGTCCCCTTGTGGTCCTAATGCACAGTGTCTTGAAAGCAATAAGCAAGCTATTTGCTCTTGTCTCCCTGACTTTTATGGTAGCCCACCTTATTGCCGACCCGAGTGTACCTTAAACTCTGAGTGCGCCTTCGATAGGGCTTGTGTGCAGTACAAGTGTACCGATCCATGTTTAGGAGCCTGTGGTCTTAATGCCGAATGCCGAGTACATTACCATAGCCCCATTTGCTTCTGCAAGCCAACGCACACTGGAAATCCATTTACTCGCTGTTATGAGAGTCAAAGACGTAAGATCCAATGTGATACAGCTGTCAACTGCAACAGTCCATTTTATAATCATCTTTCAGAAAATGTAGCTCCCCCAATAGTGAGACCTTTAATTTATGATACACCAGCACCACCCTATCCAATTGTTATACCCGGTGTGGTTTATATTTTCTCTGGGCCACAGCCGGTAACCCCATCGTACCCAGCTACAACATATACCACAAATTCCCAAGTGCCAACAACATACGAATCGAAACCGGGTATCATTAATATACCGTCACTAACACCGCAAGCCACCCATAAACCAGGAATAGAGAATACTCCTTCGTTCCCACAACCGGTGCCACCAGCTTCCCAACATCCTATATTCGTTCCATCACCTTCGGTACCTTCAACACCTGCAACGCAACCAGGATTAATTAACATTCCATCAGTACCTCAACCTACATATCCGCCACCTCAACAAGCGATACATGATATAAGCCATCCACCACAGCAGCCACAACCTCCCGAACCAGGAGTCATTAATATTCCGTCAGCGCCTCAACCGATTTATCCGACAACACAGGGGCCCATTATTGTACATTCATCAAGTCCAACGTCTCCTGCACCACAGCCGGGAACTATCAACATACCATCCATACCACGGCCAACTTATCCATCATCACAGCCTCCAGTCTACGATGTGAACTACCCAACGTCACAACCCACGCATAAGCCAGGAGTAGTGAATATTCCATCGTTCCCACAACCGGTACCACCAGCTTCTCAGCCTCCCATATTCGTGCCCTCACCTTCAGTGCCTTCCACACCTGCAACGCGACCAGGATTAATTAACATTCCATCAGTACCTCAACCTACATATCCGCCACCTCAACAAGCGATGCATGATATAAGCCATCCACCACAGCAGCCACAACCTCCCGAACCAGGAGTCATTAATATTCCGTCAGCGGCTCAACCGATTTATCCGACAACACAGGGGCCCATTATTGTACATTCATCAAGTCCAACGTCTCCTGCACCACAGCCGGGAACTATCAACATAGCATCCATACCACGGCCAACTTATCCATCATCACAGCCTCCAGTCTACGATGTGAACTACCCAACGTCACAACCCACGCAAAAGCCAGGAGTAGTGAATATTCCATCGTTCCCACAACCGGTGCCACCAGCTTCTCAGCCTCCCATATTCGTGCCCCCACCTTCAGTGCCTTCCACACCTGCAACGCAACCAGGAATAATTAACATTCCATCAGTACCTCAACCTACATATCCGCCACCTCAACAAGCGATACATGATATAAGCCATCCACCACAGCAGCCACAACCTCCCGAACCAGGAGTCATTAATATTCCGTCAGCGCCTCAACCGATTTATCCGACAACACAGGGGCCCATTATTGTACATTCATCAAGTCCAACGTCTCCTGCACCACAGCCGGGAACTATCAATATACCATCCATACCACAACCAACTTATCCATCGCCTCAGCCACCAACCTACGATGTAAACTACCCAACACCGCAACCGACTCATAAGCCAGAAGTGATCAATATTCCTTCTGTTCAACTACCGGCGACACCAACTCCACAGCCTCCTATATTTGAGCCATCACCTCCAATTTCAAGACCAGCACCAAAACCTGGGATAATAAATATACCTTCCCCGCCACAACCATCACCGCCGATTCCAGTTTTTGATGTTACCTACCCAACACAACCTACGCAACCAGCAGTTCCTGGAGTTATCAATATTCATTCTGCACCTCAACCAGTCCCAACCCCTGAGCTAACGCATCCAGCTATATACGATGTATACTATCCACCGCCACCACAAATACCTGGAGTTATAAATATTCCATCATTACCACGGCCAATTATACCAACACCAACACCTCCTGCTCATAATCCGTCGCCTGCAACGTCAACTTCAACGCCTGCACCACAACCAACAGTTATTTATGTACCATCTATACCACAACCAACTTATCCGACACCTCAGCTTCCAGTATATGATATAAACTACCCGCATGAACAACCAGCTACAATACCTAGTGCTGTGAATATTCCTTCAGTTTTACAGCCAGTCCCATCAGTACCGCAGCCTCCTATATTCGTTCCATCTCCTCCCGCAACTTCTGCACCTGCTCCTCAAGCAGCAGTAATAAACATTCCTTCAGTAGCTCAGCCTACGTATCCAACAGTACTGCAGTATGATGTGAGCCATCCAACCCCAGAAACGTCTCAGACGCCAGGAGCTGTGAACATTCCTTCCATCCCACAACCAGTACCACCAGTTCCTCAACCTCCTGTATTCATTCCATCTGCAGTGTCTTTGACGCCTACACCACAACCGGGAGTTATCAATATACCATCTGTACCAACATACCCAACATCTCAACCTCCGATCAACGTTATTTCCTCATCGGCTCATCCCTCTCGAAAACCTGAAGTCTTAAATATTCCTTCAGATCCACACCCAGTAATTCCACCTCCACAGCCTCCTATATTCGTTCCAACTCCAGTGGGAGTTACTCCTATAACTCCGCCGCATGATGTTAACTACCCAGTAAAACAACCAGATTCCATGCCAGAAATCATCAACAATCCATCACCTGCACAGCCAACACCTAACACCCCACGTCCGATCAATAATATTTTGACACCAAGTGCAGAGATCAATCCGTGCTATCCCTCTCCATGTGGCCCATACTCGCAATGCCACAATCGTTTTGGAGTAGCCGCGTGTATTTGTCTACCCAATTACATTGGAACTCCGCCAAATTGCCGTCCAGAATGCGTCGTACACTCCGACTGTCCTGCTCACTTGGCATGCATAAATGAAAAATGTCGCGATCCTTGTCCAGGCTCTTGTGCCTACAACGCTCTATGCCGAGTACACAACCATGTGCCTAACTGTTTTTGCCCGGCTGGCTACACCGGCGATCCCTTCGTTTCATGCGATCAGTCGCCGGTGCCGGCCATTATGGAACGCGAACCAACTGCAGCGAAGGATCCTTGTTATCCGTCACCTTGTGGAGCAAATGCTTTATGCAATAATGGCATCTGCAGTTGTCTGGCCGAATATCATGGAAATCCTTATGTGAGCTGTCGTCCGGAGTGCGTGCTGAATACGGACTGTACCAAGGATAAGGCGTGTAGGAGGCAAAAGTGCGAGGATCCATGCCCGGGCACTTGTGGCTTAAATGCTGTGTGCAATACATACAATCATATTCCCTCTTGCACATGTCCACCTCAAATGCACGGTGACGCCCTTGTGCGCTGTGACCCAATGCCAGTACCGAAACCGGCAATGACAACTCCTTCCTCAACTCCCAGTACACTTCCTGCCATTATACCACCACGCATACCAATCAATCCCTGCCAGCCCTCGCCGTGCGGCCCCAATGCACAATGCCGCACAAATCAGCAGCAAGCCATTTGCTACTGTCTGCCTGGTTATCAGGGCACACCACCCTCATGCCGTCCGGAGTGTAGCAGTAACTCGGATTGTGCTCTTGACAAGTACTGCTTGAACCTCAGATGTCGAAATCCGTGTCCAGGCGCTTGTGGCTTACGCGCTGTATGCCACTCGCAGAACCACAGTCCCATATGCGTGTGTCCACCCCCGCTTACGGGTAATCCCCTAGTAGCCTGTCAACCCATAGGTATGCCGCAAAACATCAAAACCTTAGCAATCTCTAATGCAATTTTTTCAGTTATGCCACCAGCACCCACAAAAGACCCCGTCGAAGTGAATCCCTGTCACCCATCACCTTGCGGTCCCCACTCAAAGTGTGTGGCCACACCACAAGGCGCCGAGTGCAACTGTCTCGGAGAATTCATAGGCACACCACCGCATTGCCGTCCCGAGTGTGTTAGCAGCGCTGATTGTGCGAGAGACAAGACCTGCTATAATCACAAATGCATTGACCCTTGTCCCGGTAGCTGCGGTCAGCTGGCCTTGTGTCGCGTCATAGCTCACAGCCCTAACTGCTACTGCCCCGAAGGTTATATGGGCGATGCGTATATCATGTGCGTGCGATCCACGCCACCTCCAGCAACAGTTTTACCTAAACCCATACCATGTAATCCGAATCCTTGTGGTGTGAATGCCATTTGCCAGCCGCAATATACCCAAAGCGTCTGTCAATGTCTGCCCGACTATTATGGCAATCCCTACGAGATTTGTCGACCCGAGTGCATTCGCAATTCGGACTGCACAAGCGATCGAGCTTGTGTGAACGAGATATGTCGCGATCCTTGTCACGGTGTCTGCGGCATTAATTCATACTGTCAAGTTATCAATCATGCGCCCATATGCGAATGCCAACCATATCATGTGGGCAATCCCTATCACAGCTGTCATCTAATGACGCAAGAACGTAAGAAAAACTATAAGAACATGCAAACTAAATTCATGCCACTAAAAACAAATACCCTTCCGCGAGTTCTTTGCTTAGTAATCAGCAACAATGCAGTACTCAATTCTACGATTTACCCTTTCGTCTGAGTTCTATTTTTAAGGTCTCATTATTATAAACTTAAAATGGCCATCAGAGCTCACATTACATAAGCTCCAGATGTTTCTGATATTGCTCTTTGACCATCAAGAAATTTACGACTGGTTTTCTTTTCTCCTACCTTATTACGAATCGACTCTATAACCATTTCATTATTCAATATTGCAATCAAAGATCTGGTGTTCTTCCGTGTTCTTCTCTCGAGTTGTCCTTTATAACTATTGCGGTACCAAACTTATCCAGGAGTTGCAACCATATGTCAGTAATAAACTATAGCTAACCACCCCATTATCCAACACGTAAACGCATACGACTGCTTGAACTAATTAAAAACGCTTTTGAATTGCTTTGTGCTTTTAGAATACGCTTTGCTTCGCTATTACCCCCAAATATGTACAGAAACTAATCTTAATTTTCACTCCGTTTAGCCACGCCCCCTGTTTATGTAAATCCCTGTGAGCCATCACCGTGCGGCGCCAATTCACAGTGCCGAGAATCGCAGGGTCAGGCAATTTGCAGTTGCCTGCCACAGTTTATAGGTACTCCGCCCGCCTGTCGTCCCGAGTGTGTTATCAGTGCCGAATGTAGCGCGGATAAAGCCTGCATCAATCAGAAGTGTCAAGATCCCTGCCCAGGCACATGTGGTGTCAATGCCCAATGTCATGTGCGCAACCATAGTCCGCTTTGCTCCTGCCAATCTGGTTACACAGGCGACGCCTTTATCCGCTGCTTGCCGCTACCACCCAAACAGGCAGAGCCACCTACGCAGCCAGCCATGCCGTGTGTGCCGTCACCATGTGGACCCAATTCCCAGTGTCGTGAAGTAAATGGCGGCGCCAGTTGCAGTTGCCTGCCCAACTTTGTTGGTGCAGCACCCAACTGCCGGCCTGAGTGCACCATTAATGCAGAGTGCGGCAGCAGTTTGGCGTGTATCAATGAGAAATGTCGCGATCCTTGTCCAGGTGCCTGCGGCTTTGCAGCACAATGTAATGTAATCAACCATACGCCTAGTTGTTCTTGCCCCGCTGGCTACACTGGCGATCCATTTAGCAGCTGTCGGCTGTTGCCGCCCACACCGCCACCAACACCACCGAGTATGCCCCCTCTATTACATAAGGTGTTGCGTTCTCCTAACCCTGACCCCAACTATTTCACAGCGCCTGCCGATCCCTGCAATCCCTCACCATGTGGAAGCAATGCGCAGTGCCGCAGTGGCCAATGCTCATGCCTGCCGGAATATCAGGGCGATCCCTACATTGGATGTCGTCCGGAATGCGTGCTAAACTCCGAGTGTCCAAGAAATCGCGCTTGTGTACGCAACAAATGCATTGATCCCTGTCCCGGAACTTGTGCCCAGAACGCTCTTTGCGATGCGATTAATCACATTGCCATGTGTCGCTGTCCTGAGCGCATGACAGGCAACGCATTTGTTGCCTGCACGGCTGTGCGCGACGAGCCCCCAATTAATCCGTGTCAACCATCGCCATGTGGATCCAATGCACAGTGTATTGAGCGCAATGGAAATGCGATTTGTTCCTGCATCACTGGATATTTGGGTCAGCCGCCCAACTGCCGTTTAGAGTGCTACACCAGCTCAGACTGTTCCCAACAACACGCGTGCATCAATAACAAGTGTGTGGATCCCTGCCCTGGACAATGCGGCCTCAACGCTGTTTGTCAGGCTGTGCAGCATCGTGCCCACTGCGAGTGCATCGCTGGCTACACAGGCAACGCGTACAGCCTGTGCAATCCCATCGTTGTGGAGCGCAAACCGGAAACAGCCCGCGATCCATGCTACCCTTCGCCATGTGGATCAAATGCGCAGTGCCACAACGATAATGGTCAGGCGCGTTGTAGTTGCCTGGATGAATTCCAGGGAAAGCCGCCCAACTGCCGACCTGAGTGTTCCTACAATGATGAGTGTGCAAATAATTTAGCCTGTATCGGTCAGAAGTGTCGCGATCCATGCCCCGGTAGCTGTGGCCAAAATGCGCAGTGCCAAGTTACCCTGCACACACCCAACTGTCATTGTCCAGCGGGCATGACGGGTGATCCGTTCCGACTCTGCCAGCAAGTGCCCCAAAGTAAGAACCAATCGGCCAACCCAACAAGTTTGCATATTGTATATAGGCAGGGCAACCTTTCTCCCCCAACCACCACAACAACTCTATATAATCTTAATCTTACATATTCATTTACAGCTTTGCCGAAACCATTGCCTACACCAAAGAATCCCTGCAATCCATCACCGTGTGGCAGTAACACCGAGTGCCGTTTGCGTGGCGAAAGCTTTGTCTGCGAGTGCATTCAGGAGTATATTGGCAATCCTTATGAAGGCTGCCGTCCCGAATGCGTTGGCAACTCTGAGTGCCCAGCCAATCGCGCATGCATACGCAACAAGTGTGCCAATCCCTGCCCGGGTACCTGCGGCCAAGATGCGCTATGCAATGTCAACAACCATATACCCATCTGTTCATGCCCGGAAGGTTACACGGGTAATGCCTTTATGCAATGCACGCGACAGGTGACACCCCTGCCGCCCTCGGATCCATGCTATCCATCGCCCTGTGGCCTCAACTCAGTGTGTCGTGTGCAGCGGGATCAGGCTGTCTGCGAATGTCTGCCCGGCTTCTTTGGCAATCCATTGGGTCAGGGCTGTCGACCAGAGTGCACACTCAGCTCAGACTGTGCCAAGGATCGTGCGTGTGTGAACAACAAGTGCGTTGACGCCTGTGCAGGAGTTTGCGGCTACGGCGCCGTCTGCCAGACAATCAATCACAGTCCCATTTGCTCTTGTCCTGACAACATGGTTGGTAATCCGTTCGTGCAATGCGAAGCGCCACGTACCGTCGATGTCGATCCCTGCCAACCATCACCCTGTCGCAGCAATGGTATCTGCCGCGTACAAAATGGCGCTGCCACATGCAGCTATCCGGAGTGTGTTACTAACGAAGACTGCTCCCGGGATCGCGCTTGCGTCAGTCAGAAATGTCATGACCCATGTCTGCACGCCTGTGGCCTCAACGCTATTTGTCGTGTTATTAATCACAAGTCCGTGTGCAGTTGTCCTCCAGATTTCTATGGCTCACCGTACGCGCAGTGCGTGCGCCAAGTGCCTCAACTGGATCCACCAAGGCCAGAATGCACCAGTGATGGCGAATGCAGCAACGACAAAGCATGTATCAATCAGGTCTGCCGTAATCCCTGCGAGCAATCAAATCTGTGCGCACAGCAAGCACGCTGCCATGTGCAGCTTCATCGTCCGCTCTGCGTGTGCAATGAAGGCTACACTGGCAACGCCCTGCAACACTGTTACCTTCTAGGCTGTCGCTCCGATAGTGAGTGCGCGCCAACCGAGGCATGCATTAATGAGCAGTGTGTGGACCCGTGCACATTTACCCAGTGCGGCACCGGAGCCATCTGTCGCACCGACTTCAATCATCGTGCCCGCTGCCACTGCCCCGATGGCTACCGCGGCAATCCCCTACTGCGCTGCGAGCGACCCGAGTGTCGAAGCGATGACGAGTGCACCTTCCGTTTGGCGTGCCGCAACGAGCGCTGTGAAGATCCCTGCAATTGCGGTATTGGCGCTCAGTGCCGTGTAGAAAACCATCGCGCCCAGTGCCGATGCCCGGCCGGCTATAGCGGCAATCCAGCAGTAAGTTGTGAATTGCTGCCCGTCAAGCCTGAAGGCTGCACTATGGATGCAGAATGCCCCAGCAAATTGGCATGCTTCAATGGAGAATGCAAGAACCCTTGCGATGTGACCCATCCATGTGGCGCCAATGCCATCTGTGAGGTTGTCGATACACTGCCTTTGCGTACTATGATCTGTCGATGTGAGCCTGGTTACGTTGGTGATGCTGATATTGGATGTCGCAAAGGTGGGTAACAATAAAAAATTCCATTTAGGATTGTACCTTTGTTTGCTTTATGTTGAGTTTGCTTATTTCATTGCAGCCAAGTTGTAAAAAGTTAAATATACATATTATGTTCAATATGCTCCCTCCTTTTATCCGTTTACAGAGTTGCACAAATTATTCTTTTACACCGTATATTGTATATGCACTCTAAAACCTTTTTGAAACTATAGCACTCTCACGATAAATCGTCATGTTCAATTTAATTCAACTCATATTTAATTTATCGCTTTAATTTCATTTAGAACCGACACATGACCAAGGATGCGTATCACATGATCAATGCCAAAATACAGAGGCCTGCCGCGCTGGCAACTGTGTCAATCCTTGCCTGGATGCATCACCCTGTGCGCGCACCGCTCAATGCTTAGCGCAACAGCATCGCGCCATCTGCAGCTGTCCACAGGGTACCCAAGGAGATCCATTCACCAACTGCTATCAACCACGTATGTCACTTTCACGTTATCCCACATAGCTCTGTTATAAGCCAGTTTTTTTACTCATTTCTTACAGCACAAATTACAGCTGGTTGCGCCCACGACTCGGAATGTACGCCCACAACGGCATGCATCAATAAACGCTGCCAGGATCCTTGTGCCGAGGCCAATCCTTGCGCTGGCAATGCCGAGTGTCGCGTGCAAAATTCGCGACCTATCTGCTACTGTCCCCCTGGATGGGGTGGTGATCCCCAAGTTCAATGTTTCAAACGTAAATACTGTCGAGCTATACTTAGTGAGCCTGTCTAATCGTGTCTAAATATTTTCAGCGGAGTGCAAGATCAATGCTGATTGTCCCTATGATAAGGCTTGCCTTAATGAAAACTGTGTCAATCCGTGTACTCATGGTCAGGTGCGTTGCGGCAGCGGTGCCGAATGCCTACCACAGAATCACCAGGCTGTCTGCCGCTGTCCCGCCGGCACGCAGGGCAGTCCCTTCATCGCTTGCATTACTGGACATTGTCAGTACAACGAGGATTGTGCCGATAATGAGGCCTGCGATCGCCTAAATCGCGTTTGCCGTCCAGTTTGCGAGCAGGACACCTGCGCTGTGAATGCCCTTTGTGTGGGACGTCGTCATCAGCCACAATGCGAGTGCCGTGCAGGCTACCAAGGCAATCCCTTCGTGCTGTGCCAGGAGCCCAAACGTGATCCACAGCCGCAGTGTACCCAGGACGCCGACTGCCCATCGAAATTGGCATGCATTAATCAGCGCTGCGAAAATCCATGCGCCACACCACATGTCTGCAATCCACAGCAAAGCTGTGCAGTCCTAGACACACTGCCACTGCGCACCATGATCTGCAAGTGTCCCAGCGACACTGTCTCCGATAACTCTGGCAACTGTGTACCTATCCAACCTGTCATAGTCCCCGGCGGCTGTCAGCATAATGCAGAGTGCGCTAGCTCCGAGGTATGTTTGCATGGCAGTTGCCTGGATGCCTGTCGCCTGGAACGGTGCGGCGTTAACGCACAATGTAACGCGCGTGACCATTACGCGCAATGTAGTTGTCCGGCTGGTTACCAAGGTAATCCACGCATCGAATGCTACACAACAGACATTGCCATCCCTAAAATTCCGGGCGCCGAGTGTACACGCAACGATGACTGTCCTCGTGATAAGAACTGCCAAAACGAACGTTGTGTGAATCCTTGCGCGGCGGATGCCTGCGGTCTGGGCGCCTACTGTCATGTACAAAATCGGGCTGCCGTCTGCCGTTGCCCGCCTGGCTATACTGGTGATGCACGCGTACGGTGTCTGCCACGTAAGTCGATGCAGCAGTCTATTACCTTAAACAAACTTTTAATTCTCAATTAATTGCAGCTTCGGATGTCATCACGGTAGGCTGCAAGTCGAATTCCGACTGCCCTATTTCGGAGGCGTGTATCAATGCACAGTGCATTAATCCATGCAATTGCGGACCCAATGCCGAGTGCACTGTGAAGAACCATCATCCAATCTGCTACTGCAAGCCCGGCTATTCAGGCAATGCGCAGTTCGGCTGCGTACCTATTGGCTGTCAGTCGGACGATGAGTGTTTGGGCGATAAGCAGTGCGTTAATCGTGAGTGTATCAATCCATGTCTCGTTTCCGATCCTTGTGCTCTGAACGCGGAATGTTATGGCCGTAATCATCGCGCTAGCTGCCGTTGTCCCGCCGGCCTCGAGGGTGATCCATTTGTGCGTTGTGTACGCCTAGAATGTCACTCCGATCACGATTGCGCCTCCAACTTGGCCTGCGTTGCTAACCAGTGTGTGAATCCTTGCGCTCAGAGCCCTTGCGCTCAAAATGCTATCTGTCAGGCGCTTAATCATCGCGCCGACTGTCGCTGCCCAGAGCAAATGCCATTAGGCAATCCATATGCCTTCTGCGAACGCCGACCAATTGAACCAGTCTGCCGCGACGATGGTGACTGCCCCAGCGGATTGGCCTGCATCGATGCTAAATGCAAGAACCCATGCACCGAACTTTCACCCTGTGCACGCAGCGCCCACTGCAGCGTGCTGGACAGCGTGCCTGTGCGCACAATGGTTTGTGAGTGCCCTGAGTCACAAGTGCCGGATGCCAGCGGTGAGTGTCGCCAGCTTGTGTTGCAGAGTCCTCCCGGCTGCGAAAGCGATTTGGATTGTAACGAACAGGAGGCCTGTGTGAATCGTCAATGCCGCAATCCTTGCAACTGCGGTACCAACGCTATTTGTCATGTTCAACAACATCGCGCCGTGTGCAGCTGCCAGGATGGCTTCGAGGGCAATCCTTATGCCGCCTGCCGCTCCATTGGTTGTCGTGTCGACGGCGAATGCGACTCTGGAAAGGCTTGCATCAATGGCAATTGTATCAATCCTTGTCTACTCAACGATCCGTGCGGCCCCAACGCCGAGTGCTATGTACAGTCCAGTCGCGCCCAGTGCCGCTGCCTTAGCGGCTATCGCGGCAATCCATACGAGCGCTGCCGCGTCATTGGTTGTAGTAGTAACAACGACTGCCCCACGGATAAGACTTGCCAGAATGAGCAATGCGTTAATCCATGCGTGTATCACAATGTCTGTGCGCCGCGCGCTGAGTGTCGCCCACAAAATCATATGGCCGTGTGCCGCTGTCCGTCGAACTTCTTGGGTAATCCGTATGTGGACTGTCGCCCACAACCACAGCCCGTTTGCAAACTGGATACGGACTGCCCAGCGCGCCTGGCCTGCATTAACGAGCAATGCGTCGACCCCTGCTTAGTATTGGAGCCCTGTCAAAGACCTGCCCAGTGCCAGGTGACACCAACGGCTCCTGTGCGCACCATGATCTGCATTTGTCCCGATGGTTATATCAGCAGTGGCAGCGGCAGCTGCAAGCCTACCACTAGCATTGTCAAGGTGGGCGGTTGCATCTCAGATACCGACTGTGCCGCTGATAAGTCTTGCGTAAACGGTATTTGCCGAGATCCGTGCAACTGTGGTCTGAATGCTGAGTGTCGTATTAAGGACCACAAGCCAGTTTGTACCTGTCGCCAGGGCTACGAGGGCAATCCCGAATTCGAGTGCGCTAAGATCGAATGCACCATTAATTCAGAATGTCCGGCCACACATGCCTGCCGTAACCAGCTTTGCGTGCCTGCCTGCCAGGGCGAGATCTGTGGACCCAATGCCGAATGCCTAGCTATTAATCATCGAGCCGTTTGTGAATGTGCCCCTGGACATGGCGGAAACGCACGTTTAGGCTGCACACCGCTTGGCTGTCGCAACGACGATGAATGTCCTTCAGATAATGCTTGTGTCAATGGCAAATGCGCAAATCCTTGCGAGACTACGGCCATTTGCGCCAACGATGAGCTTTGCAAGGTCTATCAACATAAGCCTCAATGCGCCTGCCCGCCAGGAACTGTGCCTGGTCGCAGCGGCTGCGAACAAGAACGAGTGGTGCCCATCTGCATCAGCGATGCCGATTGCCCAACTCAACGCGCCTGTCTGCGCGGCGAGTGTGTGAATCCTTGCAATTCTACACAACCCTGTGGAGTAAATGCCGAATGCCGAGTCCTAGACACACTACCCGTGCGCACCATGATCTGCGAATGCCTCGAGGGCTATACTGGAAATGCAGCTGTGCAGTGCGATAAGCGCTCGCTCTGCGTCATCGAGAAAGGATTTGTGCGCGATGTCGATGGTCAGTGCGTATGCCCGCCGGGTAGCGCCCTTGACATATATGAGTACTGCACACCATGCCTGGTGGAGCAGGGCTATCGCATCGACGAAAGCGGCCACTGTGTATGCGCTTTGGAACGTGGCATGGTAATAGATGAGCGTGGTAGCTGCACTTGTCCAATTGAGCTGGGCTATCGCCTGACACCTCTGGGTGAGTGCCAGCCCGTGGAGCAACCTGAGTGTGTGAGTAATGAACAGTGCGCGGATAATCGCTACTGTAATCCAGAATCAAAGACCTGCGAGGATCCCTGCTTAACTAAAACGTGTGGTGTCAATGCCTTCTGCAATGCGGTGAATCATCGGGCCCAGTGCCAGTGCATCACCGGCTATACAGGTAATCCGGAGCTGCATTGCAATCACACCAATTTCCGTACCGACTTCCCCCGACCTGACATGGTTGTCAGTTGCTTAGCTGATGGTGTTCAAGTTGAGATTCATATCACCGAGCCGGGCTTCAATGGGGTGTTATATGTAAAGGGACACAGCAAAGATGAGGAGTGCCGCCGCGTTGTCAATTTGGCTGGCGAGACGGTGCCACGCACCGAAATCTTCCGCGTCCACTTTGGTAGCTGCGGCATGCAAGCCGTAAAGGATGTTGCCAGTTTTGTGCTGGTCATACAGAAGCATCCTAAGCTAGTTACCTATAAGGCACAGGCCTACAACATCAAGTGCGTCTACCAGACTGGCGAGAAGAATGTGACCCTAGGCTTTAACGTGTCCATGCTAACAACTGCCGGAACAATTGCCAATACTGGACCACCGCCCATCTGTCAAATGCGAATCATTACCAATGAGGGAGAGGAGATCAACTCCGCCGAGATTGGTGACAATCTACGTCTGCAAGTGGACGTTGAGCCAGCCAGTAAGTAGCGTAAAGTTATGACCGCAAACTAGAACCTAATTCTTAATTCTTCTACATTCTCTTCATTAGCTATTTATGGCGGCTTCGCGCGCTCTTGCATAGCCAAGACCATGGAGGATAATGTGCAAAACGAATATCTTGTAACTGATGAGAATGGCTGTGCCACAGACACAAGCATCTTTGGCAACTGGGAGTACAATCCGGATACCAACAGTCTGCTGGCTAGCTTCAATGCCTTTAAGTTCCCCTCCAGTGACAACATACGTTTCCAGTGTAACATACGCGTATGCTTTGGAAAATGTCAGCCAGTCAACTGTGGTGGCTATAATGCCTTTGGACGTAGACGTCGCTCCATTGCGGACAACTCTAGCGATACGACAGCCATTGCCACAAGTACAGGGGTCGAGGGTCAGTTGCGTGAGGAGATAACTATCTCTTCCAATGCCATATTGACATTCGAGAAACGCAGCGGTTCAGGCCTGAATGATGCCAACAGTGAGTACCCCTACCCAGTCACACAGTCAGAAGGCCCAATTTCTAATATGATATTTCTTTATTCAAATTCAGTCAAACCGGCAGCCCAGCGTGTGGAGGATATTTGTGTCTCAATGGTGGGCTTGATTATAGCTCTGGTTATCACGGCACTGCTTGCACTTGTCGCCGTCGCCGTGGCGGTCTCCTGTTGGCTCATGGCCTACAGAAGAAGGCCCAAAACATTGGCGCCATTGCCACATCCACCAGAGTTCCCTAATCCACTGTTCGCCAATGCAGACGCTGCACCCGAACCAACGCCGGACTATATCTCCTGAACCGTAAAGTAAACTAATAACAAAACAACCATAGACAAAACAAAACAAAAACACCTAGCTATAATAATAGTATGTAAAAACAGAAAAGATGAATATTTGAAAAGCACGTGCAAAAAGGTAGAAACGAAATTAAATTTCGCGCAAAAAATGCAATGATATGAAAGAAAAACAAAAGTAAAGTTGTGAGCAGAAAATATATTCGTTGGCGTTTATGAAACGTTGACGAAAAACGAAGCCTTAAATGAATTGTAAAAAAAAAACACGACAATAAGATAAATGCCACAAAAGGCATTGCGGAAATTAATTGAATAACTTAAGAAAATAATTTTATTATTTTGTATTAACATTTTAGTATTTTTTCCTTACTAATATGAGAATTTTGCGTAGTTGCACGACAATAGTAATTTTTTTTTTCATTTAAACAGAATTTTAGAACCGAAACTGCCAAAAGTGAAATAACAGATCAATACAGAGAGAAGATTTAGATTAAAAGAGCAGCTACAAACGAATTCTCGTCCTCTAACGACAACTTCTTCATTAGTCGATTATAATTACATATTGATATTTTGTTATATACATACATATACACACACATATATATATATATATATATAGCTAAAGACTTCCTATAAATATTTAGGGTGTGGGTAGTAGCAACAACACTTTGTATTATAGCACAAATACACACGTAAACACAAACACACACACACTACTACTTCCTGTGTAATTTAGGAATTGAGCTCGCCTTTAAAATTGAAAACTGCCTTAATTTTCCACTACACTAAACGAACAATGCACCCGAAAACAAAACAAAAAATACTCCCTAACAGTTCTTAAGCTAAAAATGGAGCAGTAAATTTCCACAGCCAAAAAACAATATAATCACAGGACAATATGTCAACGATTGTCTTTCACGGATTATATTGAAACAAACAAGTTCAACACATTCACACACACAGACAGACCACAAAAAAAAAACAAATGAACTTGGGCATAGTTCAGGCTGCTTCAAAAAAAAAAAAAAAAAAAAATGAGTATATGAAAAACAAAATAGAAACTGCCACGGAGGCGTCAAAAGCGCACAAAAGATTAATGCATAGGAGAGATATTTAAGGTTTGTTTTAATTTTAAATGCAACGCCGACTAATGGAGGATTTGAACTATGACTATAACTTTAACTCTACTACATACTACTATGATTAACCAATTATTTTTGTAGTTTTTTAGTCAATTAATATTAAATTGTTGTGATTGTTTTAAATGCAAATGAAATACTTCCACTAAATAACTAATAACGCGAAAAGTATAGCAACTACTTTAAAAAGGCAACGAATCGGCGTGTTTTCTGACCTGCGCATCCATCCAAGCACAGAACGCAGCTGTTAACGCGCCTGAAATTATGCAGCGAATTTTTTGTTTCTGGCGCCTGTTTACAGCGCGCAACTGTCGCTTGGGGGGATGCGAGATGCACGCCGCTATATTTAAATTATCTAAAATGAAGTTTTAAATTAATATTATTAAACATAAACAAAATGTATAGTCACTACTTTAAGCCGAACGTGAAATCACTTTTTTACAGTGGAAATACCATTAGAACTCGCACAACTTACACACACACCCACAGTAAGAGACCACTTGTAAATAATACAATACAGGCAAAAAATCGACGGTATTTTTAATAGCGCATTTTTGTGTATAGGTTTCTAAACAATCAGGCACTTCTGTCCAGCAATAGTAACATGCCAGAAATAAAATTATTTTCTGATTTCAATTACAAAAAAAAAAAAAAAAATCAATATATTTCAACTTGAACACTATTTTGCTCACAAATTACATTAAAAACTTTTATTTTTTCTTTATAAAACCGCTTAGCTTAACAAGTATCCCGCAAACAACTAGAATTAAGTTGACAAAACTTTTTGCACTGGCAGCAAATATTGATAAAGGAAAAAAAGAATTGTAAAAAGAAAACAATAGTTAAATTGTAATTATAATAAATTGTATTTAAATCGAAACAAGAAAAAACATATAATTTTAATCGCTTATTGTAAACTAATAAAAATTAAATGAATATAAATAAAGAAAATGTAAAAAAAAAATATTGAAATTTGATATCGCGAAGCGGACCAGATTACAGCATCTATCTACGAATCAAATCAAATGAATCAGCAATAATGCATTTAAAAGTGAGGACGCTGCTCTTGGTATTTATTCTTGCTTATGTTCAAATCTGGCAAAACCTAACGACAGTCAGTGTACATTAATATCCATAAAAACTCGAAATCCAATTTTAAATTGAACCAGGTGGCCTGATTAACAATCTGAAATTTATATTCTGTTTGAAGATCAAATAAAAAATGTCTCATTTATTGCCCGTTTACCTTGACATACGCCGCTGCAAATCTATTCCCCGTAGTCATTATCAATCAGCTTATCGCAGCGTCTGCCCCGCTAAGTAATCAAAAATGCAATCATCACGAAAAAAAGGAATACTTCACATAAACAGCTCAAAAATTGTAGTAAAATGAAAGCAGTTAGAGCTTCATTTGATTTCGGGTTCTCTTGCAATGCCCTATACACCATGGTTAAAGGTTATGTTTATTATGTATGTGAAAATCAAATATATAAGGAAACAGACAGGAAGTTAGAATATACTAGCTTAAGCGAAGCTTTAAAAAGTTCAGAATGCTTAACTCTGTCTTTGAACTTTAAAATATTATGAAAAACTAAAATTGTAGAAGTTAGGATTGCTTGAACATTCTTTCAGCCCTACAGACTACCTGTAGGAATATATCGAATTAGACCAATTTATTGAATAACTGAAGCGCTCTTTAATTATTTTCTGAAACGAAACCTTTTTTGTTTGTGAAGATATCTTGGTCAAAATGTTCTTGAATGAAAAACGGCCTGGTCAAAATATATTAATATACGATCCGTACACACATGAGCTATATCTTATCAACTTCTATTTACTATATCATATATCATATATGTGTTCACGACATATTCACAAGACTGAGCAATTTTTTCTGAAAAGCAGCCAAAGGGTAGAAAGCAGTCTATCAGCATGTAAAATACGCGGCTGCGGTTATAATGATTGCCGCAAACTGCTATCAGATGCCGCGCCGGAAAGCCCAAGCGAGCGCACAAAATAACTAAAACCCGCAAATGCTCACTCGAAACGAACGACTAAACGCGGGATTGAGCAAACGAGAGACAGAGAGATAGAGAGCCAGCGGACCAGCGGACGAGCAAGCCGTGAGTCGCAGGCGTCCAAGCTCTAAAGCCCCATACCGACGTCAAGTGTAAACGATATTCGCAAACGTGGATCAGTTGACATTTGACAGCGCGCGTGCTTGCACGTTCCTCAGGGGCTAAACGGCCTACAGCTCTGGCGGCATTAAAGTTCGACAGCTTTACGTTTGGAGAAACGTGGAGAAACGCTGGCAAACATAAATCGTGGTTTTGGTGCGCTCATTAAAAACATGTTTGACATAGAAATGCGTGTTTTTGAAAAACTGCAAAAAATTTAAATAATTCAATTTGGCGAAAGGCCCCTTTGGCCCACGCATTGCGTATACGTAGCATTATCTGATCATCCGGGTAATTGATATAGCATTTGCGTGCCAAGTGTTGATTATGTTATTATGATTATTAATTATGATTAAAATTGAAATAGAGCTTGGGCCATTGTTAGGAATATTCAGTGCAATGAGCTAAACTGAATTAAGCCAATTGCAAATAAAGTTCAATTTAAAGTGTCACAAAATCAATGCAAATTGTTGATTATATTAATAAAATATTACAAAGCGAACAAAATGATTTAAATAACCACTGTCATTATTACACTGACAATTATTGGTTGTTTTTGTGTACGTGAAACTTTTTTCGGCTGTTCGCGCGGATAATCAATGTCAGAAAGTGCAACAAAAAGTTCAACAAATTTAATTTTTTATTTCATTGTTATTGTTTGTGTTTGCTGCTGATAAACAACAACTGAGAAAACACACAAAACGCGTACATGAAAACACGTTACGTTGTATAATGGCAAATTTTATATTTTTTTGTTTTTTCGCTTCCCTTGAATATTTGCTAAGTCCATACTGGTTTCATTAACGCGAAAGTCGTTTGCTTAAAATGAACCATTAAATATTTCATTTAATTATAATCCTTTTATGTAGAATTAAATTACCGCAAAAAGTGTTCAGTAGATGAATTTTGTATGTCTTAAAAAAAATAATTTGTGAGCTTTCAATTCAATACGTTATATGAAATGTATTTGCCAGCTTATAAAGTGTCTAATCTAATCAGAACTTTATGGTAATATGGAGCTGAAGACATGGGAATGCATTTCATACCCACGCAATTTTTATTGTTTTTCTCCAGCATTGTTGTCTCTTTAAGATGATCGTTAAAAATGAAATTTAAAATCGGTATACAATTTTCTCTGTAAGTCGCGCTCATTAAAAGCGTATAAAAATTTACATATCACATGGTCGGGAAATGGGGCTGTTCTATTACAATGAAGCCCCATAAAATGACATGTGCAATGCATACAAGTTACTTGTTGTCTGTAGTCGATAGTAGTATGTCGTTATAAGATGCGTAATTAATCATTTTGAACCCATTTCAATGACCTTTGCGCCCGCTGAAAGAGTCACTAGAGCATAGCGCCATCGGCATTGATCATCGCCAAGATTATGACGTACTGCCGGAATTTATATATACTTTCTGAGCGGTGCGAGGGGACTTTTAGCCGAAAATAAGCAAGACACTCACAGCCATAAAAAATGAAAGCTAACAATGAAATGTGGAGGGGGCTAACCTTTAAAGTGTAGCACAACCCGATAAGATACAGTTTTGTAAGTGAATTGCGAGTGACTTTGATGGGGTCTGAAGTGTGACTCGGTCAGATATGAGTGTTTATCTCTCTGTCACAATGATAAAATAAAAAGAAAACGAAGCACGGTACATGGAACATGTGCTCGTTTGTTTATATTAAAAATTCAAAAGTAAATAGCATGAGAAAAGTTGATTAATTGTTGAGATGAGATACAAAGCAAAGCGTAAAATTAATTATGAGCGATAATTTGTGCAGGTGTTTATCAAAAATTAGAGACCCAAAAAAAGACGATATTTTATATTCAAATACATTTTAAAAACATACTTAAGAATAATAATGCACAGATGGCAATATAGCCGAATTTCTCAGCTCTTCAGGAATCTAAAAACAGCTCATTCTAGAATTATCGAGATAGAAACTGAAGTCTCTAAGTTTTATAGTCTTCAGAATCATCGCGTCTATGCAGGTGAGATCGAAAGTTCTTCCAACATTTTTGATTGTGATCGTCCCGATCAAAAAATTTTTGGGGAACGGAGACAACTCCCTTTGCCAGTTAGATAAAATTGCACAACATCCAAAAGTGTGATAAAATTTAAAATTAGATAGAGCATATAAAATACAGTGATAATAAACAAAAAGAAATATTATCTCTTGGTTTTCTCTTAATTTCATTTTATTATGATTTAAAAGCTTCAACGCGCACACAGCCACAACAACAACCATAATAATAATAATAATGACATTGTGATGTTCAAGGCTTTAATGTGATTTAAAAATATGACAACCGCAGCATCAGCAGTAGCGGCAGCAACAACAACAACAACGTTCTGTATCAACAACAAGTTTCGCGGCACCGGCTACAAATTATGAGCATTAAAATGATAAATACGCATATGAAAGCAGCATCAACCACAACAACAACAATAGCAGCCATAACAAACAAGTGCACACAACAACCACATAAGGCAAACATGATTTTATGATTGAGCCAACAATAGCAACAACAAAAATAAGACGAATTTCAGCTGCAGAGCAAGCAACACAGCAAAAGGAGCAACAGTCTAAAGCCAAAATGGCAGATAAAATTGCCCAAGATGCATGCGTCAAAGCCCCAAAAGGCCAAGACCAACCATTGGCCAAAAGAGCCTCCTCGCCCACTGCCCTTCATCTGGTACCGAAGCGCACCACGGCAACAACTTTATCGCCGCTGCGGCTTAGTCAGTTGTCAGACAGCGGCGCCGAGAGCTGCGGCGATGGGGACGAGCAGACGCGACTTATTCGCGGCCCTTCCGTGCGGCCACACAAATACATCATTATACCAGCCACGCCCGGCGCGCCGGTGACCTCGACGGCTGGAGCCCCACAGCTGCCATTTCGCCAGACAAGCTCCAGCACATCGCTGGTGGCAATGGCAGCGGCAATGCACAAGCAGCCGCCACGCCAGCCCTCGTTCAAGTCGCGTCCCAACTCGGATGTTATACAGCCGGCACAGTTACAGCAGCAATTGCAACTGCAGCCACTCCAACAGCCAACGGCGTCCACATCAACGGTCACCTTTACCATTGACGATTACGATACAGCGGGTGGGAGTGCAGCTGCGCCTGCTCCAGCAATCCACCACACACCCGCAACGCTGACCAGCACCACTACCACCACAATGGCTGGTCTTGATGCATTGGCCGCCTCCCCACTCAGCTATGATCTGCGCTCGCGCTTGGGCAGCCATCACAGCAGCATGCGCTCGGTGGTGTCAGGTGAGTTGAATTGTTGCTCCTATTATTAGGTGGCTTTATTCTGTATGCCACGCCTACAGCATACCTGCCCGGCCTGAGCGATAGCAGTTACAATCTCGCCGGCAACACGGCCACAACTACTGGACTGCAGCCACCCAATCCGCTCTACATGCAGCCGCAGGCCTCGCTCAGCGGCAGTTCCTCTCACTTTCACGA